CCGCGGCGGCCGCGCTGGCTCCGTCCCAGCGGGCATCGGCCCGGCCGCTCCCTGACGGGCCCCCGCACCCACGGCGTGTCACGGGTGGGTGTCGGGCTCGGTGTCACGGGTGGGCGGCGGCCGGCGGGGCTCCCGGGGCGCCGCCGGTGCGCGGTTGGACCGTGAGTCACGGCAGGCAGGACGAGGCCGCGGCCCCGCGTCCTTTGGACTCCGCACCGGGGACGGGCAGCGCCCGCCGCTGCAGAACGGGGGTGCAGACACGGATATTGGGGTGCAGACATGGATATTGGGGTGCAGACATGAGTGTTGGGGTGCAGACATGGATATTGGGGTGCAGACATGAGTGTTGGGGTGCAGACATGGGTACTGGGGTGCAGACATGGGTACCGGGGTGCAGACATGAGTGTTGGGGTGCAGACATGGGTACCGGGGTGCAGACATGAGTGTTGGGGTGCAGACATGGGTACTGGGGTGCAGACATGAGTGTTGGGGTGCAGACGTGGGTGTTGGAGTGCAGACATGGGTACTGGGGTACAGACATGGATATTGGGGTGCAGACATGAGTGTTGGGGTGCAGATATGGGTGTTGGGGTTCAGACATGGCTCTTGGGGTGCAGACATGGATGTTGGGGTACAGACATCGGTATTGGGGTGCAGACATGGATGTTGGGTTGTAGACATGGATATTGGGGTGCGGACATGGATATTGGGGGCGCAGACATGGATATTGGGCTGCAGACATGGCTGTTGGGGTGCAGACGTGGGTACTGGGGTGCAGACATGGATACTGGGATGCAGACATGGCTGTTGGGGTTCAGACATGGATATTGGGGTGCAAACATGGATGTTGGGGTGCAGACATGGATATTGAGGGTGCAGACATGGATGTTGGGTTGTAGACACGGATATTGGGGTGCAGACATGGGTGTTGGGGCGCAGACATCGGTACTGGGGTGCAGACATGGATATTGGGGGCGCAGACATGGATATTGGGGTTCAGACATGGATATTGGGCTGCAGACATGGATATTGGGTTGTAGACATGGCTGTTGGGGTTCAGACATGGGTATTGGGGGTGCAGACATGGATACTGGGATGCAAACACGGCTGTTGGGGTGCAGACACGGGCGTTGGGGTGCAGGAAATGGGCCTTAGGGCCCTGACGTGTGTGTTGGGGTGCAGACATGGCTATTGGGGTGTTGGCTATGCCAGGCTGGCAGCGCCCAGGGCACCCATGGCTGCACTTTCCCCAGCAGCTGCCACCACCCCTGCCATGGATGACGTGGGTGGCGTTGGTGACGTTGGTGACACGGGTGCTGCCCCGGGCAGGACTGGCAGCTCGGTGTCACCCCAAGGGCTGGGGATCCTCAGCCACCCTGGGGGTCCCCGGGCAGGGGATGCAGCACCCGGTGGGGCACAAGCCCTGAATTCACCCCGTGGTCCCCTCAGCTGACGTTGCCACCCACTGGGGGAGGGCGTTGGGTGATGAATCCCTGGGGAGGGGGTTTCCTACCCTGCTGCCAGTGCCCCCGCCCCAGTGGGTGCTGTGGGGCACGGGGCAGGGTGTGGGGTGCTCTCCTGGGGTGCTGCTGGGAGGGGAGCTGCTGCTGGGGCTGGTGTGTGCATGGGGGCACCCGGGGGAGGCTGTGGGGCTCAGTCTCCCATGCTGGGGATCCTCCAGCCCAGGGGGATGTGACCCTGAACCCCTCAAGAGGGGCCCCAGGGATCTGAGCCCCTCAAATGTGGGACCTAGGACTGGGGCTGGTGAACCCAGGGGCTTGAGCCCCAGGTGGGGGGAGCAGGGGTCCTACAGCCCCAGGGCGTGTGCTGGGGGTCCTGGGGTGGTCCCTGGGCTGTGGCACCGGGTGGTGCCAAAACCCCCACAGGGACTGAAGGTCCCATCTGGGGCCGGGGGTGTTGGGGAACTCCTGACCATGGGGCCAGAGGGGTTCTGGGGACCCCCTGTGAGGGGCAAGGAGGGTCTTGACCTGGAAACCTGGGGGACCTGAGTGTCCACAGCTTGGAAACCTGGTGGTGCTGGGGTGCGGTGACTGGGGCTCCAACAGCCCCAGGCTGTGGGTCCCACCCCCCACAGACTTGTGCTCCTCCCCAGGGTCCCAAGGCCCCGAGGTGTGGGGCAGGGGCTCTGGCCGCCCTGGGTGAGGGGTGAGGGGTTTCTGAGCACCCCGATCTTCAGGAACGAGTGTCCCACTCCCCGCACGTGCAGATGCGGGGGTCTCGGGCCCCGTGTGTGGGGCTGGGGGTGCCGGTTCCCCGTGGAGCGTCCCCGTGGCTGCTCCGTGGGTCCCATCCCGCCTGCAGGCGCAGCGAGGGAAGGGTTAAAGCTCAGGAGTTTCCTGTGGGCAGGGTCGGGGCGTGGGGCGGGGGGAGAGAGCCCCGTCTCCTCCCCGGGCCGCCCCACTCGCGGCGGGACCGGCGGCGGAGCGGGAGGGCAGAGCAGCAGAGTCGGGGCTCGGCTGTGTCGGGGCTCAGCTGTGTCGGGGCTCACCATGTCCCGCCCGCGCCGCAGCTCGGAGGAGGCTCCGGCCCGAACGGGCTCCGAGGACAACCTGTACCTGGCCGTGCTGCGGGCGGCCGAGGGCCGCAAAGGTACCGAGCCCGGGGGGGCCTGGGGGGGCCGCCCACCATCGCATCCCCACCCGGGGCGGTGCCCCCGGGGCAGAGCCCCACACCGGGCCGGGGTCCCTGGGGCAGAGCCCCACACCGGGCCGGGGTCCCCGGGGCAGAGCCCCAGGCCAGGCCGGGGTCCCTGGGGACACCCCCAGGCTGGGCCCGTGTCCGCGGGGCTGTGGGCCCCCAGGCAGGCCGTGGGGCCACCCCACACCGGGGCGGTGTCCCCCGCACCGGAGCGGTGTCCCCCATGCCGGGGCGGTGTCCCTGGGGCAGAGCCCCACACCGGAGCGGTGTCCCCAGGTTGCTGTACCCAGGGCGGGCTGTGGGGCAGAGCCCCACGCTGAGGGATATCTCCGGCCGGGCTGTGGGGCAGACCCCCATGCCGGGGCGGTGTCTGCGGGCCGGGCTGTGGGGCAGAGCCCCGCACCGGAGCGGTGTCCCTGGGGCAGACCCCCGCACCGGAGCGGTGTCCCCCATGCCGGGGCGGGCTGTGGCTCAGAGCCCCGCGCTGGGGCGGTGTCTGCGGGCCGGGCTGTGGGGCAGAGCGCTGCAGACCCCCCGGCCGCCGCCCAGCTCCATCCCCGGTGCCCTCGTTCGCTTCCTGCCACGCCCTGCCCGGCCGCCCCGGCCCGGCCGCCCCGGGCTCTCCTGGTGCCGCCGCCGGGGGGTGGGCGCCGCTCCGGGGACCCCTTGGGTGCCAGCGCTGCGGGTGCCGGGGGACGGTGTCGGTGCCCCCCGCTCGGCGCGCACTGCGCCCCACGTTTCCTTCCTTCCTCCCTTCCTTCCTCCCTCTCGCACCGTGGCCGCTCCTGGCCCGGCACGCCCTGGCCGTGCCGCGGAGCGCCCGCGGGGCTCTTGGGGCTGTGCAGCATCCCGGGGTGCTCCGCCGGCGGGGAGCGCAGGCTGCGGGGCGCTGGGTGCCGCGTGGGCAGATCCCGGCACGCTGCAGCGGGGCAAGACCCGGCACGCAGCGCCCGGCTCGCCACGGCGAGGGCAGGGGGGCGGCGCGGCTGCCGAGGCACCGGTGGCATCGCCCCGTGTGAATGGGGGGGGTCACTTGTGCCCTCCGGACCCCCTCGGGGGCATCGGGCTGGGTGTGGCACTGGCAGTGACACTGGGGACGCAGGGGACAGGAGAGCGGGCGCTGGCAGTGGGGTATGGGGCGCTGGCAGTGGGATATGGGGCACTGGCAGTGGGATATGGGGTGCTGGGAGTTAGCGGGGTGCGGGGTTAGCGGGGTGCTAGCAGTGGGATATGGGGTGCTGGCAGTGGGGTGCTGGGGTTAGCAGGGTGCTAGCAGTGGGATATGGGGTGCTGGCAGTGGGGTATGGGGCACTGGCAGTGGGATATGGGGTGCTGGGGGGTAGCGGGTGCTGGCAGTGGGGTATGGGGTGCTGGCAGTGGGATATGGGGCACTGGCAGTGCGATATGGGGTGCTGGGGGTAGCGGGTGCTGGCAGTAGGATATAGGGTGCTGGCAGTGGGGTATGGGGTGCTGGGGGTTAGTAGGGTGCTGGCAGTGGGATATGGGGCGCTGGCAGTGGGATATGGGGTGCTGGGGGGTAGCGGGTGCTGGGGGTTAGCAGGGTGCTGCGGGGTGGGTCCTGTGCCATCCCGGGTTCCCATCCCGTGCGTCAGCATTCCCATGCCATCCCCTAATGACAGGGCAGCGGGCAGGGAGCGCCGTGACTCACTGCAGCCCTGCTTGGCCCCATGCCCACAGAGAAGGGTGTCCTGGGGGTGTGGGGATGTCCTGGGGTGTCCCAGGCTCTGGCAGTGCAGACGCTGCGTGGGCTCATCTCAATCCCGTGCCTGTCCCACCAGGGCCCTGCCTGTGGGGCTGCAGCTGTGCCAGGACAAGCCCCCCATGGCCTCGTGTCCGTGCTGTGCCCAAACCGCTCAGCCAGTGCCCACCGAGCCCAGGGCAGGGCTGGGGCTCCTCACAGCCATGCAGAGGGCTCGGGGTTGGGTGGGCACCTCCTGCTCCCTGCAGTCATGGGGACACAGAACATCCCGAGTTGAAAGGAGTCCCACAAGGGACTTCACCAAGCCCAAGTATTAATTTGCCCGTGCCGGGGTTGAACCTGCACCCGTGGCGTTATTAGCACCGCGCTCTGGCCAACTGATCTAATCGCAGAGTTGGTGTTGAGGTGCTGGTGGGTGCTGGCGCGGTGCTGGCACGCCGGGGCCGGTCCCCGTTAGCTGTTTCCTCTCCCCACACCCCCGTGACTCACCGTGCTTCCCCAGAGCGGTTGGCTCATCGCTTCCTGCGCCAGCCGTGCCCTGCGGTGCCACCGCCGGGGCCTGGTTTTGGCCGTGCCAAGACCCCGCTGCCACTGGCTCACCCGTGCCTCTCCTCTCTTGCAGATGAGCGAGATCGTGTCCAGAAGAAAACCTTCACCAAATGGGTCAACAAGCACCTTATCAAGGTATGGGCACCGCCAGTCCAGCGGGCACCGCTGCCCCAGCCGTCCCCTGCCCCAAATCACCCCCAGCCACAGCCCCGGGTGCTGCCACGGCCGAGGACGTGGCTGTGGAGGGTCCCTGGTGCTGGTGCTCCTGTGCCACACCTCTGGCCAAGGCCTCTCAGCTGCCCTCCAGGTGGGACCTGCCCTCCTGCTGCCCTCCCCGTATGCCAGGAGGGAGCGGTGCCCTTGGCACCTGGGGATGTGTCCTGTGCTCTGCCGCCCTCAGTCCTGTCCCATGCCTCCAGTCCCCATTCCCTGCCCCAGGCAGAGCCCCCTCTTGGCGCCTGGCATGCCCTGGGACATGGCCCAGCCCCCAGTGTGTCTCCACACGCCCCTGACCCTGCAGTGCCATGGTGGTGCCACCACGCTCTGCCCGTGCTGGGTCCCCTCTCAGCTCTCTCCTAACTGCTCTCTTCTCTCTGCCCTGTGCAGCACTGGCGACCAGAGGTAGGTCCTTCCTCTCTTTTTCTGTCTGTCCCACTGCGCTCTTCCTCTTTGCACACCCTGGGGCTGCCACTGTGGTAGGCAGTGGGGCTGACCCCTTCACGGTGGGTCTCTGCATGCCAGAGTGGTGCCAGAGGGATGCCAGATCCATCCTGGCACAGGGAGAGCTGCTGTGTGTGTGTTTTTGGGGATCGTGGCACTGGGGGCACCAGCTGCACTTGGGGCTGTGTGTGTGAGCACCCGCTGCACTGGGGGGTCACTGGGCACCCACCGGGGTGTTGGCTGGGTGGGGGGGGGTGCTCAGCTGCCCCTGGCAGGGTTAGGGGGGTGTTCAGTTGTCCCCAGCCCCACTGGCAGGGTTAGGGGGTGCTCAGTTGTCCCCAGCCCCCTGGCAGGGTTAGGGGGGGTGTTCAGCTGCCCTTGGCTGGGGTAGGGGGTGTTCAGTTGTCCCCAGCCCCACTGGCAGGGGTAGGGGGTGTTCAGTTGTCCCCAGCCCCACTGGCAGGGGTAGGGGGTGTTCAGTTGTCCCCAGCCCCACTGGCAGGGGTAGGGGGTGTTCAGCTGTCCCCAGCCCCACTGGCAGGGGTAGGGGGTGTTCAGCTGTCCCCAGCCCCACTGGCAGGGGTAGGGGGTGTTCAGCTGCCCCCAGCCCCACTGGCAGGGGTGAGGGGTGTTCAGCTGCCCCCAGCCCCCCTGACACCGTGGCTGTCCCCACAGGCGCAGCGCCATGTCAACGACCTGTACGAGGACCTGCGGGACGGGCACAACCTCATCTCGCTGCTGGAGGTGCTGTCGGGTGACACCCTGGTAGGTGCCACTCTGCCCTGCCCCGCGCTGTCCCCACCCCGTGCTGGCACCCCTCCGCCGGCCGTCCTCGTCCTCCTCCTCATCCTCGTCCTCCCCCTCGCTGCCTGCCTCTGTTCCCTCTCTTCCTGCTTGGCCGTCGGTCCGTCCGTCCCGGTGCCCCTGGAGCGCCCGCGCCCCCCGCCTCTAACCTCTCTTTGCTTTGGTGCCCTCTCTGCTTCCTGGCGCCGGCCCCCGGCCCACCGCCGCCTTTGCCTCCTCCTCCTCCTTCCTCTCTCTGCTCCTCTCCGCTCGGCTCGGCTCGGCTCGGCCGGGGCAGCCCCGGGAGCGCGACGTCCTGCGGACCTTGCGGTTGGTGAGTGGTTCAGCCGTCGGTCAGCGCTCGGCGCGGCCCCGCACGGCACGGAGCTGTGACGGCGGTGCCCAGCATGTCCCAGGACGGTCTGCATGCCAGCGCCCTGTGCCATGCCTGTCCCGGTGCTGCCCCAGGGCTCTGCTGCATGCTCTGCCCGTCCTGGTGCCCCCCATGCCCAGGGCTGTGGGGGTGGGTTTCCCTGGGCCAGAACTCAGTGGCAGCAGCAAGAGGGAAAAGTTCATCTTCCACCAGCAGCATCCTTGGGAGCCATCCCACCCTGCTGGAGCTGGACTCGCTCCTGGCGCTGCAGCTGGATGTGCTGCTGGCTCTGTGGGGTGGCTGGCAAGGGGGTGGCACGTGGCCCCCAACTCCTGAGGTCTCACCCTAGGGCTGGCCCTGTCCCCGAGGAGCTGTGGGTCCACGGTGTCCCCTTTCCGTGTGACAGGAGTGACCCTGCTCCGCTGCTGAGTGGGGTCCATGGTGTCCCCTTTCTGTGGGACAGGAGTGACCCTGCTCCGTGGCTGAGTGGGGTCCATGGTGTCCCCTTTCTGTGGGACAGGAGTGACCCTGCTCCGTGGCTGAGTGGGGTCCATGGTGGCCCCTTTCTGTGAGACAGGAGTGACCCTGCTCCGCTGCTGAGTGGGGTCCATGGTGGCCCCTTTCTGTGGGACAGGAGTGACCCTGCTCTGTGGCTGAGTGGGGTCCAAGGTGTCCCCTTTCTGTGGGACAGGACTGACCCTGCTCCGTGGCTGAGTGGCACCAGGGGGTTCATGGAGTCCCCAGCTGTCCTGGCAGCCAAAGCTGGGCTCAGCTGGTGGAATGTTGGCATTGCCGTGGGGCAGGAACGTGTGGGGCAGCACCCAGGGGACCCTGGACCTCGGGACCCCCAAGTTTGGGGGCCTCACCCGGCTTGGCAGCTCCTGGTCCTGCTGGGGGGGACACTGGAGCATGCTGGGGAGCTGCATGGCGAGGCACCACGGTGGCCATGGGCGCAGCAGCAGCACCGTCAGGGCTGTGCTGCCCTGGCACTGAGGCCAGTCCTGCCCGGGCAGTGCCTGCTGTGCCACCGGGGCCCTCGGCTCCCCCCGGGACGGCTCTGATGGCGCCGGAGCCGCCGGGTGGGGCGTGGGAGCAGCCGGTGCCGCGGGGGGAGCGCGGGGAGCGTCCCCACCCCTGCAGGGGCAAAGTGCGAGGGAGGTGCCACGGGTGGGAGCCATCGGCATGTGCGGCACTGCTGGGAGGGGCCGGGTGGCGCCGGGCTGGGGGCGGCCGCGGTGGCAGGACGGGGTTGGTGGCATAGTGCCGTGGTGTCACGGGGGGGGGCCGCGGTGGCAGGACGGGGTTGGTGGCATCGTGTCGTGGTGTCACGGGGGGTCTGTGATGGCAGGACGGTGTTGGTGGCATAGTGCCGTGGTGTCACGGGGGGGCTGCGGTGGCAGGACGGGGTTGGTGGCATCCTGTCGTGGTGTCACGGGGGGGCTGCAGTGGCAGGACACAGCAGGGCTGTGTCCAGCGTGGCCTCGCTCACCGCCCTCCTCTCCCTCTCCCCCAGCCCCGGGAGAAGGGCCGGATGCGCTTCCACAAGCTGCAGAATGTCCAGATTGCCCTCAACTACCTGAAGCACCGGCAGGTGAGGATGGGGAGGGACCCCGGGATGCCCATAACCCCCGGGGCTGTGCCGGGCCCGTCCCATCCCTGAGCCGCGTGTGCCCCGTGCTGCAGGTGAAGCTGGTGAACATCCGCAACGATGACATCGCCGACGGCAACCCCAAACTGACGCTGGGCCTCATCTGGACCATCATCCTCCACTTCCAGGTGAGCCCGGCGGGGTGGGGACGGGGCAGTGGGACCGAGGGGCCAGGATCTGTGGGGCTGGGGGCAGGAGTGGTGTCACTGGCAGCGGCCATGCAGCGAGTGTCACCGTGCCAGTTTCCAGAGTAACCGCTGTGTCCTGGCAGATCTCAGACATCCAGGTGACCGGGCAGTCGGAGGACATGACGGCCAAGGAGAAGCTGCTGCTGTGGTCCCAGCGGATGGTGGAGGATTACCAGGGCCTGCGCTGCGACAACTTCACCACCAGCTGGAGGGATGGGCGCCTCTTCAACGCCATCATCCACCGGCACAGGTGGGCGCCGTGGTGGTGCCTGCGATGCATGTGTGAGATCCACACCATGGGCAGGCGTGTGACATGGAACACCCATGACAGCTGCTTATGGGGCAGCCGTGCTGATCCTGTGCTCATGGGGCACCCATGACAGCTGCTTATGGGGCAGCCGTGCTGATCCTGTGCTCATGGGGCAGCTGATCCTGTGCTCATGGGGCACCCATGCCTGTGCTCATGGGGCAGCTCTGTCAATCCTGTGCTTATGGGGCAGCTCTGTCAATCCTGTGCTCATGGGGCAGCCGTGCTGATCCTGTGCTCATGGGGCACCCATGCCTGTGCTCATGGGGCAGCTCTGTCAATCCTGTGCTCATGGGGCAGCCGTGCTGATCCTGTGCTCATGGAGTGGCTCTGTCAATCCTGTGCTCGTGGGGCAGCCGTGCTGATCCTGTGCTCATGGGGAGCTGTGCTGATCCTGTGCTCATGGGGAGCTGTGCTGATCCTGTGCTCATGGGGCAGCTCTGTCAATCCTGTGCTCATGGGGCAGCTCTGTCAATCCTGTGCTCATGGTGAGCTGTGCTGGTCCTGCGCTCATGGTGAGCTGTGCTGATCCTGTTTGGGCCAATGTGAGCACGTGCTCTGACGAGTCCCAGCCCATCGGCCGTGCCGGCAGTGCCGTGCCCGCTGCTGGCGTGCCGGGGCGGTGGCAGGCACGTCCCCACGGGTCCTGCTGGGACCTCTGCGTGCCTTTGGGGAGAGCAAAAATGTGCAGGCCTGTGCCAGATGGGGGTAGGCACCTGCACTGTGCCGTGTGCCAGCTGTGCCGTGTGCCAGCTGTGCCGTGTGCCAGCTGTGCCGTGCTCTGTGCCATGGCACTGCCACACTGAGCTTGGCCCCACCATGGAGCCCCAAGGGGTGCCCAAGGTGCCAGCCCCACATGGGACTGGGGTGTCAGCCCCACATGGGATTGGGGTGTCAGCCCCACATGGGACTGGGGTGCCAGCCCCACATGGGATGGGGGTGTCAGCCCCACATGGGACTGGGGTGTCAGCCCCACATGAGATTGGGGTGTCAGCACCAGAGGGGACAGGGGTTCCAGCCCCACAAAGGACAGGGGTGCCAGCCCCACATGGGACTGGGGTGTCAGCCCCACATGGGACTGGGGTGTCAGCCCCACATGAGATTGGGGTGTCAGCATCAGAGGGGACAGGGGTTCCAGCCCCACAAAGGACAGGGGTGCCAGCCCCACATGGGACTGGGGTGCCAGCCCCACAAGGGACAGGGGTGCCAGCCCCACATGGGATGGGGTGCCAGCCCCACATGGGACTGGGGTGCCAGCCCCACAAGGGACAGGCGTGCCAGCCCCACATGGGATGGGGTGCCAGCCCCACATGGGATTGGGGTGCCCAGTTCACAGGAGCTGGGGGCTGTGACTGTGTTGTGGTTCCCACTGGGGGCTGTGTGTATCCCCAGCCCCTCCTGTCCCTGTGCTGGCTCTGGGGGTCTCCCCTGCCACCAGTGCCTCTGGTGTGGGGTGTGGGGTGGTCGGGCAGGAGTTCAGGCAGACGAGGCAGCCCCAGGAAAGGGGGGACCTGCCCTCCTTGGGATTCTGGGGTCCCCACAGCCCCAGTGACCCCTGCTGACCCCCACCCACAGGCCAATGCTGATCGACATGAGCCGGGTGTACCGCCAGAGCAACCTGGAGAACCTGGACCAGGCCTTCACCGTGGCTGAGCGGGACCTGGGTGTGACGCGGCTGCTGGACCCTGAAGGTACGGGTGGGGGTGAGGGGTCTTGGGGGACAGGGGGTGGGTCCCAAGGGGATGATGGTCCTGCAGGGTTGGGGGGCTCTGGGTGGGTCCCAAGGGGATGATGGTCCCAGTGTGCCAGGGGTCCCGGGATGTCAGGGGTCTTGGGGGATGTGGGGTGGGTCCCAAGGGGATGATAATCCTGCAGGGTTGGGGGGCTCTGGGTGGGTCCCAAGGGGATGATAGACCCAGGGGCTGTGGATCCCGGGGTGTCAGGGGTCTTGGGGGACATGGGGTGGGTACCAAGGGGATGATGGACCCAGGGGCTGTGGATCCCGGGGTGTCAGGGGTCTTGGGGGATATGGGGTGGGTCCCAAGGGGATGATAATCCTGCAGGGTTGGGGGGCTCTGGGTGGGTCCCAAGGGGATGATGGACTCAGGGGCTGTGGATCCCGGGGTGTCAGGGGTCTTGGGGGATATGGGGTGGGTCCCAAGGGGATCCACACTCTGGAGTGTCAGAGCCCCTTCCCTCTCCCCCACCTGACCCCCTCCCTCCCTCCCTGCCGCAGACGTGGACGTGGCGCAGCCCGATGAGAAGTCCATCATCACCTACGTGTCCTCGCTGTACGACGCCATGCCGCGCGTGCCGGAGGTGCAGGACGGCGTCAAGGCCAACGTGAGTTTGGGGCGCCGGGGGTCACCTCTGCTTGCTGCCCCCCCCCTGCCGTGCCACACCCAGCCCCACACGTGTCCCCCTGGCAGGAGCTGCAGCTGCGCTGGCAGGAGTACTACGAGGTGGTGACGGGGCTGCTGCAGTGGAGCCGGCAGCACTCGGCGCTCTTCGAGGAGCGGCGCCTGCCTGCCAGCTACGAGGAGATCGAGGTGAGGCCAGCGGGGACAGGAGCGGTGCTGCTGGCCTGGGATGGGCACAGGGACGGTGCTGCTGGCCTGGCATGGGCACAGGGATGGGCACAGGGACAGGGACAGTGCTGCTGGCCTGGCATGGGCACAGGGACGGTGCTGCTGGCCTGGCATGGGCACAGGGATGGGGACAGGGACGGTGCTGCTGGCCTGGCAGGGGCACAGGGACGGTGCTGCTGGCCTGGCATGGGCACAGGGACAGGGACGGTGCTGCTGGCCTGGCAGGGGCACAGGGACAGGGACAGGGACAGGGACGGTGCTGCTGGCCTGGCATGGGCACAGGGACAGGGACGGTTGCTGCTGGCCTGGCAGGGGCACAGGGATGGGCACAGGGACAGGAGCGGTGCTGCTGGCCTGGCACGGGCACAGGGACAGGGACGGTGCTGCTGGCCTGGCATGGGCACAGGGATGGGCACAGGGACAGGAGCGGTGCTGCTGGCCTGGCACGGGCACAGGGACAGGGACGGTGCTGCTGGCCTGGCATGGGCACAGGGATGGGCACAGGGACGGTGCTGCTGGCCTGGCATGGGCACGGGGACAGGGACAGGGATGGTGCTGCTGATCCCGGGAGCCACTGGTAGCAGGGGCAGTGTGTGGCAGAATCCTACTGTGGCCCCACCGTGGGTGGCTCATGCCCAGCGAGGGGTGCCAGCAGCCCCCCTTGGGTGGCTCATGCCCACTGAGGGGTGCCAGCTGACCAGCAGCCCCCCTTGGGTGGCTCATGCCCAGTGTGGCAGCTCCCATGGCAGCACAGGGCCAGCTGTGCCATGCCATGAGTCACCACGAGACCTGGGCGTGGCTGTGGCACGGAGCCCCCTCCGGTGCCAGTCTGGGGGTCTGCGGGGTTTGGGGATGAGAGCCCTGACAGAGCCGGGTGCCCCATGAGGGGGGGGGCCCTGTGACTCACCCTGCCTGGCTGTGCCGTGAGTCACCGCTGGCAAAGCCCAGCACGGCCACTTCCTTCCCCGGCTCTGCACACATGGAAAATTGCAGGCTGGGCAGGGCGGGTGCTTGGGGAGGGGGGCAAGCAGCTCGGGCTGGGGGTCCCCGCTCAGCTGTGCCCCCCACCCCCCGGCAGATCCTCTGGCGCCAGTTCCTCAAGTTCAAGGAGACGGAGCTGCCGGCTCGGGAGGCCGACAAGAACCGCTCCAAAGCCATCTTCCAGGCGCTGGAGGTACCGCCTAGGGCGGCGGCGGGGCTTGGAGGGGCTGTGGGGCGGCGGTCATGGGTGCTCGGGGTCCCAAGGGGTGGGGGGCCTGAGGGGGACACCCTGGCGATCCCGGGTCCTGAGGGGTGGGGGTCCCAGGGTGTCAGGGGTCTTGGGGATATGGGGTGGGTCCCAAGGGGGTGATGGTCCCAGGGGCTGTGGTCCCAAGGGGATGACAGTCCCGGGGGTGTGAGTGTCTCCGGGGATGCGGGGTGGGTCCCAAGGGGATAACAGTCCCAGGGTTCCGGGGGTCCCCGGCAGTGCCCGGCGCGCCCCTTCGGGCCGTGTGTGACCTTCGGGCTGTGCAGGGCGCGGTGCAGTCGGGCCAGCTGAAGGTGCCCCCCGGGTACCACCCCCTGGACGTGGAGAAGGAGTGGGGGCGGCTGCACGTCGCCGTGCTGGAGCGGGAGAAGCTGCTGCGGGCTGAGTTCGAGAGGCGAGTTCGGGGGGGCCGGGGGGCCGGGCAGGGCCGCGCTGGCATCCACACCCCCCTGCCGCTGCCAAACCGCGGGGCTGGGCCGGGGTGGGGGTGTCCCGGCCCCCCGAGGGGGAACCACAGGGCCGTGAGTCACCGCTCCTGCTGGGAAACCTCTGCGGCCGGCCTGGAGCGCGCCTCGGCACGGCACGGCTCGGCAGCAGCGGGGACAGCGGGGATGGGAGCGGGGCGGGGACTGGGAATGGGATGGGGATTGAAAGGAGATGGGATGAGGGGGATTGGGGTTGAGGTTGGAAGTGGGATGGGAATAGGGATGGAAAAGGAAGATGGGGATGGGAAAAGGAAGATGGGGATATGGGGGGATTGGGAACGGGATGGGGAGCAGGATAGCAGGATGCAGCACGGGACAGGACCCACACCGTGCACGGCCAGGACAGCTGCCCCTGGGCAGGATCCGTGCTGACCGGGTCCCTCTGTGTGTCCCGCAGGCTGGAGCGGCTGCAGCGCGTGGTCACCAAGCTGCAGATGGAGTCGGGGCTCTGTGAGGAGCAGCTGAACCAGGCGGATGCTCTGCTGCAGGCGGTGAGTGCGGCGGCCCCGGGGCGGGGGGGACGGCCCCGGCCACGCCCCTCCCCGCGGTGGCCTCACCGTCCCTGCCCCGCAGGACGTGCGGCTGCTGGCGGCCGGGAAGGCACCGCAGAAGGCGGCAGAGGTGGAGAGGGACCGGACAAGGCGGATGCCATGATCCGGCTGCTCTTCAACGACGTGCAGACCCTCAAGGACGGGCGGGCACCCGCAGGGCGAGCAGATGTACCGTCGGTACGGGCTCGTCCCCACCGCCCTGTGCCCCCGGAGCCCTCCACGTCCTCCGTGTCCTTCCTGCCCCCCAAAGCCCTTTGTGGTCTCCTGTGTCCCCGCATGTCCCCTGTGTCCTCCATGCTGCCCATTCCCCCCATGTGCCCCATGCTCCCTGCACCCCCAGCCACCCCTGTGCCCCCCAAAACCCTGCAAAGCCTCCTGTGACTCCCATGTCCCCTGTGTCCTCCATGCTGCCCATTCCCCCCATGTGCCCCATGCTCCCTGCACCCCCAGCCACCCCCATGTCCCCCCAAAACCCTGCAAAGCCTCCTGTGACACCCATGCCCCCCATGCTCCCTGCACCCCCAGCCACCCCCATGTCCCCCAAAAACCCTGAGAAGCCTCGTGTGACCCCCATGCCCTGCATGTCCCCCGTGATCCCTGTACCCCTCAAAACCCCCCTTACTCTCTGTGGCCCTTGCACCCCCAAAAAGCCCCCTGTGACCCCTGTGCACCCCAAAGCTCCCCATGCCCCCAAACCCACTTGTGTCCCCAAACTCCCCATGGTTGCTGTACCCTTTTACAACCCCTGTGTACCCCAAGGCTCCTCATGCCCCCAAACTCCCCATGGTTGCTGCACCCCCTTGTACCCCCTTGCAACCCCCTGTGCACCCCAAAGCCTCTCATGTCCCCAAGCTCCTCATGTTCTCTGTACCCCCTTACAACCTCTGTGCACCCCAAAGCTCCCCATGCCCCAAAGCCTCTCGTGTTCCCAGACTCCCCATGTTTCCTGTACCCCCCTACAACCCCTGTGCACCCCAAAGCCTCTCATGTCCCCAAACCCTCTCATATCCCCAAGCTCCCCATCTTTGCTGCACCCCCTTACAACCTCTGTGCACCCCAAATCTCCCCATGCCCCCATAACCTCTCATGTCCCCAAACTCCTCGTTTGCTGCACCCCCTTACAACCCCTGTGCACCCCAGACCCTCTCATGTCCCCAAACTTCCCATGTTTGTTGTACCCCTTGCAACCCCCGTGCACCCCAAGGCTCCTCATGCCCCCAAATTCTCTCATGTCTCCAGACTCCCCATGTTTGCTGCACCCCCCTGCAACCCCAGTGCAACCCAAACCCTCTCATATCCCCAAACTCTTCATGTTCCCTGTACCCCTCTGCAACCCCCGTGCACCCCAAGGCTCCTCATGTCCCCCAAACCCTCCCGTGTCCCCAAACTCTTCATGTTCACAGCACCCCCTTGCAACCCCTGTGCACCCCAAAGCTCCTCCTGCCCTTAAACCCTCTCATATCCCCAAACTGCCCATGTTCTCTGTATCCCCTTAAAATCCCTGTACACCCCAAAGCTGCTCATGCCCCCAAAGCCTCCCGTGTCCCCAAACTCCCCATGTTTGCTGGAACCCCCTGCAACCCCTGTGCACCCCAAAGCTCACCATGGCCCAAAAGTCTCTTGTGTCCCCAAACTCCCCATGTTCACTGCAACCCCTTACAACCCCTGTGCACCCCAAATTCCCCGTGTTCACTGCACCCCCTTACAACCCCTGTGCACTGCAAGGCTCCTCATGTCCCCAAACCCTCCCGTGTCCCCAAACTCCCCATGTTTGCTGCACCCCCTTACAACCCCTGTGCACCCCAAGGCTCCCCATGCCCCCAAACTCCCCATGTTCTCTGTACCCCCCTCACAGCCCCTGTGCACCCCCAATCTCCCCCGGCCCCCAGAGCCCCCCACGGCCCCCGTGCCCCACCAACCCCTCCCTCCCCGCAGCGTGTACCGCCTGCACGAGCGCCTGGTGTCCATCCGCACCGAGTACAACCTGCGCCTCAAGTCGGGCGCGCCGGTGACAGCGGTGACATCCGTGGCGGTGACATCGGCGCAGCAGCGGCGGCCGGAGCCCGACGAGGCTCCCCTGCGCTACCTGCAGGAGCTGCTGGCCTGGGTGGAGGAGAACCAGCGGCGAGTGGCCACGGCCGAGTGGGGCGCCGACCTGCCCACCGTGGAGACACACCTGGGCGCCCACCGCGGGCTGCACCGCGCCATCGAGGAGTTCCGGGCCAAGGTGGAGCGGGCACGGGCAGATGAGGTGAGACCCTGGGTGCTGGGGACCTCCTGGGGCTGGCGGTGACAGGGTGAGACCCCTGGGTGCTGGGGGTGGCAGGGTGAGACCCCTGGGTGCTGGGGACACCCTGATTCTGGGGGTGACAGGGTGAGACCCCTGGTGCTGGGGACCTCCTGGTGCTGGGGGTGATAGGGTGAGACCCTGCAGAATGCTGGGGACCTCCTTGTCCTTGGGGTGACAGGGTGAGACCCCTGGGAGCTGGGGGTGACAGGGTGAGACTCTGCAGAATGCTGGGGACCTCCTGGTGCTGGGGGTGAGAGGGTGAGACCCCTGGGTACTGGGGACCTCCTGGTGCTGGGGGTGACAGGGTGAGACCCCTGGGTGCTGGGGACACCCTGATTCTGGGGGTGACAGGGTAAGACCCCTGGGTGCTGGGGACCTCCTGATGCTGGGGGTGACAGGGTGAGACCCCTGGGTGCTGGAGACCTCCTGATGCTGGGGATGACAGGGTGAGACCCCTGGGTGCTGGAGACCTCCTTGTCCTTGGGGTGACAGGGTGAGACCCCTGGGTGCTGGAGACCTCCTTGTCCTTGGGGTGACAGGGTGAGACCCCTGGGTGCTGGAGACCTCCTTGTCCTTGGGGTGACAGGGTGAGACCCCTGGGTGCTGGGGACACCCTGATTCTGAGGGTGACAGGGTGAGACCCTACAGGGTGCTGGGGATCCCCAGGTCCTGGGGGTCCTCTGGGGCTGTCCCCACTCTGCTTCAAGGGGTCCCCCCAGTGCTGTTGTCCCCTCCGCTGCTCCTGAGCATTTCCTGGGGCTGCCTTTGCTCTGTGCCTCGGGGTCCCTGAAGCTCTGGAGCCCCCCAGGTCCTGGGGTACCCCAGGAGGATGGGGGGCACCATGCCCCGAGGGCATCCCCGCAGCCCCTGCACCCCTGGTGCGCTGCCCTCCCCTCGAGTCCCCTCTGTCACTCCCTTTGCGGGGTGCAGGGTGAGTCTGGGGTAGGGGTCCTGGAGCTGATGGTGTCCCCTGCAGAGCCAGCTGTCCCCTGGCCCCAGCGGCGCCTACCGGGAGTGCCTGGGCAAGCTGGAGCTGCAGTACGCCAAACTGCTGGTGAGCGCTGAGGGGGTCAGGGGATGGGGGCAGGCGTGGGGGGCGTGGGGCCTGGGGGTCAGGGGGGTGTGGGACATGGGGGGACAGGGGGGTGTGGGACATGAAGGGACAGTGCTGGGAACGTGTGGCATGGGGGGTCAGGGGGGTGTGGGACATGAGGGGACAATGCTGGGGACGTGTGGCATGGGGATCAGGGGCGTGTGGGACATGAGGGGACAATGCTGGGGATGTGGGGCCTGGGGGGTCAGGGGGGTGTGGGACATGAGGGGACAATGCTGGGGACGTGTGGCATGAGGGGTCAGGGGGGTGTGGGACATGAGGGGACAATGCTGGGGACGTGTGGCATGAGGGGACAATGCTGGGGATGTGTGGCATGGGGATCAGGGGGGTGTGGGACATGAGGGGACAGTGCTGGGGACATGTGGCATGGGGATCAGGGGCGTGTGGGACATGAGGGGACAATGCTGGGGACGTGCGGCATGAGGGGTCAGGGGGGTGTGGGACATGAGGGGACAATGCTGGGGACGTGTGGCATGGGGGTCAGGGGGGTGTGGGACATGAGGGGACAGTGCTGGGGAGGGGCTGTGTGCCATGAGGGGGTGACAAGGTGAGACCCCTGGCCCTGCTGGTGGGGTGTGAGATGGGGGGACCTGGCAGGGCTGTGTGACCTGATGGAGGAGAGGGGACAGGAGGGGGGACAGTGGTGAGGGGGTTGTGCTGGGGGTGAGTGTGGGGAGGAGGATGGGGAGATGTGGGGCAGGAGGAAGATGCAGGACATGGGGGGAAGTGGGGAGGAGGATGAGGGGGGACAGAGGGCGTGCAGGGGGCAGCCCTGTGGGGATGAGGCTGTGCAGGGTAGGGACACAGCTACAAACCACCCCCTGTGCCCCCCCAGAACTCCTCCAAGGCACGGCTGCGGCACCTGGAGAGTCTCCACGGCTTTGTCAGCGCCGCCACCAAGGAGCTGCTGTGGCTGAGCGAGCGCGAGGAGGAGGAGGTGGCCTTCGACTGGAGCCACAACAACCCCGCCATGGCGGCCAAGAAGGAGAGTTACTCGGTACGGGCACGGAGGGTGACACCTGGGCATGGGGATGGGGATGGGCACAGACACGGACACAGGGATGGGCATGGACACGGATATGGGGATGGGCACGGACACAACATGGGTACAGGCATGGGTATGGACACAGGGATGGACAGGGGATGGACATGGACATGGACACGGACACGGGGATGGGCACGGACACAACATGGGTACAGGCATGGGTATGGACACAAGCATGGACATGGGGATGGGCATGGACACAACATGGGCATGGACACAGGGATGGGGATGGGCACAGACACAGGGATGGGCATGGACACAACATGAGGATGGGCATGGACACAGGGATGGGCATGGGGATGGGCACAGACACAGGGATGGGCATGGACACAACATGAGGATGGGCATGGATACAGGGATGGACATAGGGATAGGCACGGACATGGACATGTGGGTATGGGATGACATGGGTACAGGGATGGGCATGGACATGGGGATGGACATGAACACATGCATGGGCACAGGGATGGGCATGGACATGACATGGGCACAGGGATGGGCATGGACACAGGCATGCACACGGGCATGGACATGGACACGGGAATAGGCATGGACACTGGGATGGGCACAGACACAAAATGGGCACAGGGATGGGCATGGACACAGGGATGGACATGGGGATGGGCATGGACACAGACATGGACATGGACACAGTGTGGACACACAGGGATGGGCATTGACACAGACATGGACACAGGAATGAGCATGGACACGACATGGGCACGGGCGTGGACACAGGCACAGACCTGGGCATGGGCACGGACACAACACGGGCACAGGGATGGGCATGGATACGACATGGGCACAGGGATGGACACAGACATGGATGCAGGGATGGGTGTGGACATGGGCACAGAGATGGGCATGGCCATGGCATGGACATGCATGTGAGCAGACACACATGGAGGGCACAGCTGCTCCATGTGGGCGCATCCATGGACGCGCACACACACACACACACACACACACACACACACACACACGTGCCATCCCCACACACGCACACGGCTGTGTCCCCTGGTCCCCTCCCTGCTGTGCAGCACTGAGCCCCCATGTGCCCCCCACTCCCAGAGCTCCCATAACCCTCTGAGCACCCCCAGAGCCCCCCTTGCACACACAGCCCCAGCTGTAACCATGCACACAGAGCCGTGCACGCTGAACTCCCCTATCTCTGCTGGCCTTGCACATGCGTGTGAGCCCTGCCCCACCCTTCAGCCCTGCACACGTGTGTGAGCCCTGATCCCTGGCCCTGCACACGTGTGTGAGCCCTGCCCCCTGGCCCTTCACATGAATGTGAACCCTGACTGAACCCCCCAGCTGTGCACACGAGTGTGAGCCCTGAATGCCCCCCTGGCCACGCACACGAGTGTGAACCCTGATCCCTGGCCCTACACACGAGTGTGAGCCCTGGACCCCCTCCTGCCCCCTGGCCATGCACACGAGTGTGAGCCCTGCCCCTGCCCCTGCCACAGGCGCTGATGCGGGAGCTGGAGCTGCGGGAGCGGCGGATCCAGGAGCTGCGGAGCACAGGGGAGCGGCTGCTGCGGGAGGAGCACCCCGGGGCACAGACCCTGGAGGTGGGCATGGGGCTGAGGGCAAACGGGGGGCGTGAGAGGGGCTGGGGGGTGTGGGGCTGGGGGATCTGGGGGGTGTGGGGAATCTGGGGGGGGCCTGGGGGTCTCCGTGAATTTGGGGCAACTGAAGGGGCTGGGAGGATCTGAGGGGCACTTTGGGGCTTTGGTGGGTTGGGGAGTTGGTTCAGGAGGGTCTGGGCACTGGAGGTCACCGGAGGGGGGTGCAGCAGGCACTGGGGTTACTGGTCTGGCGGTCACTGGAGGGGGGTGCAATGGGCACTGGGAGTCACTGGAGGGGGGGTTCAGCGGGCACTGGGGGGCACTGGTGTGGCTGCCTGTAGCAGTATGGGCACTGGTGTGGGTGCAGGTGAGGATGCAGGTCAGGTGTGGATGCAGGTGTGGGTGCAGGTGAGGATGCAGGTCAGGTGAGGATGCAGGTCAGGTGAGGATGCAGGTCAGGTGTGGGTGCAGGTCAGGTGTGGATGCTGGTGAGGGTGCAGGTGTGGCTGCAGGCCCCTGTAGCGGTGCAGGTGTGGCTGCAGGCCCCTGTAGCGGTGCAGGTGAGGGTGCAGGTGTGGCTTCAGGCCCCTGTAGTGGTGCAGGTGTGGCTGCAGGCCCCTGCAGCGGTGCAGGTGAGGGTGCAGGTGAGGGTGCAGGCCCCCGTAGCGGTGCAGGTGCCCTCGGTGCCAGCCCCGGTGTCCCCCCCTGCTCCCCCCAGGCGTTCCTGGCAGCGCTGCAGACCCAGTGGAGCTGGATGCTCCAGCTCTGCTGCTGCATTGAGACCCACCTGAAGGAGAACACCAACTACTTCCAGGTACGGGTGGTGCCAGGGCGGGGCTGGGAGCGGGAGGGAAGGTGTGGCCCCCAAAGCTGACCCTTGGCCCCCCCAGTTCTTCGCCGAGGTGCGGGAGGCCGAGGAGCTGCTGCGCAAGACGGAGGAGACGATGCGGCGCAAGTTCAGCTGCGACCGCGGCACCACAGCCACGCGCCTCGAGGACCTGCTGCAGGACCTGGCGGTGAGGGCACCCCCGAGACCCCCAGGGAGACCCCCAGACCCCGGGGGGACCTCCACAGTGACCCCCAGGGTGACCCTGCCCCTGCCCAGATCTGCAGGGTGACCCTGCCCCATGACCTCGTAGCGAGGGCAGGTGGGAGCTCAGGGGGCTGCTCGAGTGGAGCCCCCCAAGATCCTCAGGGTGACCCCAGCCCCATGGCAAGCCCAGGCTCACCCCACGTGCGGGGTGACCCCAGCCCCTGGTGACTCTGAGATGGCAGCTCCCCAGAATCAGCGTCCCACAGCAGCCCCTGGGGTGTCCAGCTGCAGAGTGCTGGGGTGCCCACCCCACTGCAGCCCCTGGGGTGACCCCAACACGTCCATTGCTGCAACAGATTGGGATGACCCCCCTGCCTCATATTCCTGACCCCTCCTCCAACTCCTGAGACCCCCCCCCAAATCCCAAGAGCTCCCAAAACCTTTGAGACCTCCTGATATTTCGGAGCGCTCTCAAAAAAGCTGGTACCTCCCTAAGATTCTGATGCCCCCTCAATGCCATGGGGCACCCCAAGTCCTGAGGTGTCCCAAACGTGCCCCCACAGGAGCAGAAGGAGCAGCTGGCAGAGCTGGGGGCGCAGCTGGGGGCTCTGTCCCGCCGTGCCAGGACCATCGTGCAGCTGAAGCCACGCAGCCCCTCGACACCCCTGCAGGGCCGGCCCCCCATCCAGGCTGTCTGCGACTACAAGCAAATGGAGGTGAGAGGGACACGAGGCTGGGATTGGGGTTGGTCCCCCTGGGGAGGCCGTGGGGGGATGTGGGGGGGACGTGGTGGGTCCACCACCCCGGTCTGGTGCTGCCCCAGCCCCATTGAGGGACACAGGAGGATCCCCCCGTCATGGTATGGCACCACCCTGGGGGACAAGGGGACACATGGGAGACCTCCCACCCTGCTCTCACGCTGCCCCAGCCCCTTGGGGGGACACAGAAGGACCCCCACCCACACTGAGACCATACCAGTCCCATAGGGAAATGTGGGGGCGCATTGGGGAATATCGGGGGGGACACTGGGGAATATCAGGGGGGACACGGGAATATGGGGGCACACTGGGGAATATGGGGGCACACTGGGGAATATGGAAGAGGCACAGATGGACACAAGGGCCGCAGCCCACCCTGACCCCCCGCCCCGCAGGTGACGGTGCACAAGAACGACACCTGTGCCCTGGTGAACCACGCGCAGCCGCAGCAGTGGCGGGTGCTGAGCGCCGCCGGCAGCGAGGCCGTCGTCCCCTCGGTCTGCTTCCTCCTGCCTCCCCCCAACAAGGAGGCTCTGGACGCCGTGCACAGGTGGGGACGGTGACCCTGCACCCCACCCGGGTGTCCCCCCCTGTGTCCCCCCTCTAACTCCACGTGCCCACAGGCTGGAGGCCACCCACCAGCAGCTGCTGGGGCTGTGGCAGCAGCTGCACCAGGACCTGCGCAGCCTCCGCGCCTGGCAGTACCTGACCCGGGACATCCAGCAGATCCACTCCTGGACGCACGTCACGGTGAGTTCCTGGGGCTCCCGGAGCCGCACTGGGGTCCCGGGGGTCCCAGCAGGGGCTGACAGGGCCGTGCTCCCCCAGTTCCGCACGCTGCCGGCTGAGGAGGTGCGCCAGGTGCTGTCCAGCCTGGAGAGGCACTACCAGGAGTTCCTGCGGGACAGCCAGGACTCGCAGAGCTTCCAGCCCGACGACCGGCTGCAGGTGGAGCGCGACTACAACGCCTGCACTCACAAGTACGAGCTGCTGCTGCGGAGCCAGGAGAAAGGTGGGTGTGCCCTCTCTGCCCCCTCTGGAAGGTGGCGGTGCCCAGGGTTTCCCCAGGTCCTTGAGGTGATCTGCAGGTCCTGGTGGTGTCCCTGGGGTGACCTGCAGGTCCTTGTGGTCCCTGGGGTATCGCCATGGTGCAGAGCTGCTCCAGTCTTCCCCCTCTCGCACTGGCTCCTGGGGTGTCCCCAGGGTGCTGAGCCATCTCTGCATCCTCCCCTTTCCACCATGGATCACCGTGTTGTCCGCACAGTCTGAGCCATCCCTGTGTCCCCTCTTCCTGCCGTGAGTTCCCACGGTGTCCCCATGGTGCTGAGCCATCCTGGTGTCACTGTGGGTCCCTGTGGTGTCCCCATGGTGCTCAGCCATCCCTGTGTCCCCTCTCCCTGCTGTGGGTCCCCAGGGTGCTGAGCCATCCCCATGTCACCTCTCCCTCCTGTGGGTCCCTGTGTTGTCCCCACAATCTGAGCCATCCAGGTGTCCCCTCTCCCTGATGTGGGTCCCCAGGTGTCCCCAGGGTCCTGAGCCATCCCCATGTCCCCTCTCTCTACTATGGGTCCCCAGGGGGTCCCCATGGTGCTGAGCCATCCTGGTGTCACTGTGGGTCCCTGCGGTGTCCCCGTGGTGTCCCAGGGCACTGAGCCATTCCGGTGTCACTGTCGGTCCCCGCGGTGTCCCCGTGGTGTCCCAGGGTACTGAGCCATCCCCGCTGTCCCCACAGGAGAGCAGGACGAGTCTCTGTGCAAGAGCTACATCTCGCAGCTGAAGGACATCCGGCTGCAGCTGGAGAGCTGCGAGAGCCGCACCGTGCACCGCCTGCGCCTGCCCCTCAAGGCCGACCCCCTGCGCGAGTGCGCCCAGCGCCAGGCGGAGCAGCAGGTGTGGGACATGTGTGGGAGCCCGTGGGGACTGCCCATGGGGCCATCCCCCATGTGTGGGAGCCCAGGGAACTGTCCCAGTGCATCTCCCACATGTGGGAGCCCAGGAACTGCCCTGGTGCATCCCCCACGTGTGGGAGCCTGGGGGAACTGTCCCAGTACATCTCCCACATGTGGGAGCCCAGGAACTGCCCTGGTGCATCCCCCACGTGTGGGAGCCTGAGGGAAGTGCCCCAGTGCATCCCCCACATGTGGGAGCTCAGGAACTGCCCCAGTGCATCCCTCACAAGTGGGAGCCCAGGGGAACTGCCCCAGTGCATCCCCCATGTATGGGAGCCCAGGGAACTGCCCCAGTGCATCCCCCATGTGTGAGAGCCTGGGGGAACTGCCCCAGTGCATCCCCCCAGGATCCTCAGGGTGACACCTCCAGGGTGACCCCAGGGTGACCCCAGCCATGTGACACGCCTGTGACGTGTAGTGTGCACAGATGGGCCTGGGGGAATGGTTTGGGTTGGAACAGCTCAGTGCCAAGCTGGGCCTGGGGGAATGGTTTGGGTTGGAAAATCCCTCGGAGCCCATTGAGTCCACCCAAGGCCACCCCTGAGCGTGTCCCCAGGTGATCCACACGGCTGTAAAATCTCCCCAGGGCTGGCACTCTGGCCCTGCCCTGGGCAGCTGTGCCAGGGCTGGAGAGCCCCTCCAGGAGGAGTTTTCCCAAAATCCCTCCTCAACCTCCCCTGTCCACCTGCACCTACGGGCTGCAGAGCCTTCCCCTGCTCCGCTCCTCCTGGGATCCAAGAAGGGGGGAGCATTTGGCCAGGAGTTGGCCCTGCCCTGCAGCCAGCAAGCACTGAGGGACTCTTTCCCTGCAGCAAACACACCTGGAGCTGGAGGGCATCCAGAAGAACCTGGCCAAAGTCAGCGAGAAGACGGAGCAGGTGCTGGCGCAGCCGGAGCAGGCGGGCTCGGCCCCCGTGCTGCGCTCCGAGCTGGAGGTCACCCTGCGCAAGATGGAGCAGGTGTACAGCCTGTCCAGCATCTACCTGGAGAAGTGAGTCAGCCCTGGCACCTGGAAACGAGCCTGGGCACTTGGGAGGCCGTGGGGAGTCTGGGGAGAGCCAGCATGCCTTTCCCTTCCTTTTCCTTCCCTCTTCTCCCTTTTGTTTCTCTTTTCCCTTTTTTCTCTTTCCCCCTTTTTTTTTTCTCTTTTGTCCTTTTCCCCCTTTTTTCCTTTCCCCCTTTTTATACTTTTCCCTTTTTTCCCTTTTCCTTTTCTCCTTTTCCCCTTTTTCTTCCTTTCCCCCTTTCCCTTCCCTCATGGGTCTGTGGTGCTGCTCTTGCTGGGCTGCCCGCTCCCATCCTGATCCCTCCTGATCCATCCTGCTCCTGCTCCCACCCTGCTCCCGGCTGATCCCGATCCTGATCCTACTCCCGCTCCCATCCTGATCCCTCCTGATCTATCCCGCTCCTGCTCCCACCCCGCTCCCGGCTGATCCCGATCCCGCTCCCGGCTGATCCCGGCTGATCCCACTCCCGCTCCCGGCTGATCCCGATCCCGCTCCCGGCTGATCCCGATCCTGATCCCGATCCGCTCCCATCCTGATCCCTCCTGATCCATCCCGCTCCTGCTCCCGCCCCACTCCCGCTCCCGGCTGATCCCGGCTGATCCCACTCCCGCTCCCGGCTGATCCCGCTTCCGGCTGCTCCCGGCTGATCCCGCTCCCGCTCCCGGCTGATCCCGCTCCCGCTCCCGGCTGATCCCGATCCCTCTCCTGGCTGATCCCGTCCTGCTCCCGGCTGATCCCGCTCCCGCTCCCGGCTGATCCCGATCCCACTCCTGGCCGATCCTGCTCCCGGCTGCTCCCGCTCCTGCTCCCGGCTGATTCCGATCCCACTCCCGGCCGATCCTGCTCCCGGCTGCTCCCGGCTGATGCCGCCCCTGTGCCGCAGGCTCAAGACCATCGGGCTGGTGATCCGGAGCACGCAGGGGGCTGAGGAGCTGCTCCGCAAGTACGAGGAGCAACTGAAGGACGTGCAGGCAGTGCCGGCCGACCTGGCTGAGCTGGAGGCCAGCAAGGCTGAGCTTAAGGTACCGGGGGCTCTGGGGTGCCGAGGGGAGCTGGGGGTGGCCTGGGGACACCGCGGCCGGCCCTGACCGGTGCCCATCTGCCACAGCGGCTGCGGGCACAGGCCGAGGGGCACCAGCCCTTCTTCAGCACTCTGGAGACCGACCTGGGCAAGGCCAAGGACGTCAACGAGCGGATGGTGCGCGGCCACAGCGAGCGGGACGTGGACCTGGAGCGGTACCGGGAGCGGGTGCAGCAGCTGCTGGAGCGCTGGCAGGCCGTGCTGGGCCAGGCCGACCTGCGGCAGCGCGAGCTGGACCAGCTGGGCCGCCAGCTGGGCTACTACAGGCAGAGCTGCGACGCGCTGCGCCAGTGGATCCGCGACGCCCGGCAGCGCCAGGAGGCCATCCAGGCCGTGCCCATCACCGACAGCCAGGCCGTGCGCGAGCAGCTGCTGCAGGAGAAGGTAGGGCTGGCCTAGGGGGCAAGGTAGGGCTGGCCATGGGGGCAAGGTAGGGCTGGCCATGGGGCAAGGTAGGGCTGGCCATGGGGGCAAAGTAGGGCTGGCCATGGGGCAAGGCAGGGCTGGCCTAGGGGCCAAGGTAGGGCTGGCTGTGGGGGGCAAGGTAGGGCTGGCCTAGGGGGCAAGGTAGGGCTGGCTGTGGGGCAGGGGGTGCTCCTGGCCATCCCCAGTGGGGCAAGGGGTGCTCCCAGCCATGCCCAGCAGGCTGAGGGGTGTGCCTGGCCATCCCAAATGGGTAAGGGGTGCTCCTGGCCATCCCCAATGGGGCAAGGGGTGCTCCTGGGCATCCCCAGTGGAGCAAGGAGTGCTCCAGGGCATTCCACAGCAGGACAAGGGGCGATCTCAGCTGTCCCTGGCCATGGTGTGGCAAGGGATTCCCCTGGCATCCCCAGCAGAGTGCAGATCTGCCCATCTCTGTCTGTGGCAGAGTGAGGGGAGTGCTTGGCTGTCTCCAGCCATGGCACTTTGAGTGTTGCTCTTGGGAGGCTGCAGCAGGAGTGGGACCATCCCTGGCCATGGCACCTGGTGGGTGGGTGCTCTCAGCCATCCCCAGTGGGATGGGGGGTGTTCCTGACCATTTTTGGCTGCAGCGGGGTGAGGGGTGCTCCCGGCCATTCCCAGCCATGCAGGGCAAGGGGTGCTCTTGGACATCCCTGGCCATGGCAGGGTGAGGTGTGCTCTTGGGTGGCCATGGCAGGGTGAGGTGTGCTCTCGGGTGGCTGTGGGGTGCCTGGGCTCACCCCCACTTGTCTCCCCAGAAACTGCTGGAGGAGTGTGAGCAGCACAAGGAGAAGGTGGAGGAGTGCCAGCGCTATGCCAAGCAGTACATCGACGCCATCAAGGTGGGCCTGGGGGGCTGGGGAGGCAGCACAATGTCCTGCAGGGGGTGGGCTCACAGCACCGTGGCCAGGGGTGGCAGAGCTTTGATCACTCTCTCCTCATCAGGACTACGAGCTGCAGCTGGTGAGCTTCAAGGCACAGGTGGAGCCGGTGGCATCGCCGGCCAAGAAGCCCAAAGTGCAGTCGGCATCTGACAGCATCATCCAGGAGGTGAGGGAGGGCGCTCACTGCCACTGGCCGGGGGTGTCCTGCAGCTCCTGGGGCGTGGCTGCTCACTGAAGGGGTGGATTTGGGGCTGTGGCGCGTGGTTGTGCAGCCCAATCATTGCCGGGGTACTGGTGGGCAAGCTCCCCTCTCTCGTGCTGACCCCCTGTCTCCACAGTACGTGGACCTGCGGACGCAGTACAGTGAGCTGACCACGCTCACCACCCAGTACATCAAGTTCATCACCGAGACACTGCGGCGGCTGGAGGACGAGGAGGTAGGGAGCAGTGCAGGGCGGCATGGCCAGCTGTGTGACCAAAAGGAGCGCAGTTCACGGGGTCCCTGGCCCCATCACTAACACCAGCCCACGGCCATGACCCCAGCCCTTTCACTGCTGGTAGCTCACATCCATGACTCTGGCCCCACCACTAATGCCAGCCTATGGCCGTCACTCCCGCCCCATCACTAACAGCAGCTCATGGCTGTGACTCCAGCCCTGGCCCCGTCACTAACAGCAGCCCATGGCTGTGATTCCGACTCCAGCCCCACCACTAACAGCAGCCAATGGCTGTGATTCCAGCTCCAGCCCCATCACTAACAGCAGCCCATGGCTGTGACTCCAGCCCTGGCCCCGTCACTAACAGCAGACCATGGCTGTGATTCCAGCTCCAGCCCCATCACTAACAGCAGCCAATGGCTGTGACTCCAGCCCTGGCCCCGTCACTAACAGCAGCCCATGGCTGTGACTCCAGCCCTGGCCCCATCACTAACAGCGGCCCATGGCTGTGAATCCAGCCCCAGCCCCATCACTAACAGCAGCCCATGGCTGTGACTCCAGCCCTGGCCCCATCCCTAACACTGGCCAATGGCTGTGACTCCAGCCCTGGCCCCGTCACTAACACTGACCCATGGCTGTGATTCCAGCTCCAGCCCCATCACTAACAGCAGCCCATGGCTGTCACTCCAGCCCCATCACTAACAGCAGCCCATGGCTGTGACTCCAGCCCTGGCCCCACTACTAATGCCAGCTCTTGGCTGTGATTCCAGCCCTGGCCCCATCACTAACACTGACCCATGGCTGTGACTCCAGCCCTGGCCCCACCACTAACGCCAGGCAATGGCTGTGATTCCAGCCCTGGCACCATTACTAACAGCAGCCCATGGCTGTGACTCCAGCCCCAGCCCCGTCACTAACAGCAGCCCATGGCTGTCACTCCAGCCCCAGCCCCATCACTAACAGCAGTCCATGGCTGTGGTTCCAGCCCTGGCCCCATCACTAACAGCAGCCCATGGCTGTCACTCCAGCCCCAGCCCCATCACTAACAGCAGCCCATGGTTGGGGCTCCTGACCCATGACTAACACTGGCCCATGGCCATGACTCCAGCCCTATCACTAATACTGGCCCACGGCCCCTAACTCCTGCTCCCTGCTGGGTTCCTGGGAGCAAGGCTGCTGGCTCTGCGTACAGGGGGTCTCTGAGCCAAGCTGGCTCTGGGCACTGGGGGCTCTGGTGTGACTGGTGGTAGGAGGCACTTCCCAGATACACGTAGTGCAGTCAGCACCTGCCTGCGCATGCTGCTGTGCTGGGCGCTGGCCCGCGGGGTCTGGCGCGGGGTAACCTCTCTAACTCTTGGTTTCTGCCCTTGGAGCTGCTTTGCCAGTGCTTTTTCTTGGGGAATATTTGTGTTGGTGGGGATCTAATGGAGGGTAAAAAACCAGGATGACTCTGGCAGCCGTGCACCAGGTACTCACTCTGCGCATGCCCTCTCCCCGCGGCACCCTCCGCCTGCCCCACGGCTCACCCTCTCCTCCTCGCCCTCGTCTACATCTGTGCTGCTCTGGGACCAGGGGTCCGGTGTGGGGTCTGGCTCCCCTGCATGCACTGCCTGTGCCCGGGCCCTGCAGAACGTGCGGCTGCCTCGCTCACGGTGCATGTGATGCGCCAGCTGCGTTGGCCCTTTGGCAGACCCTGCTCCCAGTTGCCTGGAGAGGGCTGGGAGGGTTTTGAACCAGCTGAACCACTCTCTCCTGTTGAGGCTTTCCCGGCAGGGAAGGCTCTGCTGGCACCGCCCTGGCACGGCTCCCCTCTCTTGTGCTCCCAGTGCTCCGGCCGTCTCTCTCCTTTCCCCATGGCAGGGGCTGTCTGTGCCAGCCCCCTCGCAGGGGGAGCCAGGGTGGTGATGTGCACGCTGCTCGCATCGTCTTCATCGCTTGGGCTCCGCTCGCTCTCTGTTCCTTGTCTCTGGAGCGTGGCTTCCTGCGCTGCTGTCTGGCTCCTGTTGCCTGTCTGCCTGTGCTGTCGTGTGTCCCCTGTTGTGCCACACATCTTCTGGAAGCTGGCGTCACCGGCTCGTGCGGTGGCCCAGGGGCCGAAGCCATTCCACGCGCATCTGCCACCCCTCCGCTGTCTCGGCAGTGTGCGGCTGGGCCAGCATCGATTCCACGGCGCGATCGCATCCCTTGTGATTTGTCTCTCTCTCCCCTCTCTGTCCCCTGCACCCTCTTTCCCCTCCAGAAAGCCGCCGAGAAGCTGAAAGAGGAGGAGAGGAAGCGGCTGGCGGAGGTGGAGGCGCAGCTGGAGAAGCAGCGGCAGCTGGCCGAGGCCCACGCCAAAGCCAAGGCACAGGCAGAGGCGGAGGCGCGGGAGCTGCAGCTCCGCATGCAGGAGGAGGTCACCCGGCGGGAGGTGGTGGCCGTGGATGCCGAGCAGCAGAAGCAGAACATCCAGCAGGAGCTGATGCAGCTGCGGCAGAACTCGGACCACCAGATCAAGTCCAAGGTGAAGCTGATTGAGGAGGCTGAGTACAACCGCAAAAAGGTGGAGGAGGAGATCCGCCTGATCCGCCTGCAGCTGGAGAGCACCGAGAAGCAGCGGGAGAGTGCAGAGACAGAGCTGCAGGAGCTGCGGGCACGTGCCGAAGATGCCGAGCGGCAGAAGCGGCAGGCACAGGAGGAGGCCGAGCGCCTGCGCCGGCAGGTGAAGGAGGAGAGCCAGAAGAAGCGGGAGGCGGAGGAGGAGCTGAAGCGCAAGGTGCAGGCCGAGCGCGAAGCGGCCCGGGAGAAGCAGAAGGCAGTGGCAGACCTGGAGCAGCTGCGGCTGCAGGCGGAGGAGGCTGAGCGACGCATGCGGCAGGCAGAGGCCGAGAAGGACCGGCAGATCCAGGTGGCCCAGGAGGTGGCCCAGCGCAGCGCTGAGGCCGAGCTGCAGAGCAAGAGGCTCTCTTTCGCTGAGAAGACGGCACAGCTGGAGCTGTCGCTGCAGCAGGAGCATGATGTGGTGGCCCAACTGCAGGAGGAGGCCGAGCGGCTCAAGAGGCAGCAGCTGGAGGCCGAGCGCTCGCGGGAGGAGGCCGAGAAGGAGCTGGAGCGCTGGCGGCAGAAGGCCAACGAGGCGCTGCGCCTGCGTCTGCAGGCTGAAGAGGTGGCCCACAAGAAGTCACTGGCACAGGAGGAGGCCGAGAAGCAGAAGGAGGATGCTGAGCGCGAGGCCCGCAAACGCGCCAAGGCAGAGGAGGTGGCCGTGCGGCAGAAGGAGCTGGCGGAGGAAGAGCTGGAAAAGCAGCGGGAGCTGGCAGAGGGCACAGCCCAGCAGAAGCTGGCGGCGGAGCAGGAGCTGATCCGGCTGAAGGCAGAGATGGAGAACGGGGAGCAGCAGCGCCTGCTCCTGGAGGAAGAGCTCTCGCGGTTGAAGGGTGAGGTAAACGAGGCCATCCAGAGGAGGAAAGAGCTGGAGGAGGAACTGGCCAAGCTGAGGGCAGAGATGGAGGTCCTGCTGGAGAGCAAGGCCAAGACAGAGGAGGAGTCGCGCTCCAGCAGTGAGAAGTCCAAGCAGCGGCTGGAGGCGGAGGCCAACAAGCTGCGGGAGCTGGCCGAGGAGGCCGCCCGCCTGCGCGCCCTCTCCGAGGAGGCCAAGCGGCAGCGGCAGCTGGCAGAGGACGAGGCCACCCGGCAACGGGCTGAGGCCGAGCGCATCCTGAAGGAGAAGCTGGCGGCCATCAACGAGGCCTCACGGCTGAAGGCAGAGGCGGAGATCGCGCTGAAGGAGAAGGAGGCGGAGAACGAGCGGCTGCGGCGGCTGGCGGAGGACGAGGCCTACCAGCGCAAGCTGCTGGAGGAGCAGGCGGCCCAACACAAGCAGGACATCGAGGAGAAGATTGCCCTGCTGAAGCGCTCCTCAGAGAGCGAGCTGGAGAGGCAGAAGGGGCTCGTGGAGGATACGCTGCGGCAGCGGCGGCAGGTGGAGGAGGAGATCCGCGCCCTCAAGGCCAGCTTCGAGAGGGCCTCAGCTGGCAAGAGCGAGCTGGAGCGGGAGCTGAACCGCATCCGTGGGGAGGCAGAGGAGGTGCAGCGCAGCCGGGAGCAGGCGGAGCGGGAGGCTGAGCGGCAGCGGGCGCTGGCGCTAGAGGAGGAGGGCCGCCGGCGCGAGGCCGAAGAGAAGGTGCAGGCCATCCTGGCGGCCGAGGAGGAGGCCGGGCGGCAGCGGCGGCTGGCCCTGGAGGAGGTGGAGCGGCTGCGGGCCATGGTGGAGGAGGCGCGGCGGCAGAAGGAACTGGCGGAGAAGGAGTCGGAGCGGCAGATCCAGCTGGCACGGGAGGCGGCGCAGAAGCGGATTGCAGCGGAGGAGAAGGCGCACCTGGCTGCCGTGCAGCAGAAGGAGCAGGAGCTGCTGCAGACGCGCCAGCAGGAGCAGAGCCTCCTGGACCGGCTGCGCGAGGAGGCTGAGCGGGCCCGGCGGGCGGCTGAGGAGGCTGAGTTTGCCCGTGGCAAGGCCGAGCAGGACGCCAGCTTGTCCCGGCAGCGCGTGGAGGAGGCTGAGCGGCTGAAGCAGCGGGCAGAGGAGGAGGCGCAGGCCAAGGCACAGGCACAGGCGGACGCAGAGAAGCTGCGGAAGGAGGCCGAGCTGGAGGCGGCGAAACGGGCGCAGGCGGAGCAGGCGGCCCTGAGGCAGAAGCAGCTGGCCGACGCCGAGATGGAGAAACACAAGAAGTTTGCCGAGCAGACACTGCGACAGAAGGCGCAGGTGGAGCAGGAGCTGACCAAGGTGAAGTTGCAGCTGGATGAGACAGACCACCAGAAGGGCATCCTGGATGAGGAGCTGCAGCGGCTGAAGGAGGAGGTGACAGATGCCGTCCGGCAGAAGGCCCAGGTGGAGGAGGAGCTCTTCAAGGTGCGGGTGCAGATGGAGGAGCTGGCCAAGCTGAAGAGCCGCATCGAGGAGGAGAACAAGGCGCTGATCCTCAAGGACAAGGACAACACGCAGAAGTTCCTGGCGGAGGAGGCAGAGAAGATGAAGCAGGTGGCAGAGGAGGTGGCCCGGCTGAGCGTGGAGGCGCAGGAGGCCGCCCGCATGCGGCAGCTGGCTGAGGACGACCTGGCGCAGCAGCGGGCCCTGGCAGAGAAGATGCTGAAGGAGAAGATGCAGGCGGTGCAGGAGGCCACACGGCTGCGGGCCGAGGCTGAAATGCTGCAGAAGCAGAAGGATCTGGCACAGGAACACGCCAAGAAGCTGCAGGAGGACAAGGAGCAGATGCAGCAGCGCCTGGCTGAGGAGACCGAGGGCTTCCAGAAGACGCTGGAGGCTGAGCGCCGGCGGCAGCTGGACATCACGGCTGAGGCCGAGCGCCTCAAGCTGCAAGTGGCGGAGATGAGCATGGCCCAGGCCAAGGCTGAGGAGGAAGCCAAGCGGTTCAAAAAGCAGGCGGAGGAGATCAGTGAGAGGCTGCATGAGACTGAGCTGGCCACACAGGAGAAGATGACGATGGTGCACACTCTGGAGATCCAGCGGCACCAGAGCGATGAGGATGCCGAAAAGCTGCGGAAGGCCATCGCTGACCTGGAGAAGGAGAAGGAGAAGCTGAAACAGGAGGCAGCGCTGCTGCAGCAGAAGGCAGAGGAGGTACTGGGCTGCGGGTCCCCCTTAGTGGTGGTGGTACACAGGGAGGCTGTCCCTCTTCCCAGCCAGCCCACACCATCCCTGGGCGGTCCCCAGGGACCATCACTGGGGATGGTGGGGCTGGACCGCCTGTGCAGGTCAGGGATGTGCGTAGAGTTGGAGGCGGTGGTGCAAAGCCCTCAGGCAGCGTCGGAGCAGGACCCCAAACCCCTGGAGCCATGGAGGTGGGATCCCCACCGCCTGCGCTGGCTCTTCCACCCCATGGCACGTCCTGCCGTGTTCCTCTCTGTGCCCAGCTCCCCGCCTGAGTGCTGGGGGTTCCCTTGTGTCCTTCCCCTGGTCATCCTGCCTCATGTTGTGTGTGGCTCCCTAACCCCGGCTCTGCTCCTTAGCTCTTACCTGTTGTAGAGAGTGTGTGGGTGACTGTGCCTCCGTGCCACCCCTGCCGCCCGTCCCCCTGCCTCAGCCCACCCTCAGTCCCCCACTGCCCTCCTGGGTGTCTGACTGCACTGCTCTCTCTCCCACCCCAGATGCAGGTGGCCCAGCAGGCTCAGCTCCGTCAGGAGACGCAGCTCCTGCAGCAGAGCTTCCTGACGGAGAAAGATGCCCTGCTGCAGAAGGAGAAGTTCATTGAGGAGGAGAAATCAAAGCTGGAGAAGCTCTTTAAGGATGAGGTGAACAAAGCCCAGAACCTGAAGGCAGAGCAGGAGCGGCAGCAGCGGGAGATGGAGCAGGAGAAGCAGCAGTTGAAAGCTATGTTAGAGGAAGCCAAGAAACATCAGAAGGAAGCTGAGGAAAACGTCCGGCACAAGCAGGAGGAGCTACAGCAGCTGGAGAGGCAGCGACAGCAGCAGGAGAAACTTCTGGAAGAAGAGAACCAGAAGCTGAGGGAGAGGCTCGAGCAGATGCAGGAGGAGTACAAGGCTGCCCTGGCCCAGAGACGGGAGATCATGATCCAGACAGATGACCTGCCTGGGGAGGCGGTTACGACAACGCAGCTGCTGGATGTCAAGGCTGTGCCCAATGGCCGGGATGCAGTGGATGGCTTAGCCCAGAATGGGGAGCCGGAGTTCGCCTTTGACGGCATCCGGCAGAAGGTGTCAGCAGAGAAGCTGGCTGATGCCGGCATTCTGAGCAGGGAGAACTTGGACAAGTTGGCGAAGGGTGTTGTGAGTGTGGGCGAGCTCTCTCAGAGGGAGGATGTCAAGAAGTACCTGCAGGGCAAGAGCAGCATTGCCGGTTTGCTGATCAAACCCTCCAACCAGAAGATGAGCATCTACGAAGCCATGAAGAAGAAGCTGCTCAGCCCAGGCACAGCGCTGGTGCTCCTGGAGGCACAGGCTGCTTCTGGCTTCATCATTGACCCTGTGCGGAATGCAAGGCTCTCGGTGAACGAGGCGGTGCGAGAGGGGGTGATCGGGCCAGAGCTGCACAACAAGATGCTGTCGGCCGAGCGGGCTGTCACCGGCTATAAGGATCCGTACACAGGTGACAAGATCTCCCTGTTCCAGGCCATGCAGAAGGATCTGATCGTCAGGGACCATGGCATCCGCCTGCTCGAGGCCCAGATTGCCACTGGTGGCATCATCGATCCTGTCAACAGCCACCGCCTGCCCGTGGAAGCCGCCTACAAGCGTGGCTACTTCGATGAGGAGATGAATCAGGTCCTGTCTGACCCCACTGATGACACCAAGGGCTTCTTTGATCCCAACACTCAGGAGAACCTCACCTACCTGCAGCTCATGGAGCGGTGCGTGACTGACCCCGACACAGGGCTGTGCCTCCTGCCGCTCACTGACCAAGCAGCCAAAGGCAGGGAGCTGGTCTACACCGACAAGGAAGCCAAGGACGTCTTCAAGAAGGCCACAGTGACAGCACCGTTTGGCAAGTTCCAAGGGAAGACGATGACCATCTGGGAGCTCATCAACTCTGAATACTTCACTGAGGACCAAAGGCGGGACCTGATCCAGCAGTACAGGACTGGCAAGATCACAGTGGAGAAGATCATCAAGATCGTCATCACGGTTGTGGAGGAAAGTGAGAAAAAGAGCCAGATGTGCTTTGAGGGCCTGCGGGGCCCCGTGCCTGCTGCCGAGCTGCTGGAGAGCAAGATCATCAACAAGGACCTCTACAACCAGCTGCACCAGGGCAAGAAGTCCGTAAAGGACGTGGCAGAGATGGAGTCCGTACGGCAGTACCTGAAGGGCGTGGATGCCATCGCTGGTGTCCTGGTGGAGTCTACGGGTCAGAAGCTCACCTTCTACGAGGCCCTGAAGAGAAACCTGCTGAGGCCAGAGGTTGCCCTATCCCTGCTGGAGGCACAAGCTGCCACCGGCTACATCATTGACCCTGTGGGCAACAAGCTCTTCTCCGTGGATGAGGCAGTGAAGGCCGAGGTGGTGGGGCCGGAGTTCCATGAGAAGCTGCTGTCGGCAGAGAAGGCGGTCACTGGCTACAAGGATCCCTACACGGGTCAGACGGTTTCCCTCTACCAAGCACTCCAGAAGGGCCTCATCCCCAGCGACACTGGGCTCCGGCTGCTGGATGTCCAGCTTGCCACTGGCGGCATCATCGACCCCGTCAACAGCCACCGGCTCCCGCTTGAGGTCGCCTACAAGCGTGGCTACTTCGACCCAGAGATAAACAAGGCTCTGACTGAGTTCCAAGATGAAGCCAAGGCTTTCTACTGTCCCAACACCCAGGAACACCTCACCTATGCCCAGCTGCAGAAGAGCTGCCACCGCGACAAGCAGACTGGCCTGTGCCTGCTGCCCCTGTCCGACAAGGCAATCCAGTCACAGCAGGAGGAGGTCTACACCGACAGCCAGGCCAAGGAGTGCTTCGACAAAGCAACCATCGAGGTCCCGGTGGGCAGCATGAAGGGCCAGACAATGACCATCTGGGAACTGATCCACTCTGAATACTTCACAGAGGAGCACAGGCGAGAGCTGCTCCGACAGTACAAGACCGGCAAAGTGACAATCGAGAAGATCATCAAGATTGTGATCACCATCATCGAGGAGGCAGAGACCAAAAAGCAGGAGAAACTGACATTCAGTGGTCTGCGCGCTCCGGTGCCAGCCAGTGAGCTGCTGGAGTCCTGCATCATCAGCAAAACCCAATATGAGCAGCTGAAGGAAGGCAAGAAATCAGTGAAGGAACTCTCGGAGACAGATGCGGTGAGGAGATTCCTGCATGGCAGCGACTGCATTGCTGGCGTCTATGTGGAGGCCACCAAGGAAAAGCTGAACATCTATGAGGCCATGAGGAGGAACCTGCTGAGACCCAGCACTGCTGTGGTCCTCCTGGAGGCCCAGGCTGCCACTGGGTTCTTAATTGACCCTGTGAAGAACCGTAAACTGTACGTCAACGAGGCGGTGAAGGCTGGCATTGTCGGGCCTGAGCTGCACGAGAAGCTGCTGTCTGCTGAGAAGGCTGTCACGGGGTACAAGGATCCCTACTCGGGCGATACCATCTCCCTGTTCCAGGCCATGAAGAAAGGGCTGATTGTCAAGGAGCACGGCATCCGTCTGCTCGAGGCCCAGATCGCCACTGGCGGCATCATCGACCCCGTGCACAGCCACCGCCTGCCCGTGGAGGTGGCCTACAAGCGTGGCTACTTCGACGAGGAGATGAACCGGACCCTCTCCGACCCCACTGATGACACCAAGGGCTTCTTTGACCCCAACACTCAGGAGAACCTCACCTATGTGCAGCTGAAGGAGAGGTGCATCGAGGATCCCGAGACAGGCCTGTACCTGCTGCCTCTGCGGGAGCCTGAGAAGCCAAAAGTGGTGGAAACCACTCACGTGTACACAGAAGCTGAGACACGGAAGGTGTTTGAGGAGACACAGGTGGACATCCCTGTGGGCAGCCGGGCAGGCTCCTCCATGTCACTGTGGGATGTCATGCACTCGGACCTGCTGCCCGAGGAGCAGCGTAAACATCTCATGGAGGAGTTCCAGTCGGGCCGCGTGTCCAAGGAGCGCATGATCATCATTATCATCGAGATCATCGAGAAGACTGAGATCATCCGGCAGCAGAATCTCACGTCCTATGACTACGTCCGGCGCCGCATCACAGCTGAGGACCTCTTCGAGGCCAAGATCATCACACAGGACATCTACAACCTACTGAAACAGGGCTCCAAAACCTTCCGGGAGCTCCTGGATGTGGAGACTGTCTGGAAGTACCTTTACGGGTCGGGCTGCGTGGCTGGCATCTACATCCCCTCCTCCAAGCAGACTCTCAGTGTCTACCAGGCACTGAAGAAGGGGCTGATCAATTCTGAAGTGGCCCGCTCCCTCCTGGAGGCCCAGGCAGCCACCGGCTTCATGATCGACCCCACAAAGAATGAAATGCTGACTGTTGATGAGGCGGTCAGGAAGGGGGTGGTGGGGCCAGAGATCCATGACCGGCTCCTGTCCGCAGAGAGGGCTGTGACCGGCTACAGAGACCCCTACAGTGAACAGAAGATTTCCCTCTTCCAGGCCATGAAGAAGGATCTCATTCCCAGCGAAGAGGCCCTCAAGCTCCTGGACGCCCAGATTGCCACCGGCGGCATAATTGACCCTCACTTGGGCTTCCACCTGCCCTTGGAGGTGGCTCTCCAGCGAGGCTTCATCAACAAGGAGACGTACGACATGCTGTCGGAGCCCAGTGAGGTGCGCAGCTATGTGGACCCCTCCACAGATGAGAAGCTCAGCTACACGCAGCTGCTGAGGCGGTGCCGCAAGGACGAGAACACCCGGCTCCTCCTGCTCCCGCTCTGTGACACACGGAAGCTCACCTTCCGGGGCCTGAGGAAGCAGATCACGGTGGAGGAGCTGGTCCTTTCGCAGGTGATGGACGAAGCCACAGCCCAGCGCCTCCAGGAGGGTCTCACCTCTGTTGAGGAAGTCTCTAAGAACCTGAAGAAGTTCCTGGAGGGCACCAGCTGCATCGCTGGCGTCTTTGTGGACTCCACAAAGGAGCGTCTGTCCATCTACCAGGCCATGAAGAAGGGGATCATCCGGCCTGGCACTGCCTTTGAGCTCCTGGAGGCACAGGCGGCCACGGGCTACGTGATTGACCCCATCAAGGGCCTCAAGCTGACAGTGGAGGAAGCCGTGCGCATGGGCATTGTGGGCCCCGAGTTCAAGGACAAGCTGCTCTCTGCTGAGCGGGCTGTCACTGGCTACCGGGACCCCTACACTGGAAAGCTTATCTCCCTCTTCCAGGCTATGAAGAAGGGTCTGATCCTGAAGGACCATGGGATCCGCCTGCTGGAGGCGCAGATTGCCACGGGAGGCATCATTGACCCTGAGGAGAGCCACCGCCTGCCTGTGGAGGTGGCCTACAAGAGGGGCCTCTTTGATGAGGAGATGAATGAGATCCTGCTGGACCCTAGTGACGACACCAAGGGCTTCTTCGACCCCAACACAGAGGAGAACCTCACCTACCTGCAGCTCATGGAGCGGTGCATCACGGACCCAGAGACCGGCCTGTGCCTCCTGCCTCTGAAGGAGAAGAAGCGGGAGAGGAAGACCTCCTCCAAGTCCTCCGTCCGCAAGCGCCGGGTGGTGATCGTTGACCCAGAGACAGGCAAGGAGATGTCCGTGTATGAAGCCTATCGCAAGGGCCTCATTGACCACCAGACTTACCTGGAGCTGTCAGAGCAGGAGTGCGAGTGGGAGGAGATCACCACCTCCTCCTCCGATGGCGTGGTGAAGTCAATGATCATCGACAGGCGCTCGGGGCGCCAGTATGACATCGACGATGCCATTGGCAAGGGTCTGATTGACCAGTCAGCCTTGGACCAGTACCGCTCGGGCACCCTCTCCATCACCGAGTTTGCTGACATGCTCTCTGGCAACATGGGTGGCTTCCGGTCGCGGTCGTCCTCGGTTGGATCCTCCTCCTCCTACACTGTCAGCCCAGCCCTGTCACGGACCCAGATCTCCATGTGGACTGACCCAACCGAAGAGACTGGGCCAGTGGCAGGCATCCTGGACACGGACACTCTGGAGAAGGTGTCCATCACGGAGGCGATGCGCCGCAACCTGGTGGACAACATCACAGGGCAGCGCCTGCTGGAAGCCCAGGCCTGCACCGGGGGCATCATCGACCCCAACACCGGTGACAAATGCACCGTCGCCGATGCGGTCACCAAGGGCCTGGTTGACAAGATCATGGTGGACCGCATCAACCTGGCGCAGAAGGCCTTCTACGGCTTTGAGGACCCGCGGACCAAGACGAAGATGTCGGCGGCGCAGGCCCTGAAGAAGGGCTGGCTGTACTACGAGGCCGGGCAGCGGTTCCTGGAGGTGCAGTACTTGACAGGGGGCCTGATCGAGCCCGATGCCCCAGGCCGTGTCTCCCTGGATGACGCGCTGCAGAAGGGCACCATCGACGCGCGGACTGCCCAGAAGCTGCGGGATGTCAACACCTATTCCAAGTACCTCACCTGCCCCAAGACCAAGCTCAAGATCTCCTACAAGGATGCCATGGACCGGAGCATGATCGAGGATGGGACTGGCCTGCGGCTGCTGGAGGCCTCCTCCCAATCCAGCAAGGGCTACTACAGCCCCTACAACATCAGCAGCGCCGGCTCCACCTCTGGATCACGCTCGGGCTCTCGCACCGGCTCCCGCTCAGGCTCCCGGCGTGGCAGTTTTGACGCCACTGGCTCCAGCTTCTCCATGACCTTCTCTTCCTCCTCCTATTCCTCCTCGAGTTTCGGGCGCAGATACACGGGGGGTACCCAGGGCACCGTGGAGGAGGCTGCCCTTGCCCTCGCCCTGGCCGCATCCAGAAGCTGCGGGTGGGAGGCGAGCAGGGAGTTCCCCGGGGTGTCTGGGCCCCTGCTCCGTGTGGCCTGAGACCTGCCAGCCCCCCGAGGCGCCGCCTCACCCGCTCCGCATGTGGCAACGCTGCTGGCTAATCACTAGTATTTTTTTTAATTTTGAACCTCCACTCTTCTCCCAAAGCAGTGCCTCAAGTTTAACCAAAAAGACAAGACTAATAAATTAATATATGCGAATGTGCTGACAGTGTTTGTATATTGAGAGACAAGAGAGAATACACACTACCCTCCCCACCCTGCACCCCAGGAGCCGGACACCGTTCCTGCTCCTGGCCGTGCCAATCCCGCCGCTGCTCGCACACGGCGCGGCCGAGCCGGACACCGAGAAAACAGTTCCCTGTTTGGATCTAACCACTTAGCACTCTTTTGTAATTAACCTGCCGGCTTCAGCCCCTGCACCCCAAAGGAGGAGACTGCCTTGGCCCTGTGGTGCACCCCACTGCAACCAAAGTGCCAGAGGAGGACATCACCAGCTCCTCGGCACTGGACAGCCAGACACACCACACCAGCCCTGAAGCTGCTGCCTGGACCCCTTCCACGCGCCCTCAGTGCAGCGAGGAGGGGGCTCTGCACCCCGGCCCCCCGAGCTGCCCCATCTCCCTGCCTTGGCCTCCCGGCACGTCCCCACCACCACGCCGCAGAGCCGGTGCCCTGACCGTAAGTGCCGCGCTGGCGCTGCCCGGTGCTTCCGCGCCCTGCGGGGGGACCTGCCTCCGCTCGCCACTTCGCCCGCCGAGGGGCTTCGCTGCGTGCCCGCCTCCGCCAGCCCACCCGCTCACCCGTCCTCCGGGACGCGCCCGCCGCGGTCGGCCGGTCTGTCTGTCAGTCTCTCCGTGTATCTGGGAAGTGCTTCTGCTCGAGGTTGATTTCCTCACACTCATGTGGCTCCGTGACCCGTTGGCAGGTGTCTGCCAGGGCCCGCACCCCAGCCTGGGTCTGCGCAGCTCCTGCCCCCAGAACCCCCCAGAGCCGTGGGGGTTTTCCTGACCCTCACAAAGGGTATGAGGGCCATGGGACCCCTGCAGCACAGGGTGGGCCGTGGGCTGCTGTAGCAGCCTGGCACACACTCACGTTAGAAATAGGCAGATTTCTGTAAAAACAGCCTCCTTTTCCTTCTTCGCGGTAATTCCATCCCCCCGGTTCATCCCCATGCCGGCGCTAACGCGCTCTCTCTCTGGCAGACGTCTTTTTCCAGTCCCAACAAAGACCTCCCAGTGCCGCTGGGCGAGCTCCTGAGCTGGGTCTCCGACATCAGCAGGTCGTGGATGGGCTCAAGGGGAGCCCCGGAGGCGGCAGCTGCTCGGCCGTGCCCACCTGCGCAGGTAACGCCGACCTCCCCGGTCTGTCCCGGTCCCACAGCAGGTGCGCGGCGCTGACGGCCGGGCTTGGTGGCTTCATTTCATGGATTGTTCTCCCTGTCTCATCCCATCTTTTCTGTTCGCTTTGTTGTAGTGTGGCTGGATGTCCATACCACTTCCCCTCATCGCCGCCATGGAGCCCGTCCCCCACCCTGAGGCCGGTGGGACCGCACCTGAGGACACAGGGACGTTCTCCCTCACCCTTTGCACTTGCCAGAGTCCCCTGACAGAGACTGGGGCCACGGTGCCCAAGCAGCCAATGGCCCAAGAAGCACCCACAGGGTCACCCGGCCCCCACTCGCCCCACACACTCCCTCCTCCCTGGCGATGGCCTCCTGGTGTGGTGTCGGGCTCACTGCGGATCTCCAAAACATCTCCTCCTCCCCACCCGCTCTCATCTGCCACCTGTAAATCCTGTCATGTTACCTTCCGCCTCTGGTGTCATTATTGCTCTCATGACCCCATTCAGCTTTGCATGAGGTGCCCCTGCACGCAGCTCCAGGACAGTCCCCACTCCCGGGGCCCCCCACACCCCGGCCTTCACTCATCGGGACACTGGGGGTCCATGAATTACCCAAACACATCTCTTTTTGGGGGCAAAACACTAAACTTGTACATACCCCGAAGTGTCTGTAAAAGGAGCAGTGTGGACCCAGGGCTCCCCTGCAAGGGCAGTAAAGGAGAATCCTCTGAAACCAGCCGGCAGCTCTGCGTGATCTGTTCACTCCCTGGCCTTGCCACCATGGCCGTGGGCTCCCATTGCCTCCTGCAGCTTCGTGCCATGGGCTGTATGGGCTGCTGCAGGCCGTGGTGAAGTGTGCCAGGGTGCCAGGGGTCTGACCAGCTCCTGGGCCTGGGTGTACCCATGGTGCTGCCAGGCACAGAGCAGGGCCTCGGGGTCATCCCCAGAGCTGGTGGCACAGCTGACACTGCTGGGAGGTCCATGTGGGTGCAGCAGTAGACACCTGGTTTTGGGGAGTGGGTGCTGCTGGTGCTGTGGGGGCTTCTGAGCATTGCTTGTATGAGGACAGACTTGTCCCTTCATCAGTGGGGCTCTGGACTGGGCAGGGACGCTGTCCTCCATGGCACTGTTCCCATGTGTGCTGCTACCACTGCCAGTGCCATGGCCTCTGCCCGGTGTGGGCTGTGCTGTGGGCGCTCTCTTTGGGCAGTGGGGGCTGTTGGGGTGGATCGCAGTGATCAGCTGTGGGGCTGAGGGGCTTTGGGGGGATGTGATGGCCTGGCAACCTCTGGTAGGACAGCAGCATTCAGAAGGGAAAGCCCAGCAAACCTGGAGATGTCAGTGCAGCCACTGGCACAGGTGGCTCGAGGGGTCTGTCCAGCCCAGTGAGGCAGGTGCAGCCCAGGCTGGGACTCCCCGAGCACAAGGGTCACCCCACGGCAGCGCTAGGAGCGCCAGGCACTGTGCCAGGAGCGCCAGGGCTGTCAGGACCTTGCAGGACCCCTTCAACGTCCAGGGGCTGCTGGGGTCTCAACTGTGCCAGGGCCAGCCAAGCATGTCAGCAGCCCCGGGTGGGGCTGGCCGGGACAGATGGTGATGGCTGGGCAGGACGTTAATTGCATTGTCCACCAGCAATTAACTGCGGCGTCCGTCTGTCCCCACCAGCAGTGGGATGAGGCCGTTAGGCACAACCGGGCTGGGGGGGGGACTCAGGGGGGCTGCAGGCTGCTGCAGCCATTGGGGGGCTCAGGAAGGGCCCCAGAACAGCAAGACATTCCCACAAGCTGCTCAGAGCCCTGCCCCACCTCACTGCTCCCCCAGATATTCCTTGTGTCCCCCAGATGTTCCCTGCTCCCCCAGATATTCCTTGCTTACCTCCCAACTTCCTGACTCCTCCCCCAGGGTGAGTAACCTCTCCTAAAGCTCATGAGACCACCAAGAGCCCTCTGACCCATGGCCCAGTCCCATCTCATGGCCTGGAAGCCCCTCACACCCCCCCATCCCCAACACTGGTGGGTCCAACTCAGTTTCCCGGTGAGAAACGCCCCTGCTCCCAGGCCCAGCCGTGGGACTCACATCCATGTGCCAGGGGGGGACCCTCTCCCCCAGACCCCTTCGGCCCCATGCCAGGGACATTCCCTGGCGTGGCTGAGGCAGTGGGATCCCCTGCAGTGGCTGGCAAAGGAGGGTGAGGAGGGTGGAATGCCCCGAGATCCAGGCTCGGGGGTGAGCCAGCCTCTTCCCCCACCCAGCACCCTGTCCCCTGCCCACGGACACTCTCCATCATCTTGTGCTGCTCCATGTCACCCTCCTGCCCCACCGATACCCCCTGTCCCTCCCACAGCCCCTTCAGCACCGAGCGCCGGCAGTGACCCGGCCAAAGCCAAACTCGTCACCATGGAGAACTCCACGATTTTCCCCATTTTAATGCCCTGCATGTCATCCCGCCCTGCTGCTGCGGAGGCTGGAGCTCACCCTCCCGCTCCCCCGAGTTAAACCATCCCTCAGAACCGCGCTGGCACGGCAGGCACCGGGTGCCTCCCCGGCCGTGCAGGGGTCCCTCGCCCCCCGCCGGCGTTCGGGGCGTGAGCGGCAGCACCGCCCGGTCCTGGCCGTGCTCCGTCGGGCGGGACCCGTGGCCAGTCCCAAGCGTGGCCGTGGCCACCGGCTCGGCCCTGCTGGCACGGAGCAGCTGCCAGCTCGCTGTGCCCACCGCCCCGGGCGCTGCTGGCTCGGCCCCCGCCGCGCCGGGAACGCTCTGTTCAGCTTCTCCACAAAGGCCGGCCGGCCTCTCCCACGCCCCCCCCGAGCCGGGCCGCTGAACCTCCCCATGGCCAGCGACCCCAGACCCCCCCGGCCGTGCCGCTGAGGCTCGGAGCCCGGGTGCGCCGGCCAAGGGCGGCTGTGCCCCGTGTGAAGCGCTGCTGCTCCGTGCCCCTGAGCCGCTGCTGGCTGGAGCGGTGAATCCCCCGGTCCCCGCTGCGAGCGGGGACGGTGCTGGCCCAGCGCTGCCGCTCCGTGCCCCTGAGCCGGGGCCGCTGCTGGCTGGAGGGATGAATCCCCGGTGGAGCAGCGATGGTCGCTCCGTGCCCGTGTGCCAGGGCCGCTGCTGGCTGGAGGGATGAATCCCCCGGTGGAGCAGCGTTGGCCGCTCCGTGCCCCTGTGCCGGGGCCGCTGCTGGCTGGAGAGGTGAATCCCCCGGTCCCCGTTGCGAACGGGGACGGTGCTGCCCCAGCGCTGCAGCCGCCACGTCCCGCCGGGCACCGGGCAGCCCCCGGGCACCAGGGCCAGTCGGACGCGGTGTTGCGGTGCGGGCAGCGCGGTGCGGGACCGGGAGCTGCTGCCAGGCAGCTCCAGAGCTGTTTGCTCCGGCTCTCACGGGCAGCCCGCGGTGTCCGGTGCCCGAGCCGGGGCTGGGAGCTGCTCTGGACCGGCCCCCGCAATGTGCCGGGGCAGGAGGCGGCTGTGGGACCCTCACAGGGATGGGGGCACCCAGTGTGTCCCAGCACCCGTTTGGGGTTTGCTGCTCCTCGCAGTCCCGTGTCTCTTGGCACGTCCCGACTGGAGCAGCCGGTGCAGCCGTGCTGGCACCGTGTCTGGGGCAGGCTGGCAGCGATCATCGGGGCTCCAGCCCCAGCCCCAGCCCCAGCAGCCCCGGCTGAGTTCGGGCTGGAAGAGCTTTTCCCAGTGCACACCTGAGGCAGCATCCTCCACCTGCCTGGTTCCCTGTGCCCAACCCCTGGCAGCAGGGCTGGCACTGTCACACTGCAGTCCTGCCCTGGGATGGGGGCACACGGGATCAGGGACCACCGGCGTGGGGCAGGAGGGCTGCAGGACCACCTGTGACTGCTCTGGAGCTGCCACAACCCCACGAGGCACGGTGGCCCCGGCTGTGCCATCTTGCTCCCGCCCTGCACCTGGCCCTGGCAGGGGGAAGCACGGTGCTGCTGGTGGCTTTTCCAGCTGGTGGGTGGCACTGGTGCCCGCGCTGGGGCAGGTGCCACGCCGTGGGTGTGTGGGTTGGTTGGGGGCATTGTGACAGCAGTGCCTGCTGTGAGCACACGTCCCCAGAGCGTCCCCGATGGGACTGAGCCCTGCTGGCACTGTGAGCATGAGGAGCTGCTGTGGCACCAGCACCCAGCACCTGCCTGATGCCTCTTCCCCTGTCCAGGGAATTCACAGCTGCTGCTGGTGGGGTTCCTGACCAGACCCTGGCTGAGGTTCCTCCTGCAGCAGACACATCCCAGGCCCCCCCAGCCCCCGGTGCTGCAGCTCCTGCTCAGCTGCCCTCTGTCACCTTCCCCATGTCCATCCATGGCAGCAGTGCCACACCCCTCCTGCTCATAAAACGGGGGTTTTATCTCCATTTATCCAGCTCACATTCCCTGGCTGTTTCCCCTGGTACAATATCTTGGAGATGTGGTCATGCCCTTGCTTAGGTCTTGGGCTCAGCACCACCGCTGTGGCTGTGCCCCATTTCCCTCACAGTGAGGCCCCTCCCTCCTTGTGCTCAGCCAGGTGACCTGGCTTAATTAATCAGGGTTAACGACCGGTTAATTACAGGGAGCAGCATCGCCCTCAGCCTCTGGGTGCAGGCTTGGTGTGATCCCTCCTGCCAGTCCCGCTCTCCACTGGGGCACGAAGGAGCTGCTGCCTGTTCGTGCCCCGTGTCCATGGGCATGAACAAACATTGCTGCTTTGTAGAGTTCAGTGTTTGCCCGGCGTTTTCTCCTCTGTGTTGTGGTAAAGTGGCTGCACTGGCAGCACCTGAGGAGCATCTGGTCTGAGACACCGCTGCTCCATGCCAGAACAGGGGCTTTTCCAGTCGGTAATTTTTTGCCGAGAGTCAGTTTGCTCTTTGGTTTGGGCTCAGCCAGCAGCTCTGCAGTGCACAGAGCAGGTGAAGGGACACCAGGGACCAGATGTACCCCCAGAGGCAGCAGGGTGAGATCTGGGAGCGATCCCAGCTGGAAAAGGTTGGGAAATTGAGGTGCACCACAGGAATGCAGAGGAACTGGAGCCAAGCCTAAAGCTGCAGGTACTGGTGATGGCTGGAGCACAGGACAGACGGGGGGATCCTGTCCAGAACAGCTCTGTCCCAGCTGGTGGGGATGGGCTGTCCCTGGGGAGACACAGCAACGCTCCAAACCTCCCCACTGTGGAGCTTTGTCCCCTGCCCCTCTGCCAGGACTGTGCCCACCGTCCCTCTGCTCTCCCTGCAGGTGCACCGTGCTGCAGGGGACACCGGAGATGCTGTGGAGGGCTCGCCGTGGGACAGGGAGGAGGTGGAGAGGTACGGGCGCAGATGGGCACTGCCAGGGGCACCGCTGGGCGCTGCCAGACGGGCGGTGCCGGGAGCTGCGGCCATGCCCGATGTCCGCACCTGACGGGGGAGCTGCGGCCATGCCCGATGTCCACACCTGACGGGGGAGCTGCGGCCATGCCCGGTGTCCGCACCTGACGGGGGAGCTGCGGCCGTGCCCCGGTGTCCGCACCTGACGGGGGAGCTGCGGCCGTGCCCGGTGTCCGCACCTGACGGGGGAGCTACGGCCGTGCCCCGGTGTCCGCACCTGACCCGGGAGCTGTGGCCGTGCCCCGGTGTCCGCACCTGACGGGGGAACCGCGGCCGTGCCCCGGTGTCCGCACCTGACGGGGGAGCTGCGGCCGTGCCCGGTGTCCGCACCTGACGGGGGAGCTACGGCCGTGCCCGGTGTCCGCACCTGACGGGGGAGCTGCGGCCGTGCCCGGTGTCCGCACCTGACGGGGGAGCTGCTGAACCCTTCAGGGGGGTCTGGGCCAGCGCTGGGGCGGGGAGGGCGTGGGCTGGCTGTGCTGGGGCCAGCAGGGTGGGAGCGAGCGCAGGTGCGGCTGTGGCACACCTGGGCCAGGTGGGCAGTGAGCCCGGAGTTCAGGGCAGTGCGGGGACAGGGGACAGTGGCCGTGTCCCCCACAGCCCAGTGTGTCTGTGGCCAGCAGGGTGGGAGCGAGCTCAGCCGTGAGTGCAGGTGCGGCTGTGGCACACCTGGGCCAGGTGGGCAGCGAGCCCGGAGTTCAGGGCAGTGCGGGGACAGGGGACAGTGGCCGTGTCCCCCACAGCCCGGTGTGTCTGTGCTCTCTCCCCAGAGCCTGCCCACGCTCCGAGCAGAGGCTGGAGGTGCAGGAGCAGCTGCTGGCCCTGCGGCACTGGCTGGACGCCGTGGAGAAGCGGCTGCTGGCGCTGCCAGAGCCCGGCACGGCCCTGCAGGTAACGCCTGGCCCCGGGCCGTGCAGAGCCGGGCAGGACCAGCCCACGTCTGCACCGAGGCTGGTGAGGTCTTGGTCCTTGCGAGGGAGGAAGAGACCTGGCCACAGCTGGCTGGGAGACCCTGCAGCACAGCCCTGAACCGGCCGGGGTCGGGTCTCCTGTGCCCGGCTCCCTGTCCCCAGCCCAAGGGTGCTGTTGGCCTGGAGGGAGCCCCATGACCCTGGCAGGGCTCAGGGTACCACTGCCTTGGAGCCCTGCTGGCCACAGGGCCACCACCTGCACTGGTGCCACTGCCACAGCTCGTGGCACTGTTACCTGGGCATGGGAGAGTGGCCAAACACCAGGGGTGCACAGCTGGGCACAGGGGGTGTGAGGGGTGCACAGCCAGGCAGGGGGTGTACAGGCTGTGTGAGGGGTGTCCAGCCAGGCACAGGGGGTGTACAGGCTGTGCATGGGCCGTACAGCTGGGCACAGGGGGTCTGAGGGGTGTACAGCCAGGCACAGGGGGTGTGTGGGTGTGCATGGGGTGTCCAGCCAGGCACAGGGGGTGTCCAGCCAGGCACAGGGGGTGTCCAGCCAGGAACAGGGGGTGTACAGGCTGTGAATGGGGTGTACAGCCAGGCACAGGAGGTGTGTGGGTGTGTGAGGGGTGTCCAGCCAGGAACAGGGGGTGTGTGGGTGTGCACTGTGTGTACACCTGGGCACAGGGAGTGTACAGCCAGGCACAGGGGGTGTGCACCTGTATCAGGGGAGTACAGCCAGGCACAGGCACAGGGAGTGTGAGGCTGTGCATGAGGGGTGTTCAGCTGGGCACAGGGGGTGTGAGGGGTGCACAGCTGGGCACAGAGGGTGTGAGGGGTGTTCAGCTGGGCACAGGAGGTGTGAGGCTGTGTGAGGGGTGCACAGCTGGGCACAGGGCGTGTGAGGGGTGTTCAGCTGGGCACAGGGGGTGTTAGGGGTGTACAGCTGGGCACAGGGTGTGTGAAGGGTGTTCAGCTGGGCACAAGGGGTCTGCCCCGGTCAGGTGGGATGTGTGCCCAGCCCTGCCTGCAGAGCCTGTGCTGCTGTGCCCCCTGCCCAGGCACAGGAGGTGTGAGGGGTGTTCAGCCGGGCACAGGGAGTGTGAGGCTGTGTGAGGGGTGTTCAGCTGGGCACAGAGGGTGTGAGGGGTGTTCAGCTGGGCACCGGGGGTGTGAGGGGTGCACAGCCGGGCACAGGGGGTGTGAGGGGTGTTCAGCTGGGCACAGGAGGTGTGAGGGGTGTTCAGCCGGGCACAGGGGGTGTGAGGGGTGTTCAGCTGGGCACAGGAGGTGTGAGGGGTGTTCAGCCGGGCACAGGGGGTGTGAGGGGTGTTCAGCTGGGCACAGGAGGTGTGAGGGGTGTACAGCCGGGCACAGGGGGTGTTAGGGGTGTACAGCCGGGCACAGGGGGTGTGAGGGGTGTTCAGCCGGGCACAGGGGGTCTGCGCCAGTCAGGGCAGGTGGGATGTGTGCCCAGCCCTGCCTGCAGAGCCTGTGCTGCTGTGCCCCCTGCCCAGGCACAGGAGGTGTGAGGCTGTGTGAGGGGTGTACAGCCGGGCACAGGGAGTGTGAGGCTGTGTGAGGGATGTTCAGCTGGGCACAGGGGTGTGAGGGGTGTTTAGTTGGGCACAGGGGGTGTTAGGGGTGTACAGCCGGGCACAGGGGGTGTGCCCCTGTCAGGGCAGGTGGGATGTGTGCCCAGCCCTGCCTGCAGAGCCTGTGCTGCTGTGCCCCCTGCCCAGGCACAGGAGGTGTGAGGCTGTGTGAGGGGTGTTCAGCCGGTCACAGGGGGTGTGAGGGGTGTTCAGCTGGGCACAGGGGTGTGAGGCTGTGTGAGGGGTGTTCAGCCGGTCACAGGGGGTGTGAGGGGTGTTCAGCTGGGCACAGGGGTGTTAGGGGTGTTCAGCCGGTCACAGGGGGTGTGAGGGGTGTTCAGCTGGGCCCAGAGGGTGTGAGGCTGTGTGAGGGGTGTTCAGCTGGGCACAGGGGGTGTGAGGCTGTGTGAGGGGTGTTCAGCCGGTCACAGGGGGTGTGAGGGGTGTTCAGCTGAGCACAGGAGGTGTGAGGGGTGTTCAGCTGGGCACAGGGGTGTTAGGAGTGTACAGCCGGGCACAGGGACTGTGCCCCTGTCAGGGCAGGTGGGATGTGTGCCCAGCCCTGCCTGCAGAGCCTGTGCTGCTGTGCCCCCTGCCCAGGCGCGGAGCCGCAGCGGGAGCAGCGCAGTGGGGGCTGCCGGCCGCCCCCTCCTCGCCGCCCCTCGCCGGCTCCTTTTGTTCGAGGCCTGGCCGGCACACGGGCTCCCTCGGCACACATGACGGCACAAACTGAAAGGGCCATTCATCCCGGCCCCGGCGCAGACAAAGCCGAGGCCGCACAGAAACCCACCCGGCTCCCGGGATCTGAGGCTGTGCATTCCAGCCGACCGCTCCCGCCCGGTGCCCCGCGCCGGGCTCCCCTGCCCGGGGCGCCCGTGCCACCCCGAGCCCGGTACCTGGGGCTGCGGAGCGTGCCGGGCGAGCTGCCGGCGGGCGCGGGGGACGGAGGTGGCGAGCGGCTCCGAGCCGCATCCTCAGCCCCTGCCCAGCTTCTGCCTGGCAGGCCCCGGCCGGGCTCTGCGGGCGCTGTGGGTGCCCGGAGTGCCGTGGGGCTCAGCCCCCGCCGGTGCCCGGCCCCTCGGTGCCAGCAGAGGAAGGCTCCAGAGCCGTGCGGGGAGGATGATGCCGAGCTGCTGCAGGACGGCGCGGAGCCACCGAGGCCCTGGCAGATGCTAATTCCCGGCAGCGTCTCTGGCAGCAGACAAAGCCCCCGGCCCCGCCGCCCGCCGCTCCCAGGAGACCCCAGGGAGCCCCATCCATCAGCGTGGCCGACGCGCCTGCAGCGGCCCCCCGGCTCCCGGGGCCCAGCGAGGGGCACCCGTGCGGCTCTGGGGGGCAGGATCCAGTCCTGGGGGGCTCCCAGAGCCTGGGAGGCCGAGCCAGGGCAGGATGGGGATGAGGTTCACACCAGGGGCAGGAACAGCCCCCGGCTGGGCACCTCCGGCTGCCCCCTGGTCCCTCCAGCACCCAGGGTGGCAGCGAGGGGGTTCTGGAGACCCAGGCCTGCAGCACCCTGGCTCTCAGGGTGGGATGCAGTTTAGCATCTCAGCAGCCCAGCCTGACCCCCCTCAAACCCAGCCCTGCTCCACTGAGCCCCCCTGGGCCCTGGCTGAGGGGTCCCCATACCCAAAGAGCCCCAGGCAGTGGGGCCAAGCCTCTCAGTGAGCACAGCAGCCACTGCTTGGGGGCCAGAGGAGGGTGGGGGCTGCAGCCCCAGAGCGGGAGGGACCGTGGGGCCGTGGCACCGTGGGGCAGTGACCCTGTGGGGCCGTGACACTGTAGGGCTGTAACATTTTGGGGCCGTGACACTGTGGGGCCGTGACACTGTAGGGCTGTAACATTCTGGGGCTGTGACACCAAGGGGTTGTGACACCGTGGGGCCATGACACCGAGGGGTTGTGCTGTCCTGGGGCTCATGGTGAAGTAGCACAGCCTGGGCCGGTTCTGGTGCTGGTGTCAGTGTGGTTACTGGTACCAGAGCAGTTCCTGGTTCTGGTGCTGGTGCTGGTGCAGGTGCTGAGGTAGGTGCAGGGGCAGCAGCAGGTGCCAGTGAGAGTACGGTGCCGGTGCAGGTGGCAGTGTTAGTGACGGTGCTGGTGTCGGTACAGGTGCTGGTGAGAGCATGGTGTCCATACAGGTGCTGGAGCAGGTGCTGGTGTTAGTGCTGGTGCCAGTGCTGGTGTTGGTACAGATGTCAGTGTTGGTGCCGGAGCAGGTGTCGGTGCAGGTGCCGGTGTGAGTGCCGGTGCTGTGTTGGTACAGGTGCTGGTGTTAGCGCTAGTGCCGGTGCTGGTACCAGAGCAGGTGTTGGTGTTAGTGCCGGTGCCGGTGTTAGAGCTGGTGCTGGTGCCGGTGCTGGTGCCGGTATTAGCGCTGGTGCCGCTGCTGGTGCCGGTATTAGCGCTGGTGCCAGTGCCGGTGTTAGTGCTGGTGCTGGAGCAGGTGCCGGTGCCGGTGCAGGTGCCGGTGCCGGTGCTGGTGGTGGTGCCGGTGCTGGTGGTGGTGCCGGTGCCGGTGCAGGTGTCGGGGCAGCGCGGGGCGCGGGCTCTCGCCCCCCCGGGCGGCGCGGGGCGGGCGGTGGGCCGGCACCGCCCCTCCCCCGCGGGATGGCTGCGGGGCCCCGGGGGTTTCCCCGGTAACGGCGGCGATCGGCTCCCGGAGGGTTAACGGGGGCGGCGGAGTGCCCGGGGTCAGACCAGCCCCGCCGAGCCCGGCCGCTGCCGGTGCCAGGGTCTCCGCCCGGTGCCCCCCGCGCTCCCCCCGCGCCGCGGGCGCGGCGCACAAAGGCGGCGGGGCCGGGGCGGCGGTAACGGGGACCGAGTCTCCCCCCGCCGCCTCCGCCCCGCTCCCCCGCACGAGCCGGGTCCCCCCGGAGCGGTAACGGCGGCGGCGGCGCCCCCGGCCCGGCCCCATGGACGCCCCAAGCCGCCGAGGGGTGAGTGCGGGGCGGGGGCTCCGGGGCCGCGGCGTGCGCGGGGCCGGGCGGGGTCCGTGTCCCGCGTGTCCCGCGGCCCCACGGGGCGGGGGGGCGAGGGTCGGGGTCTCCCCGGGTCACCACGCGTCGCGGCCCACGCACCCGCGCAGCGCCGGGACACGCGGGGGGTGCGGTGGGGTGGGAGTGCGGGGCTGCACCCACCAGGGTGGCGCGGCGGGACCGTGCCGTGGGTGTGGGTGTGCGTGCCGTGACCGCGCACGGGGGTCGGGACCGTGCCGTGGGTGTGGGTGTGCGTGCCGTGACCGCGCACGGGGGTCGGGACCGTGCCGTGGGTGTGGGTGTGCGTGCCGTGACCGCGCACGGGGGTCGGGACCGTGCCGTGGGTGTGGGTGTGCGTGCCGTGACCGCGCACGGGGGTCGCGCCCGTGCCGTGCCCCACGGCGGGTCGGGTCGGGCCGAGCGAGGGCCTCAGGGTACCCCGGTACCCACGGCAGGGGCGCGGCCAGGGTGGGTGCGTGTGGGCTCGCGTGTGCTCCCCACGCGTGTGCGGGGCTGCCACAGGTGCGTCTCATGTCACGGCTGATGCGGGCGTGGGGGTCCCATCGCTGACGCCCCCCAACCCCGGGCAGGGCTGCGAGCGTGGGGTTTGCCTGTGGGAGGGGTGTGCACACGGGTGAGAGTGAGTGTGCGGTGAATGTGCGTGTGTTTGCACACGCGTGTGGTGAATGTGTGTGTGTTTGCACACGTGTGTGGGGTGTGCGTGTGTTTGCACACGCGTGTGATGAGCGTCTGTGTGTTTGCACACGCGTGTGTGGGGTGTGTGTGTATGTTTGCACACGCGTGTGGTGAATGTCCGTGTGTTTGCACACGTGTGTTTGTGTGTGCACACGTGTGTTTGTGTGTACACACGTGCGCAGGGGCGTGTGCCCGGGGCCGGGGGTAGCAGCACTGCGGCTGCGGCGGGGGGGCTGCCGGGGGAGGGTCCTGCCGGGTCACGCCGGGGATTTATGGCTGCGGCAGGGCTCGCAGGCAGGCGAGGCCACCTGCCCGTCCCCCGCTCGGCGCCCCCAGCCCCCGTTCCCCGGGCAGATGCTCCTCGCTGGCTGCTCCTCGTTAATCCAACGGCGCAGGGCGATGCCGGGCGGGAGCATCTGCCCCTCCCCTGCTGCCGCTGCCGCGTCCCCTGCCCAGACGCGTCGGACAGGCACCCTGGGCACCGCCTCGGGGTCCCCTCCCTGCGCCAGGCCCCGGGGACGGCCGGTGTCCCCTCTGCCTGTCCCGGTACCCTGGCTCTCGGCAGCGCTTTGCTGGGGGACCCCCAAGACCGGAGGGCGAGGTCAGGCAGCACCGGGCAGTGAGGGGGTCGAGGCGAGCGGCACCTGGGGGTCCCGCGGTGGTCCCGCTAACGCGCACCCCTGGCTCATTGCAGGCCGGGATTTGAGGCGGGGGCCCGGCGCCCACGCCATGGGGAACTCGGTGAGCCGGCCCAGCTGCCTGGGCGAGAAGAGCCGGCGGCCGGAGGAGCTCCTGCGGGAGCCGGGGCTGGACGCGGGGCAGCCATCCGCCGGAGGCGCCGCGGAGGCCGGGCCAGGGCTGCTGGAGAAGGCGGCGGTGCCGGTGGAGAATGGCTGGAGCCCGGGGCCCGGTGCCGCCCGCAGCCGGCCGGGCAGCCCGGTGCTGAGGCGCAGCCAGTCCGAGGTGGCCGTGCAGAACGGGGGTGCGGCTGCGCTGCGGGGGCAGGCGGGGGGCGCGGCCTGGACCCCCCCCCGGGCCGGCGCTGCCCGCAGCACCTGGTCCTGGAAGCCCGTCACCACCCGGGAGGTGACCGAGGTGACGGAGGTGACTGAGACCATCGTGACCGAGATCGTGGAGGTGACCGAGTACCCGGCGGGTGACAAGGGCGGCGAGCCCGTGGTCACCCGCACGGTCACCGTGCTGACGGAGTGCGTGGGGGAGCTCGCTGCTGCTGGACACACGGACGCCACCGAGGTGACCGACGGGCAGAGAGCCTTGCTGGGAGGACGCTGTGCCACAGGGCTGCCCTCCAGCGTGGTTTTCTCCGCAGCGAGTCCTGACCTTGGGCTGCTGTGGAGTTGCTGTCTGTGCCCCGCTGGTGTGGCCTGGGCCGCTGGCACCGCTGGCGCTGGGCACCCGGCCTGGTGCTGTAGGACAGGAGCTCCCCTCCCTCAGCTCTGGCTGGAGGGGGCCATGGGTCTGGAGGGATCCAAACGGCACCAGGCGTGCAGCCCCTGCTTTGGGGAGCCCTGTGAAGGGAGGACCCCATGGGCTGGACGGGGCCTTGGTGTCACGGGTGTCACCTCGGGGAGAGGGCGTGGTGTGGGGGCTGCTGCCCAGCCCCATGGCTGCCCTGCACCTGCCCACACGGGCGGCTCAGCCACCTCTGCCCACAGGTGTCCTCACGGGCTGTGCCCGTCCCGGAGGAGGCAGCGGAGAGGGACCAGGAGACGCTGGAGCGGCTGCTGGCCTGGGTGGCCGACATGGAGGAGCTGGTGAGCAACCAGAAGCCGCCGTCGGCGGAGGCCAAGGTGGTGAAGGCGCAGCTGGAGGAGCAGAAGGTCAGCAGGGCCAGCCGGCGTGTCCCGCCCACGCCTGCCCGTGCAGGATTAGGGGGCCGGGGCTCCAGCCCAGGGGTGGGAGAGGGGCACAGGAGAGCCCAGCATGGTGTCCCTGTCCCTGCAGCTCCCTGGGCTCCAGCCCAGGGGTGGGAGAGGGGCACAGGAGTGCCCAGCGCGGTGTCCCCCATCCTTGCAGCTCCCTTGGGTTCCAGCCCAGGGGTGGGAGGGGTGCACAGGTGTCCCCAGTGCGGTGTCCCCATCCCTGCAGCTCCCTGGGTTCCAGCTCAGAGGTGGGAGGGGTGCACAGGTGTCCCCAGCACGGTGTCCCCTGTCCCTGCAGCTCCCTTGGGTTCCAGCCCAGGGCTGTGCCGGGGTGGGAGGGGTGCACAGGTGTCCCCAGCGCGGTGTCCCCCGTCCCTGCAGCTCCTGAAGCGCCTGCTGGAGGAGCGGAGGCCGTGTGTGGAGCTCGTCCTGCAGGACAGACTGACGGCACAGGGCTCGGTCACGGCGGCGCCCGAGGGCAGCGCCGGCCTCTTCAGCCTCGGGGAGAGGTGGGACAAGCTGATGCAGGAGGCTGAGGCCAGGTGGGTCAGGGGACAGGCCCTCATCACTGCTGGCATCCCCGTCCTGCTGGCGCAGGCTCTGCCCTCTGGTGTCCCCCACACGGAATCTCTGTGACACCCTGATGTCCCTGTGCTCTGCCCCACTGGCGCTGGGGCCATCACAGTGGAGGGACCATCCTTGTCACACGTGCTGGGGCTGCACGGACAGTCTGTCACACAGCCCTTCCCCCTGGCCCCTCTCTGGGGACACTGGCCCCTCCCTGGGGACACTGGCCTTGCTGTGTCCCTTGTTTCAGGGCAGCACGGGGCGTGGGCACCCTGGTGAGGGGGAGAGGGAGCTTTGCTGGCCCGGGGACTGTCACTGCCCACCTCACCGGCCCTCCTGGTGCAGGTACGGCTGCCTGGAGCGGATCCTGCCGGCGGCCCAGGCCTTCCAGAAGGCTGTAGACGCCTTCCAGGAGTGGCTGGGTGCCACAGAGAGGCAGCTGGCCCAGCTCTGGCGTGCTGACGGCTGCGTGGGCCGCGTGCAGGATGCCCACCAGCAGACCCAGGTGGGCACAGGTAGGGCGTGGGGTGGGCAGGGCGTGGACACGGGCACCTGTGTCATCGCTGGTCACTGCTACAGGCCCTCTGTGAGGAGATCCGCGGGCGGCTGGGAGAGCTGGATGGTGCCCTGGAGAGCGGGCAGCGCGTCCTGGAGCTGGTGACAGGCGAGTGGCAATGGCTGGGAGGGGTGGCCACAGGGACTCGGGATGGGATGAGCACAGACAGAGGCAGCCCAGGCCAGCAAGGGGTCCCGGGGCACTGGGGGTCTTTGGGGTGTGCTGTTCCCCACTGGAAGCTGTGGCTCGGGATGGGATGAGCACAGACAGAGGCAGCCCAGGCCAGCAAGGGGTCCCTGGGCACTGGGGGGGTCTTTGGGGCGTGCTGCTCCCCACCAGGAGCTGTGGCATGGTCTGAGGGGGCAGGTGGCACCTCAGGGGATGCAGAGGGGACAGGGCAGAGCCTGTGGGGCAGAGCTGGGGTGGGACAGGGCTCAGTGGCAAGGTGGGTCTTGCTGGCAGAGGGATGAGAGGCCGGAGCTGGGTCTGGGAGCAGGAGAAGCAGGGGTAGGAGAGGGGAAAGGTCAGCACAGAGTGGTTGCCACATGGCTGGAAGTTCCATGTCCAGGGATGCCAGTGCGGTGGCACTGATGGCGCTGTCACGCTGCCGCAGGGGAGGAGGCCCAGCTGACGCAGGAGAAGATGGAGTCACTGAGGATGCGGTACCTCATCGTGGGCCAGAGCAGCGCTGACACTGCTCACCGGCTGGGGCAGACCCTGGAGGCCTCGTCTCGCCTGGGCACGGCCCCTGAGGACCTGGCGCTGTGGCTGAGCCGCATGGAGAAGGAGCTGGGCGAGCAGGAGAGCCAGCAGGATGGCCAGGAGCCCGCAGTCACTGCCAGTGACAGGGAGAAGGTGTGGGGACACTGGGCTCCCCGAGCCCCTCACCATTCCCAGCGTCGGTCCCGGTGCATTCACGCCCTCCCTGGCTGACGTCTGTCCCCCTGGTGCAGTTTGAGCAGGTCTTGGAGTCCCAGCTCAGCCGTGTGGCCGGGCTGGGTGAGCGGCTGGAGGAGATCGGCCGCGTGCAGCTGGATGCTGAGGCTCTCCACTCGCAGCTCTCCGAGCAGAAGGTGGGTCTGCAGCAGCGCCCAGGTGTCCCGGGGGCACAGCTTGGCACCCCCATCCCTGCCAGGAGCTGGCACCCACCTGTGGCTCCATTCCAGCTGCTCTCCGCTGAGATCCTGCACTGCCGGGGCCTGGTTGAGCGTCTGCTGGGGTTCTCGGAGCCGCTGCTGCGCTGCTGCCCCGAGCCCCTGCAGCAGCGCCTTCAGGTGAGCTGCGAGGGTGCCAGGGGACATTGCCAGCACCCAGGGATGGCCGTGCCCTGTGTGGTGACTCCCTGTCCCCGCAGCCATCGGTGCAGGCGCTGCGGGAGCGCACGGAGCAGCTGTCCCTGCGCAGCGGCGCCTGTGCCGTGCAGCTGGAGCACGCCCAGTCCCTGCTCACCCAGTTCTCCGAGGCCCTCGAGGAGCTGCTGCCCTGGCTGGAGGAGACGCAGGCCCTGGGGGTGCAGCTCTCCCCCAACGCCATCAGCTACGAGGCCTTCAAGGAGCAGCAGGCGCTGCTGCAGGTGTGGGCAGGGCAGGGGCAAAAGTGACTCGCTCGGCCACCGCGCAGGTGGGAGCGGTGACGGGATGGGGGTGGCACTGCCATGGGGACCGTCGGGCTGGGGACACCCAGCAAAGAGGAGCCCTCTGGGAGCAGCAGCACATCCCTGCGGGGTGAACTCCACGGGGCACATCCCACCCCAATGCGTCCCCGCGGCTCTTCCCCGCTGCCAGAGCCTGCGGGAGGCCATCGCCGAGCACCGGCCGCTGGTGGGGAAGCTGCAGCGCGTGTCGGCGCAGCTGCTGGAGCTGAGCCCGGAGCAGGGAGCCCCGTTCCAGCGGCGCTGGCAGGAGCTGGAGGAGCAGTACGGCCGCATCCGCGAGAGCGTGCGCCAGGCGGCGGCTCTGCTGGAGGATGCCCTGCCGCGGTACAGCCAGGTATGCCCAGCGCTGCCCTGCGGGGGCGCGTCCCCGGGGCCGTGCCCTCGAGTCACCGCGCCGCTCCGCAGCTGTCGGAGCGCATGGACCTGCTGCTGGAGTGCCTGGAGCGGCTGCAGAGCCGGCTGCAGAGCCAGCCCCCCGTCCGCGGCGACGCGGCCCACCTGAGGGAGCAGATCCGGGAGAACAGCCTGGCCCTGGGCGAGCTGGAGAAGCTCGGGGTGGCCCTGGAGGGGATCCGAGCGCAGGGCGAGGAGCTGCTGGCCACCGTGCAGGCGGTCAGCTCCGATGCTGCGGACAGAGGTACCGGCACGGAGGGGTGGGCGCGGCACGGCCGGCAGGAGATCCGTGTCCCTGTCAGGGCCGTCCGTGTGTGGGTGCTGGGGCCCCCACAGCGCCCCGATCCCCGGCCCGCTGTGCCCCGCAGGGATCCAGGAGCGCACGGCGCAGCTGCTCTCGCAGTGGGACTGCCTGCGCGGCCGCTGCCAGGAGCGGGAGCGGTGGCTCCGGGAGCTGCTGGCACTGGCCGAGCGCTTCTGGCATGGCCTGTCTGAGCTGGCCGTGGCGCTCAGCGACACCCAGCAGCTCGTGCTGGGGCTGGAGGAGGCCGGTGGTGAGCCCGAGGCCATCCGCACGCAGCTGCGCACCATGCAGGTACGGCTGGGCGGGGGCCTGGTGGGCAGTGCCATGGCACGGGCAGCCGCTGGTGTGTGCAGTGCCCTGGGCAGTGCCCTGGGCAGCCTCTGGTGTGGGCAGCCCCTGGTGATGGCAGCGCCTGTGTGGGCAGCCTTGGTTGTGGGCAGTGCCATGCCCTGGGCAGTCCTTGGTGTGGGCAGTGCCATGGGCAGCCCTGGGTGTGGGCAGTGCCCTGGGCAGTGTCCTGGGCAGCCCTGGGTGTGGGCAGTGCCCTGGGCAGTGTCCTGGGCAGCCCCAGGTGTGGGCAGTCCCTGGTGTGGGCAGCCCTGGGTGTGTGCAGTGCCCTGGGCAGCCCCTGTGTGGGCAGCCCCGGGTGTGGGCAGAGCCCTGGGCAGTCCCTGGTGCGGGCAGCCCCCGTGTGGGCAGCCCCCGGTGCGGGCAGCCCCTGTGTGGGCAGTGCCATGGACAGCCCCTGTGTGGGCAGTGCCCTGGGCAGTCCCTGGTGTGGGCAGTCCCCTGGGCAGCCCCTGGTGCGGGCAGCCCCTGTGTGGGCAGCCCCTGCTGTGTGCAGTGCCATGGGCAGCCCTGGGTGCGGGCAGCCCCTGTGTGGGCAGCCCCTGTGTGGGCAGTGCCCTGGGCAGCCCCCGTGTGGGCAGCCCCCGGTGCGGGCAGTGCCATGGGCAGCCCCTGTGTGGGCAGTGCCGTGGGCATCCCCCGGTGCGGGCAGCCCTGGGTGTGTGCAGCCCTGGGCAGCCCCTGTGTGGGCAGTGCCCTGGGCATCCCCCGGTGTGGGCAGCCCCGGGTGTGGGCAGAGCCCTGGGCAGTCCCTGTGTGGGCAGTGCCGTGGGCATCCCCCGGTGCGGGCAGCCCTGGGTGTGTGCAGCCCTGGGCAGCCCCTGTGTGGGCAGTGCCATGGGCAGCCCCAGGTGCGAGCAGCCCCCGTGTGGGCAGCCCTGAGCCCCGTGCCCCGCACAGGCCCTGCGGGAGGAGATCGACGCGCTGCAGGGGGAGCTGGACACGCTGGGCAGCCTGGGCGTGGAGCTGATGGCCTCCTGCGGGGACCCCGACAAGCCCGATGTCACCAAGAGCCTGGACGATGTGAGTGTCCTTGGGGCGGGGTTCAGGGAGGGACAAATCCTGGGGGCGTGGGGATGCTGCTTGTGGGGCTGGCATGTCCCCGATGCCCAGCAGTGCCACTGACCCCGCACCCCAGACTCCCACTGGGTGCCACTGACCCCGCACCCCAGACCCCCCCAGCAGTGCCACTGACCCCCACACAGCTCCTGTGCCCTGGAACTCCATGGTGCGCCTGGACGTCCGTGTGGTGCCACCCTTGTGCCCCGGCCACCTCCCTGGCACTAGTGACCCCTACACCCTGTACCCCTGGGGCACCACTGACCCCCGTGCCCTGTCCACGTTGTCCCCTACGTCCTGTCCCCCTGTGCCCTGGCCCCTCTGTGGCACCACTGACCCCCCTGTCCTGTCCACCCTATCCCCCACGTCCTGTCCCCCTTTGCCCTGGCCCCACTGTGGCACCACTGATCCCCATGCCCTGTCCCCCACATCCCCCTGTGCCTCAGCCCTACTGTGGCCCCACTGACCCCTGTGCCCTGTCCACCCTGTCCCCCACGTCCTGTCCCCCTGTCCCCCGGCCCTGCTGTGGCACCACTCTCCCCTGTGCCCTGTTCACCTTGTCCCCACGTCCAGTCCCCCTGCTTCTTGGCCCTGCTGTGGCACCATTGACCCCCATGCCCTGTCCCCCACATCCCCCTGTCCCCCGGCCCTGCTGTGGCACTGCTGACCCCTGTGCCCTGTCCACCCTGTCCCCCTGTGCCCCAGCCCCACTGTGGCACCATTGACCCCCATGCCCTGTCCACCCTGTCCCCCTGTCCCCCGGCCCTGCTGTGGCACCGCTGACCCCTGTGCCCTGTCCAGTCTGTCCCCCTGTCCCCCGGCCCTGCTGTGGCACCACTGTCCCCTGTGCCCTGTCCACGCTGTCCCCCACATCCCCCTGTGCCCTGTCCCTGCATTGGCACCACTGACCCCTGTGCCTGGCACAGCTCTACTCCTCCTGGCACAGCCTGAGCCGGGTGTGGACGGAGCGGAACGGGCGCCTCGAGGAGCAGCTCCAGGCCACCCTCAGCTACCAGGACACCATGCAGGTGGGGATGGGCAGATGCCCCCTGGAGGGGGCAGTGCCACCCTCCTGTCCCCGCTCAGGGGCGTGGGGGGCCGTGGGGCCAGCACGGGCCCCCCAAGCCCGCGTGTTGCCTGTCCGCAGCGGCTGCTGGAGTGGCTGGAGGCGGCCGAGCTGCGCATCGCCGAGGAGTTCCTGGTGGGCGGCGACCTGGACATGGTGCAGCAGCAGCTGGCGGAGCTCAAGGTGCTGAGATGTTCCGTGCTGGGCCGTGCTGGGTTGTGCCATGCCAAACTGTGCTGTGCCATGCCAAACTGTGCTGTGCCATGCTGGGCAGTGCTGGGCCGTGCTGGGTTGTGCCATGCCAAACTGTGCTGTGCCATGCTGGGCAGTGCCATACTGTGCTGTGCCATGCCAAACTGTGCTGTGCCATGCTGGGCAGTGCTGGGCTGTGCCATGCCATGCTGTGCCACCCTGGGCTGTGCTGTGCCACACCAAACTGTGCTGTGCCGCACCAGGCTGTGCTAGGCCATGCCTGGCCATGCTGTGCCATGCCAGACCGTGCTGTGCCATGCCATGTCATACCATGCTGTGCCATGCTGGGCTGTGCCGTGCCATGCCAAACCGTGCTGTGCCATGCTGGGCCGTGCTGTGCTGCACCAAACCATGCTGTGCCGTGCCGAGCCCTGCTGTGCCATGCTGAGCCCTGCTCTGCCATGCCAAACTGTGCTGTGCCATGCCAAACCATGCTGTGCCACATTGGGCCATGCTGTGCCACGCCAAACCGTGTTGTGCCACGCCAAACCATGCTGTGCTGCACCAAACCATCCTGTACCATGCCAAACTGTGCTGTGCCATGCCAAATCATGCTGTGCCGTGCCACACCATGCTGTGCCACACCATGCCCACATCCCTGGGGCTGGCAGGGGCAGGGAGGGCAGCGGGTGCTCCAGGCAGAGGTGGCATGGATTGGGATGGCACGTTGGACAGTGCCCCTGCCCCTGTGCGCTGGGTGGCCAAGTCCTGCCTGTGGTGGCCAGGCCCTGTCCCCCACGAGCCCCTGAGGTGGCTGGGCACCCCCAGAGGAGCAGCTCAGGGCCCAGGTGCCTGTGCTGCCCCGTGCGGTGCCATGGGGTCGGGCCCTGTCACCAACCGGTGCCACCTGCCAGGAGTTCAAGCGGGAGCTGTACCAGTGCAAGGTGGACGTGGAGAGCCTGCGGCACCAGGGGGGCACGGGGCAGGGGGACCCCCCGGCCACGCTCTGCGACTTCCGCCAGCGCTGGGACCACCTGGAGGAGGAGATCGTCAGCAGACAGGTGGGCAGGGGGCACGGGGGGCACGGGGCAGGGCTGGCAGGACAGGGGGGTGCCGTGAATGTGCTGGGTGGGCACATCCTGTGGGCGCTGGGGGGCACGGGGCTGGGTCAGCGTGGGGGGCTGCAAGTGGGCACTGGGTGGGCACTGAGTGGGTGTCCAGGGCCGTGTGGGCGCTGTTTGGGCACTGAGTGGGTGTCCAGGGCCGTGTGGGCACTGGGTGTTGCTGGGTGGGTTCTCAGAGCCAGGTGGGCACTGGGTGGATGCTGGGTGCTGGGTGGGCACTGGTTGGACACTGGATGAGTGCGAGGGCTGTTTGGGCACTGGGTGGATGCCAGGGCTGTATGGGTACTGGCTGAGTGCCCAGGGCCAGGTGGGCATGGGGTGAGTGCCCAGGGCTGTGTGGGCACTGGGTGGGCACTGGGTGGGTGCTGGATGCTCTGTGGGCACCCAGGGCTGGGTGGGCACTGTCTGAGTGCCGGCTGCTCTGTGGGCACTGTGTGTGTGCCAGGTGGTCTGTGGGCACTGGGTGGGCACTGTGTGTGCCGGGTGCCCTGGTGCCCTGTGGGCATTGGGCGGGCACTGGGTGGGTACCAGCTGCCCTGTGGGCACTGTGTGTGTGCCGGGTGCTCTGTGGGCACTGGGCGGGCACTGTGTGTGCCGGGTGCCCTGTGGGCATTGGGCGGGCACTGGGTGGGTGCCAGCTGCCCTGTGGGCACTGTGTGTGTGCCGGGTGCCCTGTGGGCACTGGGCGGGCACTGTGTGTGTGCCGGGTGCTCTGTGGGCACTGGGTGGGCACTGTGTGTGTGCCGGGTGCCCTGTGGGCACTGTGTGTGTGCCGGGTGCCCTGTGGGCATTGGGCGGGCACTGTGTGTGTGCCGGGTGCCCTGTGGGCACTGTGTGTGTGCCGGGTGCTCTGTGGGCACTGGGTGGGCACTGTGCATGTGCCAGGTGCCCTGTGGGCACCCAGGGCCTAACCCTAACCCTAACCCTGCCCTTCCCTCCCCCCGGCACCGCGGTTCCCCCCCGCAGCACCAGCTGGAGGCGGCGCTGCTGGGGCTGGGGCAGTTCCAGACCCAGCTGGCCGAGCTGCTGCAGTGGCTGAGCCGCACCGGGGAGCAGCTGCGCGGCCCCGCGCCCCTGCGGCCCGACCTGCAGAGCTGCGAGATCGAGCTGGCCAAGCACAAGGTGAGGGTGCGCCGGGGCTGGGGGACACCCGTGGCCACAGCCATCGTCACACTGCCGGCTCCTGTGGGGGTCCTGGGGCTCCTGGATGTGGTGGCACCCCGGGCTGGGTGTCCTGGTCATGGTGACGCCCCAGGGTGGGTGTACTGGCTTTAATGGCACCCCCAGGCTGGGGGTCCTGGCCGTGGTGGCACCCAGGGTGGGTGTCCTGGTCAGGGTGGGTGTCCTAGCCATGGTGGCACCCTCAGGGTGGGTGTCCTGGTCATGGTGGCACCCCAGGCTGGGTGTCCTGGCCAGGCTGGGGGACCTGGTTTTGGTGGCACCCCAGGATGGGTTTCCTGGTCATGGTGGCACCCTCAGGCTGGGTGTCCTGGTCAGGATGGGTGTCCTGGCTTTGGTGGCACCCCGGGCTGGGTGTCCTGGCCATGGTGGCACCCTCAGGGTGAGGGTCCTGGTCATGGTGGGTGTCCTGGCTGTGGTGGCACCCTGGGCTGGGTGTCCTGGCTGTGCTGGCACCCCAGGGTGGGTGTCCTGGTCAGGGCGGGTGTCCTGGCCGTGGTGGCACCCTGGGCTGGGTATCCTGGGTATCCTGGCCGTGGTGGCACCCTGGGCTGGGTATCCTGGCCGTGGTGGCACCCTGGGCTGGGTGTTCTGGCTGTGCTGGCACCCCAGGGTGGGTGTCCTGGTCAAGGTGGGTGTCCTGGCCGTGGTGGCACCCTGGGCTGGGTGTTCTGGCTGTGCTGGCACCCCAGGGTGGGTGTCCTGGTCAAGGTGGGTGTCCTGGCCGTGGTGGCACCCTGGGCTGGGTATCCTGGCCGTGGTGGCACCCTGGGCTGGGTGTCCTGGCTGTTGTGGCACCCTGGGCTGGGTGTTCTGGCTGTGCTGGCACCCCAGGGTGGGTGTCCTGGTCAGGGTGGGTGTCCTGGCCGTGGTGGCACCCTGGGCTGGGTGTCCTGGCCCCAGGGCGCTGCCTGGCCCCCCCTCGGGTGCAGCAGCAGCAGGGCCGGGCAGGCTGCAGCATGGGACGCATCCCCTCCCTCGGTGACAGCACGGGAGGAATGAGCTGTCCCAGTGCCGGCCCCGTGCCACAGCCCCGTGCCCGGGCACGCTCCTGACGTGCCTGACGCGGGTGAGGCTGCGAGGGCCAGGCTGTCCCTGCTCCAGGGGGGCCGTGCAAGGGGTGCCCCTATCCCCTCTGCCCCGTCCCCTCTGCCCCGTCCCTCTGCCCCTGTGCCCTCTGCCCCATCCCCTCTGCCCCTATCCCCTCTGCCCCCGTCCCCTCTGCCCCCGTCCCCTCTGCCCCATCCCCTCTGCCCCCGTCCCCTCTGCCCCCGTCCCCTCTGCCCCCGTCCCCTCTGCCCCGTCCCCTCTGCCCCGTCCCTCTGCCCCTGTCCCCTCTGCCCCTGTCCCCTCTGCCCCCGTCCCCTCTGCCCCCGTCCCCTCTGCCCCGTCCCCTCTGCCCCCGTCCCCTCTGCCCCCGTCCCCTCTGCCCCGTCCCCTCTGCCCCTGTCCCCTCTGCCCCCATCCACTCTGCCCCTATCCCCTCTGCTCCATCCCCTCTGCCCCTGTCCCGTCTGCCCCCGTCCCCACTGCCCCTGTCCCCACTGCCCCATCCCCACTGCCCCATCCCCTCTGCCCCATCCCCTCTGCCCCTGTCCTCTCTGCCCCTGTCCCCTCTGCCCCTGTCCCCTCTGCCCCCGTCCCCACTGCCCCATCCCCTCTGCCCCATGGCCTCTGCCCCGTCCCCACTGCCCCTGTCCCCACTGCTCCATCCCCACTGCCCCATCCCCTCTGCCCCATCCCCTCTGCCCCTGTCCTCTCTGCCCCTGTCCCCTCTGCCCCTGTCCCCTCTGCCCCATCCCCTCTGCCCCTGTCCTCTCTGCCCCTGTCCCCTCTGCCCCCGTCCCCTCTGCCCCCATCCCCTCTGCCCCTGTCCCCTCTGCCCTTGTCCCCACTGCCCCATCCCCACTGCCCCATCCCCTCTGCCCCGTCCCCTCTTCCCCTATCCCCTCTGCCCCTGTCCCCACTGCCCCATCCCCTCTGCCCCGTCCCCTCTTCCCCTATCCCCTCTGCCCCTGTCCCCACTGCCCCTGTCCCCTCTGCCCCATCCCCTCTGCTCAGTCCCCTCTGCCCCTGTCCCCTCTGCCCCATCCCCTCCTCCCCTATCCCCTCTGCCCCTGTCCCCACTGCCCCTGTCCCCTCTGCCCCATCCCCTCTGCTCAGTCCCCTCTGCCCCTGTCCCCACTGCCCCCGTCCCCACGGCCCCTGTCCCCTCTGGCCCCGTCCCCTCTGCCCCCATCCCCACTGCCCCCGTCCCGTCTGCCCCTGTCCCCACTGCCACAAATCGGCAAATCCTTTGCCTCGGCCCTGCCCCGCACCCTGGCACCAGCCTGGAGGCCCCCATGGGTGCCATCCCTGCCCAGTGTGGCACTGTCAGTCCCCAGGGCTGTGGTGGCAGAGGAGCTGGGGACAGCAGAGCTGTCTCGGGGCGAGGGGCTTTAGGAATGGGGGTGTGGGTGTCCCTGCCAGGTTTAGGGGCTTTAGGAATGGGGGTGTGGGTGTCCCTGCCGGCTTTAGGGGCTTTAGGGGCTTTAGGAATGGGGGTGTGGGTGTCCCTGCCAGGTTTAGGGGCTTTAGGAGTGGGGGTGTCCCTGTCCCTGCCAGGTTTAGGGGCCTTAGGAATGCAGGGTGTGGGTGTCCCTGTCAGGTTTAGGGGCTTTAGGAATGTGGGTGAGGGTGTCCCTGCTGGATTTAGGGGCTTTAGGAATGTGAGTGTGGGTGTCCCTGCCAGGTTTAGGGGCTTTAGGGGCTTTAGGAATGGGGGTGTCCCTTCCCCAGCCGTGACCCCGCTGCCCCCTGCCCAGGTGCTGCGCACCGACGTGATGTCCCACGCCCGCACGGTGCAGTCGGTGACCGAGGCCGGGCAGGGGCTGCTGCTCTCCAGCCTGGGCGAGAGCGTGGAGGGGCTGCAGCGCAGCCTGCAGCAGCTGGAGCAGCACTGGGAGCTGGTGCGCAGCGAGACCGAGAGCCGGCAGCTGGAGCTGGAGAACAACCTCAGCCAGGTACGGCCGCGGCGCCCCGCGTTGGGCGCCAAAATATTGGGATTAAATACCGATATGGCTGGATGGAACGTGCCTGGGCTCGTCTGGCCCTTGCTGCTTGACCAAGGGTGGCAGCTGTGGTGGTTTCACCTTAGAGACACCTTTGGCTAAGCTGGATGCTGCAGCTGGCGCTTGGGACAAGTCCAGGCAGGCAGGAGCTCAGGTTTACCTCTGGCAGAAAGGCTTGGTGAAGGAAATGGTGGCAGGAAAAAGGAGTCGGGTTCCGCTGGAGGGTTTCGATCCAGAGCTTTATTCCTGGCCCTCAGGCCTCTGAATCCAGCAACAGCTCCAACAGAACTCCCTGAGCCTGTGGTTGCTGTTCCTTTTAACCCCAGGGAGAGGGGCAGGGAAGGGGTAGGGATCCCACCAACCTGGTAAGGGGGGGAAAATCTCAGGGGACAAAGGACACCTGGATGGCCCAATGCCCCCAGGGCTGAGAGGCATCTTTTGAACTCTGCCAATCACACACAATGCCCTTTCTGGACTGCCAGGATTGACGGGCAGCACTCAGCAGGGGCAAGGGAGGGGAAGGGAGAGGTGATTGGCACACCTGGGGAAGGAGCCGGGATGACTGAGACAGGCTATGGCATCACACTGCAACCGGCCGGCGCTGAGCCCGCCTCGCCCCCAGGTGCAGGACATCACGCTGGAGATCACCGAGCTGCTGCAGTGGCTGGAGCAGGTGGAGCTGCAGCTCTTCTGCTCCAAGCCGGCCTGGGGCCACCCGGATGCCACCAAAGAGAAGCTGAACGCGCACCTGGTGAGAGCCAGCGCCAGCCCGGTTCTGCTGCAGGACCGGCCCCTGCGGTCTCTTGGTCTCTCGGGGAGATGTGTGAGCCAGGTCCACCCTTCTCCACTCTGCTGGGCCAGGATCCTTCTCTGCTGCCTCCTCCCCCAGCCAGGCAGAGCCTGATACCCCTCCCTCAGCTGCTCCAGCTCAGAGCAGGAGCCATCCTTGTCCTTGTCCCTTTCTCTGAACCTGTTCCTGTCCCCATCCATATCCCTGTCTTCATCCCCTCTTCCTGTTCACTGTGGCTGTCTACCTTGAACTCATCCTCTGTTCCCATCCCTGTCCCCTGTCTGCTTTACCTGACCCCTCTACATCCCCATCCCCATTCCCAGCTCCTTTCCCATCCCTGTTTCCAGCCCTATTCCCATTCCCATCCCCGCTCCCATCCCTGTTCCCATCCCCATCCCTGTACCCATCACCCTGCCTGCCCCATTCTCATCCCCATCTCTGTTTCTGTTCCCATCCCCATCCTCATTCCCATCCCTGTTCCCATTCCCATCCCCATCCCCATCCTTGTTCCCAGCCCCATTCCCATCCCTGTTCCCATTCCCATCCCTGTTCCCATTCCCATCCCTGTTCCCATTCCCATCACTGTTCCCATCCCCATCCCTGTACATGTCACCCTGCCTTCCCATCCATATCCCCATTTCTGTCCCCCTTCTCATCCCCAGCCATGTTCCCATCCCCATCCTCGTTCCCATCCCTGTACCCATCACCCTGCCTGCCCCATCCACATCCCTGTTCCCATTCCCATTCCTGGTCCTATCCCCATTCCCGTCCCCAGCCCCATCCCTGTTCCCATCCCCATCCCTGTTCCCATCCCCATCCCTGTTTCCATCCCTGTCCCCATCCCCATCCCTGTCTCCATCCCCATTCCTATCCCTGTTCCCAGGCTCGCTCCCAGCCCAGTTCCCATCCCCCATCCCTGTCCCCATCTGCTTTACCTGACCCTTCTACATCCCCATCCTTGTTCCCATCCCCATCCCTGTCCCCTTCACATCCCCATTCCCAGCCCCATCCCTGTTCCCATTGCCATTCCTATCCCCATCCCTGTCCCCCTTCATATCCCCATACCCATTCCCAGCCCCATCCCTGTTCCCATCCTTGTTCCCATCCCCATCCCTGTCCCCCTTTGCATCCCCATACCCATTCCCAGCCCCATCCCTGTTACCATCCCTGCTCCCATTGCCATTCCTATCCCCATCCCTGTCCCCTGTCTGCTTTACCTGATCCCTCTACATTCCCATCCCCATCCCTGTCCCTATCCCCATCCCCGTGCCCATCCCTGTACCCATCCCTATCCCTGTACCCGTCACCCTGCCTGCCCCATCCCCGTTCCGCTCTGTGTCCCCTCCTCCCCCTGCCCGCTGTCCCTCTGCTGATGCCACTCCCGCCCTGTCCCGCTGTCCCTCTGCTGATGCCGCTGTCCCGCCGCTGTCCCGGTGCTGACGCCGCTGTCCCGGCAGGAGCTGTGCCGGGAGCTGGAGGCGCGGGCCGGTTCCTACCGGGGGCTGCGGGAGCGGCTGCAGCGGCTGCTGGACTCGTGCCGCGCGGGCCGGCCCTGCAGCACCGAGCACAGCCTGCGCCTGCTGGAGCAGAAGTGGGAGAGCGTCCAGGCCGAGGCCCAGGAGAGGAAGGTGTGCGGGGGGCTCTGGGGGGCTCTGACCCGCGGGGGGCTCCCCCTGACCGGACTGGGCCAGGAGCAGGGCAGCCCGTGCCCACCTGTGCCCACCTGTGCCCACCGGTGCCCACTGTGCCCGCAGGAGCGCCTGGCCGAGGGGCTGACGGTCAGCACCGAGTTCCACGGCTCGGCGCAGGAGCTGCTGCGCTGGGTGGCCCACGCCGAGGAGCTGCTGGGGTCCCCTGCGCCCCCCAGCTTCGTCCTGGACACCGTCACCGAGCAGATCCAGGAGCACAAGGCAAGAGCAACACCCTTGGGGCCCATTTGTGGGGCTGGGGTCTGCCCCAGGGGTGCCCGGGGCAAGTGGCACGTGTGTCCCCATGGCACCACGATCCAGGAGCACAAGGCAAGAGCGGTGCCCTGGTTTGTGGGGCTGGGGTCTGCCCCAGGGGTGCTGCATGGCACCTGCAGGGTGCCCAGGGCGAGTGGCACGTGTGTCCCTGTGGCACCACGATCCAGGAGCACAAGGCAAGAGCAACGCCCTTGGGGCCGGTTTGTGGGGCTGGGGTCTGCCCCAGGGGTGCTGCATGGCACCTGAAGGGTGCCAGGGCGAGTGGCACGTGTGTCCCCGTGGCACCACGATCCAGGAGCACAAGGCAAGAGCGGTGCCCTGGTTTGTGGGGCTGGGGTCTGCCCCAGGGGTGCCCGGGGCAAGTGGCTCATGTGTCCCTGTGGCACCACGATCCAGGAGCACAAGGCAAGAGTGGCGCCCTTGGGGCTGGTTTGTGGGGCTGGGGTCTGCCCCAGGGGTGCCTGGAGCGAGTGGCTCGTGTGTCCCTCTCACAAAGGACACAAAATGAATGATGCTCACACTCTGAAATGTCCGAGGCAAGAAAGGACGCGTGTGTTTCCCCGACCTGGATATTTACAGAATTCCAAAAGCAAACATGGATTGGAGGATGGAATTGCCACGCTGGTCAAACCAACAGCCTGTCAATTCTCCCCTCCTTCCAGAAAGGAATGCAAAACAATAATTATTTACATGAAAAGCATGTGAGAAACTCCATTACAAAAATGTTAAGATCAAAAGGCTTAGAAGAACTTCAGAAGAACAGGGTGCCATGTCCCCACCGCAGCAGAACGAGCGAGCTCTGTTGGAATTTACCAACATTGCAGACAGGACCTGCCTTGGCTGGTCTGGCCCTTGGTGCTGAACCTGATAGGGGCAACTGTGGTGTTTCACCCCACAGACACTTTTGCCTGGCTGGGTGTGTGGTGTTTGACCCCACAGACACTTTTGGCTGGCTGGGTGTGTGGTGTTTCACCCCACAGACACTTTTGGCTGCCTGGGTGTGTGGTGTTTCACCCCAGGGACACTTTTGGCAGGCTGGGTGTGTGGTGTTTCACCCCAGGGACACTTTTGGCTGCCTGGGTGTGTGGTGTTTCACCCCACAGACACCTTTGGCTTTCTGGATGTGTGGTGTTTTCACCCCACAGACACTTTTGGCTGCTGGGTGTGTGCTGTTTCACCCCACAGACACTTTTGCCTGCCTGGGTGCTGCAGCTGGGCACTGCAGACAAGTCCAGGCCTGCAGGAGCTCTGGTGCTGCTGGGATGGAGCTTCCCCCCATAACAGGGGGTGCCCCTCAGGTTTCCCTCTGTGGAGAAGCTTTAAGGGGATGGTGAAGGAAAGGAGTCGGTTCTGAGGGAGGGTTTGGATCCAGAGCTTTATTCTGGCCCTCAGGCCTCTGAATGCAGCACCAGCTCCCACAGAACTCCCTGAGCCCGTGGCTGCTGCTCCTTTGAACCCCAGGGAGAGGGGCAGGGAAGGGGCAGGGAGCCACCAAGCAGGGACAGGAGGGGAGGGACAAAGGGACAAAGGACACCTGGATGGCCCAATGCCCCCCAGGGACAGAGGGCATCCTTTGAATCTGCCAATCCCTTCTGGAATTCCGGGACTGACAGACAGTGCTGGGAGGGGCAAGGAGAGCCCTGACACACACCTGGCAGGGAATTACCAGGGGAGGGACCCAGGTTCAGGGGTAAACCCTGAAATGACACCGCAATGCTCTGTGCCCCGTCCCAGCCCGTCCCTGGTGCTGCTCCACGTCCCCTCCTGGCACGGGCTGTGTCCGGGGGGCTCCTCACCCACCCAGGACCCTCCACCCTGAGCTGCCCCCTCCCCGCAGGCCCTGGTGAAGGAGGCGAACGCCCATGGGGAGAAGCTGGGCGGCCTGGAGGCCGTGGCCGCGCGCCTGAAGGATTTCAGTCGGAAGCAGGACGGGGCCGTCATCCAGAACCTGGTGCTGGCAGCCCGGGAGAGGCTGGGCAAGGTCCTGCAGCGGGCAGCAGAGAGGGGAGCCGTGCTGGAGGAGGCCCGAAAACGCAGCAAGCAGGTACCAGGACACGGCCTGGGCTGGGGAGGGGGCTCTGCCCCTTGGCTGGCTTTGGACATGCACCTGGAGGGACAGGACAGGGGGAATGGCTTCCCACTGCCAGAGGGGATGGATGGGATGGGGGGAAGAAATTCTGCCCTGTGAGGGGGGTTTCCTGGGGAAGCTGTGTCTGCCCCATCCTCAGACGTGTCCAAGGCCAGGTTGGATGGGGCTTGGAGCAGCCTGGGCTAGTGGGAGGTGCCCCTGCCCATGGCAGGGGCTGGAACTGGATGGGCTTTGAGGTCCTTCTAACCAAAACTATCCCGGGAATGTTGATTCCATGTCATGGGTCCTGCTGGGAGCTGGGCCAGGAAGGGGCCCCACAGCTCTGGTGCTGTCACTGTGCTGTCCTGGCCCAGGAAGGGACCCCACGGCTCTGGTGCTGTCACTGTGCTGTCCTGGCCCAGGAAGGGGCCACATGCAGCTCTGGTGCTGTCACTGTGCTGTCCTGGCCCAGGAAGGGGCCACATGCAGCTCTGGTACTGTCACTGTGCTGTCCTGGCCCAGGAAGGGACCCTGTGGCTTTGGTGCTGTCACTGTGCTGTCCTGGCCCAGGAAGGGACCCCACGGCTCTGGTGCTGTCACTGTGCTGTCCTGGCCCATGAATTTCTTCCCATGATCTTGGGAGGAAATCCTTCCCTGTGAGGGGGGGTTTCCTGAGAATCTGTGTCTGCCCCATCCTCAGACGTGTCCAAGGCCAGGTTGGATGGGGCTTGGAGCAGCTTGGGCTGTTGGAAAGTGCCCTGGCCATAGTAGTAGGGTGGAACTGGATGGGTTTGAGTTCCCTCCAACCTAAACCATCCCGGGAATGTTGATTCCATGTCATGGGTCCTGCTGGGAGCTGGGCCAGGAAGGGACCCCGTGGCTCTGGTGCTGTCACTGCCCTGGCCCATGGTTTGCCCCATGGTGGTGGCCGGGCTGTGTCACTCCCTTGTGTGGCTCCATCTCTCCTGTTTGGGTGGCCCCAGATCCGCTTTGCCCCTGGGTCCCCCACTCAGCCCCCTGAGCCCCCTGAGTCCCCTGAGCCCTCTCAGCCCCTGCAGCCCCCTCAGCCCCCTCAGCCCCCTCAGCCCCCCTGAGCCCCTGAGCCCCCTCAGCTCCCTGCAGCCCCCTGAGCCCCCTCAGCCCCTGAGCCCCCTGAGCCCCCCTGAGCCCCCCTGAGCCCCTGAGCCCCCCTGAGCCCCTGAGCCCCCTCAGCCCCTGCAGCCCCCTGAGCCTCCTCATTTCCCTGAGCCCCCTGAGCCCCCTCAGCCCCCTCAGCCCCTGAGCCCCCTGAGCCCCCTCAGCCCCTCAGCCCTGCCCTGCCCTGCAGTTCAGCGAGTCCCGGCGGCTGCTGCTGGACTGGATGGACGAGGTGGAGCAGAGCCTGGAGGTGCCTCAGGACGCTGCCACCAGCCAGGAGGAGATCAAGTGCCAGCTGGCTGAGCACAAGGTGGGGCTGCCCCTCGTGCTCCTCGGCCCGGGGGGTGCGGAGCTGGGCTTTTGGGGGGATCTCCAGATCCCAGGGGGGGTTGGACAACACCCAGGACCTCGGGTTTTGGTTGTTGATTGCTGCCCCGGGATGTGCAGGATGTCTCTGCTTCGGCCCGTGTGGCTGAAGAGCGAGTCTGGAATCTTCACTTTTTGGTCTTGAGGTTGTTTATTAATTCTGATCTATAAAATTTTCTTTCTGCCCAGCCGAGATCTGCTCAGCAGGGCAGCCACAGGCACTGTGACCGCCCCCGGGGCGGTGTTGTCCTTTTATACTACAAATTCTGTACAGCATATTTACACTTAATTCCCAATACCCATCACCTGTGTTAGACAGTGCACTTCTACTCTAAATATAACATATTTACACTTAATTCCCAACACCTATCACCCATGTTAGACAGTGCACTTCTACCCTAAACCAATCCCAAAGTGCCAGCATCACTGCAGAAAATAGAGAACAAGAAGAAGAAGGAGAAAGGCTGGACACGCCCAAGTTCCTCCATCTTGTCCCCATAACCCCCACACCAAAAATCCTAAAACCGACCTTTTTACCCTGTGATAATTTTATTATTATGCTATTTAAACTCCTGTGACTTTCAGGTCCTCATACAAAGCTGACAACTTGCTCCAGGGGTCACAATCAAATCCCCAGGTGCTCTGGGCTGTGTGCCAGGGTCTCTGAGCCCCCCAGCAGGGTCCTGGCAACTCTGGACACCCAGAGGGATGCACTGAGTTCTGACACCAGGGCCATCCTGAATTGCTGGGAGACCTTGGGGGAGTGCTGGGCCCAGGGATGTTGGGCATTTGGGGCATCCCGACTGCCCCACAGCCCCTGGGGGAGCAGGGAGTGTCCTTCTCCAGCCGGGGGATGCAGCACCCAGAGGGAACACCCAGCACCAGGGGGTTTGGACAACACCCCAGGGCCATCCTGTATTGCTGGGAGACCTTGGGGGAGTGCTGGGCCCAGGGATGTTGGGCATTGGGGCATCCCGACTGCCCCACAGCCCTTGGGGCAGCAGGGAGTCTCTCTCTCCAGCCGGGGCACCCAGCGCCCAGCTGTGGGGTCCCCTGCAGGCGTTCCAGAAGGTGCTGCGGGCCAAGCGCCCGGTGTACGAGGCGACGCTGCGGAGCGGGCGGGCGCTGCGGGAGGGGGCGCGGCTGCCCCAGGACCTGCAGCCGCTGGAGGAGCTGCTGGGGGAGCTGAAGGAGCGCTGGGATGCGCTGTGCAGCCGCGCTGCCGAGAGGTGGGAGCGGCGCCGGAGGGACGGGATGGGGCGGGGATGGGCTGGGGGTGAGGGGTGGGTGCGGTGGGATGGGGATGGGATGGGATGGGGATGGGATGGGGACGGGATGGGGATGGGATGGGGACGGGATGGGGAAGGGGTTGGCATGGGGATGGGATGGGGATGGGATGGGGATGGGATGGGGATGGGATGGGGATGGGATGGGGATGGGATGGGATGGGGATGGGATGGGGATGGGGTTGGGATGGGGATGGGATGGGGATGGGACAGGGAAAGGGAAAGGGTTGGGATGGGATGGGGATGGGATAGGGAAGGGTTTGGGATGGGGATGGGATAGGGAAGGGTTTGGGATGCAGGTTGGATGGGAATAGGGATGGAAATAGTGCCCACAGCACCACTGTGAGGATTTGGGGTGCAGATGAACCCTGTGTACGCTGCTGTGAGGGTTTGGGGTGCAGAGTAACCCTGTACCCACTGCTGTGAGAGTTTGGGGTGCAGGGGAACCCTTTGCTCAGTGCTGTGAGGGTTTGGGATGCACAGGAACCCTGTGCCCGCTGCTGTGAGGGTTTGGGGTGCACGGGAACCCTGTGCCCACTGCTGAGAGGGTTTGGGGTGCAGGAGAACCCTGTGAGGGTTTGGGGTGCACGGGAACCCTGTGCCCTCTGCTGTGAGGGTTTGGGGTGCACGGGAACCCTGTGAGGGTTTGGGGTGCACGGGAACCCTGTGAGGGTTTGGGGTGCACGGGAACCCTGTGCCCTCTGCTGTGAGCGTTTGGGGTGCAGGGGAACCCTTTGCCCACTGCTGTGAAGGTTTGGGGTGCAGGAGAACCCTGTGAGGGTTTGGGGTGCAGGACAACCCTTTGCCCACTGCTGAGAGGGTTTGGGGTGCACAGGAACCCTGTGCCCACTGCTGAGAGGGTTTGGGGTGCACGGGAACCCTGTGCCCACTGCGAGGGGCCGTTGGTTTCTTTGATGTGGCCTTTCTGTCATTGCTCATTGAGCAGCTGTTTGAGGGAACTCAGTTTCTTCTCCTCCAGGGGCCATTGACTCACCCAGACAGGACTGTTGGTTTTCCATGGCAGCTTCAGGGTGACCAGTGCCATCATGGCCCCTTTCAAAAATCCCCTTCCAGCTGTGGCACGATCTGTTCTCTGCCCGCTCTGCGGGTCCCAGGCAGGCACTGGAACTGCCCTTCCTCCCTGAGCATCCTCCTCTGGGACCCCATTGCCAGCATTGCTGGGCTCTGCCCTTGGGCTGTAGCTGGGCCCATCCTTGTCCATAATGGCACTGCCAGGACCCATTCCTGTCCATAATGGCACTGCCAGGACCTGTCCCATCCATAATGGCACTGCCAGAACCTGTCCCAGTCCATAATGGCACTGCCAGGACCTGTCCCATCCATAATGGCACCGCCTGTCCATAAGGACACGGCCACAACCTGTTCCTGTCCATAATGGCACTGCCAGGACCTGTCCCTGTCCATAATGGCACTGCCAGGACCCGTCCCTGTCCATAATGGCACTGCCAGGACCTGTCCCTGTCCATAATGGCACCGCCAGGACCCGTCCCTGTCCATAATGGCACTGCCAGGACCTGTCCCTGTCCATAATGGCACTGCCAGGACCCGTCCCTGTCCATAATGGCACCGCCTGTCCATAAGGACACGGCCACAACCTGTTCCTGTCCATAATGGCACTGCCAGGACCTGTCCCATCCATAATGGCACTGCCAGCACCCGTCCCTGTCCATAATGGCACCGCCAGGACCTGTCCCTGTCCATAATGGCACTGCCAGGACCCGTCCCTGTCCATAATGGCACTGCCAGGACCTGTCCCTGTCCATAATGGCACTGCCAGGACCCATCCCTGTCCATAATGGCACTGCCAGGACCCGTCCCTGTCCATAATGGCACTGCCAGGACCTGTCCCTGTCCATAATGGCACTGCCAGGACCTGTCCCTGTCCATAATGGCACTGCCAGGACCTGTCCCTGTCCATAATGGCACTGCCAGGACCTGTCCCATCCATAATGGCACTGCCAGGACCCGTCCCTGTCCATAATGGCACTGCCAGGACCTGTCCCATCCATAATGGCACTGCCAGGACCCATCCCTGTCCATAATGGCACTGCCAGGACCTGTCCCTGTCCATAATGGCACTGCCAGGACCTGTCCCTGTCCATAATGGTCCTGCAAGGACCCATTCCTGTCCATAATGGTATGGCCACGACCTGTCCCGGTCCGTAATGGCACTGCCAGGACCCATCCCTGTCCATAATGGCACTGCCAGGACCCATCCCAGCCCATAGGGGCCCTGCCAGCTCTTTGTGGTGGCTCTGGGGTGACCCCAGGGGTGCCCCCAGGTGCCCACAGTGCCCTGTGCCCCTGGCAGTCAGCACAAGCTGGAGGAGAACCTGCTCAGGACCCATCCCAGTCCATAGCAGTCCCAGGATGACCCATCTCAGCCCATTAGGGCCCTGCCAGCTCTTTGTGGTGGCTCTGGGGTTCCTCTTTGGGGTGCCCCCAGGTGCCCACAGTGCCCTGTGCCCCACAGGCAGCACAAGCTGGAGGAGAACCTGCTCAGGACCCATCCCAGTCCATAATGGCCCTGCCAGCTCTGTGTGGTGGCTCTGGGGTTCCTCTTTAGGGTGCCCCCAGGTGCCCACAGTGCCCTGTGCCCACAGGCAGCACAAGCTGGAGGAGAACCTGCTCTTCTCGGGCAAGTTCACGGACGCGCTGCAGGCGCTCATGGACTGGCTGTACCGCGCCGAGCCGCAGCTCAGCGAGGACGCGCCCGTCGGGGGGGACCGAGACCTGGTCGGGGACCTCATGGACAAGCACAAGGTGGGTGGCCCTGGGGGGGGCTGCAGGGACCCCCGGGCTGTGCCCACCCTCGCTGTGGGGCAGGATGGAGCAGGGCCTGCTGGGGACACCCCGGTGTCACCCCAGTCTGGGGTGCCCTCGCCCCTGGTGCTGGAACTGCCCTTCCTCCCTGAGCATCCTCCTCTGGGACCCCATTCCCAGCATTCCCGTGTGCCCCAGAGCTGGGGAGGGGTTGGGGTGCAGGGGACCCTGTGAGGGTTTGGGGTGCAGGGAACGCTGTGAGGGTTTGGGGTGCAGGGGACCCTGTGAGGATTCGGGGTGCACAGGAACCCTGTGTGGGTTTGGGGTGCACAGGAACACTGTACCCTCTTCTGGGAGGGTTTGGGGTGCACGGGAACCCTGTGAAGGTTTGGGGTACAGGAGAGCGCTGTGAAGGTTTGGGGTGCAGGGCAGCCCTGTGCCCACTGCTGTGAGGGTTTGGGGTGCACAGAAATCCTGTGAGGGTTTGGGGTGCATGGGACCCTGTGAGGGTTTGGGGTGCAGGAGAGCCCTGTGAGGGTTTGGGGTGCATGGGACCCTGTGAGGGTTTGGGGTGCAGGAGAGCCCTGTGAGAGTTTGGGGTGCAGGGAACCCTGTGAGGGTTTGGGGTGCACAGGAGCCCCGTACCCACTGCTGCGAGGTTTTGGGGTGCAGGGGAACCCTATGCCCATTTTTGTGAGGTTTTGGGGTGCAGGGCAACCCTGTTCCCACTGCTGTGAGGGTTTGGGGTGCACAGGAACTCTCCAACCACTTCTGTGAAGGTTTGGGGTGCAGGGGAACCCCGTTCCCACTGCAGTGAGGGTTTGGGGTGCACAGGAGCCCCGTACCCACTGCTGCGAGGTTTTGGGGTGCAGGGGAACCCTTTGCCCGTTGTTGTGAAGTTTTGGGGTGCAGGGGAACCCTTTGCCCGTTGTTGTGAGGTTTTGGGGTGCAGGGGACCCCTATGCCCATTGTTGTGAGGTTTTGGGGTGCAGGGGACCCCTATGCCCACTGCTGTGAGGTTTTGGGGTGCAGGGGAACCCTATGCCCATTGTTGTGAGGTTTTGGGGTGCAGGGGAACCCTATGCCCATTGTTGCGAGGTTTTGGGGTGCAGGGGAACCCTACGCCCATTGTTGTGAGGTTTTGGGGTGCAGGACACCCCCGCCCAGCCGTGGGGTCCCTGTCGCACGGTCCCCCCCGCCCCGCAGGTGTTCCAGAAGGAGCTGGGCAAGCGCGCCAGCTGCATCAAGACGCTGAAGCGCTCGGTGCGGGACCTGACGCGGGGCAGCAGCAGCGTGGACTCGCAGTGGCTGCAGCGGCAGGTGGAGGAGCTCAGCACCCGCTGGGACCTGGTCTGCAAACTCTCCCTGTCCAAACAGGCTCGGCTGGAGGCGGCGCTGCGGCAGGTGAGGGATGGGGGGCGGCGGGGGAGCCCGGGGGGTTGGGGGGCAGCGGGGGAGCCCAGGGTTGGGGTCTGCAGTGGGGGAACCCCGGGTTGGGGTCTGCAGTGGGGAAACCCCCGGGATTGGGGGCAGCAGTGGGGGAACTCCTGGGACTGGGGGCAGCGGGGGAACCCAGGGCTGGGGGGAAGTGGGGGAACCCCCGAGTGGGGTCTGCAGCGGGGGGAACCCCTGGGATTGGGGGCAGTGGGGGAACCCCGGGTTGGGGGGCAGTGGGGGAGCCCCCGGAATTGGGGGCAGCAGGGGAACCCCGGGTTGGGGTGTGCAGCTGGAGCATCCATGTGGGGAGGCTGAGATGGATGTGGGGGTGCGGGGTGGTGGGTTGGGGGTGGCCGTGTTTTGGGGGTTGCTTGGCTCGTGGGTGGCTGTCATTTGGGGGGTGCTGGGGTGGTGGGTGGCCGCGTTTTGGGGGGTGCTCTGTGGGATGCCCAGGCATGGTGGGTGGCCGTGCTTTGAGGGGTGCTCTGTGGGGTGCTGGGGCGGTGGGTGGCTGTGTTTTGGGGGGTGCTCCATGGGGTGGTGGGTGGCCGTGTTTTGGGGGGTGCTCCATGGGGTGGTGGGTGGCTGTGTTTTGGGGGCAGTTTGTGTGGTGGGTGGCCGTGTTTTGGGGGCAGTTTGTGTGGTGTGTGGCCCTGTTTTGGGGGCAGTTTGTGTGGTGGGTGGCCGTGTTTTGGGGGCAGTTTGGGCGGTGTGTGGCCCTGCTTTGGGGGCAGTTTGGGCGGTGGGTGGCCGTGTTTTGGGGGCAGTTTGGGCGGGGTGTGGCCGTGTTTTGGGGTCAGTTTGGGCGGTGGGTGGCCGTGTTTTGGGGGCAGTTTGGGCGGGGTGTGGCCGTGTTTTGGGGGCAGTTTGGGCGGTGGGTGGCCGTGCTTTGGGGGCAGTTTGTGTGGTGGGTGGCCGTGCTTTGGGGGCAGTTTGGACAATGGGTGGCCCCGTTTTGGGGAATTCTCCATGGGGTGCCCAGGCATGGTGGGTGGCTGAGCATCTGGGGAGGTCTTCCAGGCTGCCTGGGTGGTGTTGGGGCTGTGCCTTTTGGGGTTCCCTGTGGGCTGCCCAGCTCGGGGTGTGGTGCTGCGTGGGGCTCTGAGGTTCTGTCGCAAGGTGCCATGGCCGAGTGCCAGGCTGGCTGCTGCCTGCTACAGGTGTGACTGCATGCACAGTGCCTGGGGCGGGTGGCACAGGGTGGCACAGGGAGGCTCAGGGAGGCTCGGAGGGAATGGTGTCCCGCTCTAGAGCTGGCTGTGGGGTCTCCCCTCGATCCCTCTGTGGGGCCAGAGCGGGGCTGGCAGCAGCTCTGCCATGGCACCGCGTGCTGCCAGTGCCTGTGCCAGGGGCTGGGCCATCCCCAGCAGGGCTCAGGGGCCGGCCGGGAGGCTCAGGGGGCCTGCAAGGAGGGCGCTGAGCGGGTCCCCGCTGTGGTGGCAGGCGGAGGAGTTCCACAGCCTGGTGCACTCCTTCCTGGGGCGCCTGACCGAGTCGGAGAAGACCCTCAAGTACGGAGTGTTCCCCGAGGAGGAGGCGGCCGTGCAGGAGTGCCAGGCCCAGCTGCAGGTGGGTGCCAGCCCCAGCAAACCCCAGCAAACCCCAGCTTTGCCCCAGGACCTCCATCACTGGGCTCAGCCTGCCCCAGCGGGGCTCTGGCATCCCCACAGGGATGTTGGGTGCCACCCCTGAGAGATTTGGGGTGTTGAGTCCCACCACACCGAGCGCACGGGGTTTGGGGCCCCAAATGCCCTGAGGTGGGGAGATTTGGGTACCCCCACCCCAATCCCTCGATCCCAGGGGTGTGGTGGTGTCTGGGGGGCTGGGGCCTGACAGTGCCATGTCCCTGTCCCCCCCAGGAGCTGATGCAGTCCCTGCAGTGCCAGCAGCTGGAGCTGGAGTGCATCACCTCGCTGGGGGAGGAGATCCTCAGCACCTGCCACCCCGACTCCATCATCACCATCAAATCCTGGGTCACGGTCACCAAGAGCCGCTTCCAGGAGGTGAGACAGGGGCCCCATCCGTGCCCGGGGGGCAGAGCGGCACCCACACCTGGGGAAAGCACAGCCCCACACCTGGGGAAAGCACAGCCCCACACCTGGGGAAAGCATGGCCCCACACCTGGGGAAGGCACGGCCCCACACCTGGGGAAAGCACGGCCCCACACCTGGGGAAAGCACAGCCCCACACCTGGGGAAAGCACGGCCCCACACCTGGGGAAAGCACAGCCCCATACCTGGGGAAGGCACGGCCCCATACCTGTCCCAGTGCCCCACACCAGTCCCAGTGCCCCACACCTGTCCCACTGCCCCACACCTGGGGAAAGCATGGCCCCACACCTGGGGAAAGCACAGCCCCACACCTGGGGAAAGCATGGCCCCACACCTGGGGAAAGCACGGCCCCATACCTGGGGAAAGCATGGCCCCACATCTGTCCCAGTGCCCCACACCTGGGGAAAGCACAGCCCCATACCTGGGGAAAGCACGGCCCCACACCTGGGGAAAGCACGGCCCCATACCTGTCCCAGTGCCCCACGCCTGGGGAAAGCACAGCCCCACACCTGGGGAAAGCACAGCCCCACGCCTGGGGAAAGCACGGCCCCACACCTGTCCCAGTGCCCCACGCCTGTCCCAGTGCCCCACTCCTGTCCCAGTGCCCCACACCTGTCCTGCTGCCCCACTCCTGTCCCACTGCCCCACGCCTGTCCCAGTGCCCCACTCCTGTCCCAGTGCCCCACTACCAGTCCCACTGCCCCACTCCTGTCCCACTGCCCCACACCTGTCCTAGTGCCCCACACCTCGCCTGTCCCAGTGCCCCACACCTGTCCCAGTGCCCCACATCTGTCCCAGTGCCCCACGCCTGTCCCAGTGCCCCACACCTGTCCTAGTGCCCCACGCCTGTCCCACTGCCCCATGCCTGTCCCAGTGCCCCACACCAGTCCCAGTACCCCACACCAGTCCCACTGCCCCACGCCTGTCCCAGTGCCCCACACCTGTCCCAGTGCCCCACACCTGTCCCCCTGCCCCACGCCTGTCCCAGTGCCCCACACCTGTCCCAGTGCCCCACACCTGTCCCCCTGCCCCACGCCTGTCCCCCTGCCCCACGCCTGTCCCACTGCCCCACACCTGTCCTAGTGCCCCACACCTGTCCCAGTGCCCCACACCTGTCCCACTGCCCCACGCCTGTCCTAGTGCCCCACGCCTGTCCCAGTGCCCCACACCTGTCCCAGTGCCCCACACCTGTCCTAGTGCCCCACGCCTGTCCCAGTGCCCCACACCTGTCCCAGTGCCCCACACCTGTCCTAGTGCCCCACGCCTGTCCCACTGCCCCACACCTGTCCCCCTGCCCCACACCTGTCCCCCTGCCCCACACCTGTCCCAGTGCCCCACACCTGTCCCCCTGCCCCACGCCTGTCCCAGTGCCCCACACCTGTCCTAGTGCCCCACACCTGTCCCCCTGCCCCACGCCTGTCCCAGTGCCCCACACCTGTCCTAGTGCCCCACGCCTGTCCCACCACCAGGGACTGCAGCCCCCCAGGCAGAGCATTGCAGGATCTGGGGGTGCTCAGCCCCAGAGGATCTTGGCCTTGCCAGGGTCACCCCATGGTCCCCCACCCTGTGGCCTCCTGGGGTCACCCCCTTGGAAGTGGTGGCTCATTCCTGTGCAATGGGGGCCACCACACAGCTGAGGCAGGGAAAGGTGGGAGCAGTGTCCCGGGGTCCCACCCCAGACTGTGCTCCCACCGTGGCCCAGAGCCGCCCCGGGCTGCTCTGGATTTGTAGGTAAGAGGCTCCTGGGACTGGTCTGGCCAGTTCAACCGATCCCACACAAAGCCCCTGTTGAGCAGAGAGCTGCAGGATCCGCTCTGGATCTGCCCTGGGGCTGCCCCCCTCACCCCACGCACCCCAAAAAGGGAGAGCAGCTGGCATGGCCACACAGCCCAGACCTGGGGACCCTCAGCATGCGGGGGCAGCACCCCCAGCCCTGCCCCAGCTGCCCAGCAGGAGCCTGGTGCTGCCCCTTGTCCCTGCCCCCGTGTCCCTGCCCCCGTGTCCCTGCCCCATGTCCCTTCCCTATATCCCTGTCCCATATCCCAGACCCATGTCCCTGCCCAATATCCCTGCCCCCATATCCCTGCCCTATATCCCTGCCCCATGTCCCAGACCCATATCCCTGCCCGATGTCCCAGCCCCGTGTCCCTGTCTCATATCCCAGACCCATATGCCTTCCCCATACCCCTTCCCCATGTCCCTTTCCCATATCCCTGCCCCACATCCCTGCCCCATATCCCTGCCTGGTGTCCCTCTCCCATCTCCCTGCCCCATATCCCAGCCCCATATCCCTGCCCCATGTCCCTGCCCCATATCCCAACCCAGTGTCCCTGCCCCATGTCCCTGCCCGGTGTCCCTGCCCCATGTCCCAACCCCATATCCCTGCCCCATGTCCCTGCCCCATGTCCCAGCCGGGGGACCCTGGGGTGCACACTGGGGTGCCCTCCCCGTGTCCCCATATCCCAGCCCCATGTCCCTGCTCCACATCCCAGCCCCACATCCCTGCCCCACATCCCTGCCCCATGTCCCTACCTGGTGTCCCTGCCCCATATCCGTATCCCTGCCCCATATCCCAGCCCCAAATCCCAGCCCCGTGTCCCAGCCAGGGTCCCTGGGGTGCACACTGGGGTGCCCTCCCCGTGTCTAGTGTCCCATATCCCAGCCGGGGTCCCTGGGGTGCACACCGGGGTCGCTCCCCGTGCCCCCATATCCCAGCCCCATGTCCCTATTCTGTGTCCCAGCCCCATATCCGTATCCCTGCCCCATATCCCAGCCGGGGTCCCTGGGGCGCACACCGGGGTCCCTCCCCGTGCCCCAGCCCCACATCCCAGCCGGGGTCCCTGGGGCGCACACTGGGGTGCCCTCCCCGTGTCCCCATATCCCAGCCCCATATCCCAGCCCCATATCCCAGCCCCATATCCCAGCCGGGGTCCCTGGGGCGCACACTGGGGTGCCCTCCCCGTGTCCCCATATCCCAGCCCCATATCCCAGCCCCATATCCCAGCCGGGGTCCCCTGGGGCACACACTGGGTGCCCTCCCCGTGTCCCCATATCTCTGCCCCGTGTCCCAGCCCCATATCCCAGCCCCATATCCCAGCCGGGGTCCCTGGGGCGCACACTGGGGTGCCCTCCCCGTGTCCAGTGTCCTATGTCCCAGCCGGGGTCCCTGGGGGGCACAGTGGGTGCCCTCCCCGTGCCCCCATATCCCAGCCCCATATCCCAGCCGGGGTCCCTGGGGCGCACACCGGGGTCCCTCCCCGTGCCCCCCTTGCCCCACGGGCCCCGGCCGCCCCGCAGGTGCTGAGCTGGGCACAGCAGCAGGGCGAGCGGCTGCGGGCGCAGGCGGCGGCGCTGGCGGCCGAGCGGGAGGACACGGAGCAGCTGCTGGACTGGATCACGGCGGCCGAGGAGGCGCTGGGGCTGCGCGACCAGGAGCCGCTGCCCGAGGAGGCCGAGCAGCTGGAGGAGCTCAGCGCCCAGCACGCGGTGAGGGACCCCGAAACCGGCTGGCCTTGGGGACAGGGGGACCCCAAAACCGGCTGGCCCTGGGGACAGGGGGACCCCCCTGACACACCCCGGCTGGCCCTGGGCCAGGAGCTGGCCTGACCGAGGGGTTTGGGGGGCACGGGGCTCGTGGGTGGTGCTGCTTTGGTACAGGGGGGCTGTGGAATATTGGGGGCAGTGGAATATGGGGGGTGTGGAGTATGGGGGGTTGGGAAATATGGGGCGCTGTGGAATATGGGGGGTCTGGGGAGCACGGGGGGCTGTGGGGCACGGGGGGCTGTGGAGAATGGGGGGCTCTGGAGCACAGGAGGCTGGGGAGCACAGGGAGCTGGGGGGCTCTGGAGAACAGGGGGGTGGGAAGCACGAGGGGCTGTGGAGAACGGGGGGCTCTGGAGCACGGGGGGCTGTGGAGAATGGGGGGCTGTGGAACACAGGGGGCTGGGGAACACAGGGAGCTGGGGGGCTCTGGAGCACTTGGGGGGGTTGTGGAGCACGGGGGGTGGTGGAGCCCAGGGGGCTGTGGAACACAAGGAACTGGGGCACTCTGGAGCACGGGGTCTCTGAGGCACGGGGGGGTTGTGGAATATGGGGGGGCTGTGGAGCACTGGGGGATGGGGAGCACGGGGGGCTGTGGAATATGGGGGGGTCTGGGGAACACAGGGGGCACGGGGGGCTGTGGAGTACAGGGGGCTGGGGAACACAGGGGGGGCTGTGGAATATGGGGAGGGGTCTGGGGAACACAGGGGGCACGGGGGGCTGTGGAGAATGGGGGGCTCTGGAGCAGAGGGAGCTGTGGAGCACGGGGAACTGGGGGGCTCTGAGCACGGGGGGCTCTGGAACACAAGGAACTGGGGGGCTGTGGAACACAAGGAACTGGGGGGCTCTGGAGCACAGGGAACTGGGGGGCTCTGTAGCACGGGGTGCTGTGGAACACAGGGAACTGGGGGGCTCTGGTGGAGCACGGGGGGCTCTGTTGGAGCACGGGGGGCTCTGGTGGAGCCCAGGGAACTGTGCCAGCCCGTGCTCAGCACCAGCCCTCCTCCGCAGGTGTTCATGGAGGAGCTGAACCGCAAGCAGCCTGACGTGGAGAAGGTGACCAAGAGCTGCAAGCGGAAGCTGGCGGTGGAGCTGGGCCCCCCGGCCACCCGCCGACTGGCCACACGTAAGGAAACCCACCGGCGCCCCCTTCCCACGGCCCGGACCCCCGGGCGCCCCTGACCCCGCTGTCCGCAGGTCGCCGCAGCGGCGGGAAGGCGCAGGGCACGGCGGCGGCGCCGCTCGGGGGGCTGGAGCCGCAGACGCCGCTGATGGCGCAGCTCCTGCACCGCTGGCAGCAGCTCTGGCTGCTGGCCCTGGACCGGCAGTACCGGCTGGAGACGGCCCTGCAGCGCCTGCGGGAGGTAGGGCTGGCACACGGGGGTCCCCCTGCCCTGCGGGGTCCTCAGCAGCTCCTCTCATCTTCTGCCCATGGGGGGATGCCCTAACCCTAACCATGGGGGCCCTCTCGGCCAGGTCATGGGGATGGGGTCAGCAGCCCCAGCGCCTGTCCCTGCAGGGCTCTGTGCCCTGTCCCTGTCCCTCCCTACCCTGTCCCTGTCCCTGCAGGGTCTGTGCCCTGTCCCTGCCCCTGCAGGGGTCTGTGCCCTCCCTACCCTGTCCCTGTCCCTGCAGGGTCGGTGCCCTGTCCCTGTCCCTCCCTACCCTGTCTCTGCCCATGCAGGGGTCTGTGCCCCGTCCCTGTCCCTGTCCCTGTCCCTGCAGGGGTCTGTGCCCTGTCCCTGTCCCTCCCTACCCTGTCCCTGTCCCTGCAGGGGTCTGTGCCCCGTCCCTGTCCCTCCCTACCCTGTCCCTGTCCCTGCAGGGGTCTGTGCCCTCCCTACCCTGTCCCTGTCCCTGCAGGGTCGGTGCCCTGTCCCTGTCCCTCCCTACCCTGTCCCTGTCCCTGCAGGGGTCTGTGCCCTCCCTACCCTGTCCCTGTCCCTGCAGGGGTCTGTGCCCCGTCCCTGTCCCTCCCTACCCTGTCCCTGTCCCTCCCATGGGTGCACCCTGACACCCTAGAGGGGCTGCTGGAGCCCCGTGCACCACAGAGTGGGGGTCCTGGTCAGAGACCCCCCCCAACCTTGCAGCTGTGGCAGGGCCAGGGCTGGGAGCAGGCAGGCCATGGAGCTGGGGCTGGGCACAGTGGGCACAGTGAGGGAGGCATGAGGGGCTCCTGCTCATCCCCTCCGTGCCCCTCTGAGCTGGAGGAGTTGGTGCACTTTGACTTTGGGGTCTGGAGGAAGCGCTGCACGCAGTGGATCAGCCAGATGAAGTCTGTCCCTGCAGGGGTCTGTGCCCCGTCCCTGTCCCTCCCATGGGTGCACCCTGACACCCCAGAGGGGCTGCTGGTGCACCACAGAGTGGGGGTCCTGGTCAGAGACCCCCCCCAACCTTGCAGCCGTGGCAGGGCCAGGGCTGGGAGCAGGCAGGCCATGGAGCTGGGGCTGGGCACAGTGGGCACAGTGTGGTGAACCAGGCTGGGGTGGGGGGCGTGAGGGGGGCATGAGGGGCTCCTGCTCATCCCCTCCGTGCCCCTCCCAGCTGGAGGAGTTCGCGCACTTTGACTTCGGGGTCTGGAGGAAGCGCTACATGCAGTGGATCAGCCAGATGAAGTCCCGCGTCCTGGACGTGTTCCGCGGCATCGACAGGGACCAGGACGGGCGCATCAGCCAGCGGGAGTTCATCGAGAGCGTCCTCGCCTCCAGTGCGTGCCCAGGGGCGCTGGAGGGGGCTGAGGGGCTGGAACTGGGGGGCTGATGGTCTCTCTGTACCCCCCCCCCAGAGTTCCCCACCAACGTCCTGGAGATGAACGCCGTGGCCACCATCTTCGACATGAACGGCGACGGCTTCATCGACTACTACGAGTTCGTCAGCGCCCTGCACCCCAACCGGGACCCGCTGCGCCGCTCCGCCGACGCCGACCAGATCCAGGACGAGGTGTGGGGCGGGGCAGCGGGGCTGGGGGGCGGCTGGAAGGGTGGGGATCCCGCCCAGGGCTGAGCTGAGCGTGCCCCCGCAGGTGAACCGGCAAGTGGCCCAGTGCAACTGCGCCAAGCGCTTCCAGGTGGAGCAGATCAGCGCCAACAGGTACCGGGTAAGTGCCCAGGCCGGGACCTGCTCTGACACCTGTGCCCAGCCCCGTGCCCTGGGCAGGGGTCCTGCAGTGCCCGTGTGCCAGGGCATGGAGGGGGCACATCCCTGTGCCCATACAGGGGTCCTGCAGTGCCTGTGTGCCCAGGCATGGAGGGGGCACATCCCTGTGCCCATACAGGGGTCCTGCAGTGCTCGTGTGCCAGGGCAGGGATGGGGCACATCCCCGTGCCCATACAGGGGTCCTGCAGTGCCCGTGTGCCCAGGCAGGGTGGGGGCACATTCCTGTGCCCATACAGGGGTCCTGCAGTGCCCGTGTGCCAGGGCATGGAGGGGGCACATCCCCGTGCCTGCTCAGGGGTCCTGCAGTGCCTGTGTGCTAGGGCAGGGATGGGGCACATCCCCGTGCCCATACAGGGGTCCTGCAGTGCCCGTGTGCCAGGGCATGGAGGGGGTACATCCCCGTGCCCATACAGGGGTCCTGCAGTGCCCGTGTGCCAGGGCATGGAGGGGGTACATCCCTGTGCAGGGGTCCTGCAGTGCTCGTGTGCCAGGGCATGGAGGGGGCACATCCCCGTGCCCATACAGGGGTCCTGCAGTGCCCGTGTGCCAGGGCAGGGAGGAGGCACATCCCCATGCTCTGTGTGCCAGGGCATGGAGGGAGCACATCCCCGTGCCCTGCTCAGGGGTCCTGCAGTGCCCGTGTGCCAGTGTTTTGCAGAGATAACCAAAACCCCACAACTTTTGTGCAAGTTGTAAAGCCGGTATGTTTATTATTACATTAAGGTGATTACTCTCCTTAAAAGACATGCGTACCTCTGGGAACTTCAGGTCTTTTTTATCCCCCTCTCAAATACATATGCACACAGTTTCACAATAGGTTCATACATATTCATTTTCACGAATTTCGCGTGACATTTGCTGCTGGTTCTTCTTTATCAGAAAGAATTCCTTGGTCAGGTTGACCTGCTCTCACAGCAGTCTCTGTTTCTCTTTATCACCTTGTGTTCCCCCCCCTTATCTCTGTCCTTCACTGAATCAGTTTCCCTGAGCCCAGGCTTTGCAGTCAGGCTACACAGCCATGTTTTCTAGCCACAGACTCAACTCAGAGATGTACATTTCACCTAAATCAAAACAGATTTCTACTCTGGAGAATTTCTGCTTTGTTTCACTGAGGCGGGGAGGGGGCACATCCCATGGGGGCAGTGCCCATGTGCCAGGGCGAGCAGGGGCCACATCCCTGTGCCCCGAGGAGCCCCAGCCCCTGTGGGAGGGTGTAGAATTTGCAAGGCAACTCCAACAAGGGAAGAGACGAGAACCTTGACTCCATGTTTCATGGAGGCTGATTCATTATTTTATGATATATATATTATATTGAAAGAAAATGATACACTAAAACTATACTAAAGAAAGAGAAAGGAGATATCAGAAGGCTAGAAAAGAACGGAATGAATAAAAAAAATCTTGTGACTGCTCACAGCCTCGACACAGGCGGCTGTCATTGGTCATCAAGTAAAAACAATTTCACACGCTGAGTAAACAATTCTCCAAACCACATTCCAAAACAGCAAAACGTGAAGAAGCTGAAGCTTCTCAGCTTCTCGGGAGAAAAGATCCTAACGAAAGGATTTTCCATAAAATACGTCCGTGACAGGAGGGCAGTGCCAGTGGGGCCGGGGGGGTGGCAGGGAGGGGCAGGTCTGGGTGCTGCTGCCCCCCTTCCCAAGGCCCAGCCTTGCCCCAGCGTCCCTCTCCCCGCAGTTCGGGGAGTCCCAGCAGCTGCGGATGGTGCGGATCCTGCGCAGCACCCTCATGGTGCGGGTGGGCGGCGGCTGGATCGCCCTGGACGAGTTCCTGGTGAAGAACGACCCCTGCAGAGGTGAGGGTGGGGGTCCCACTGTGGGGTCCCACGGTGCCTGGTGCGGGGCCATGGGGGGCACAGCACTCCCCAGGGTAACCCTCGCCCCCTCTGCTGTCCCCAGTGAAGGGAAGGACCAACCTGAAGATCAACGAGAAGTACCTGTCCTCGGACGTCTTCGGAGCCGCTGCCAGGTGCGCCGGGACCCAGTCGGCCGCCTCCTCCAAAGTGCTGTCCCCGAGCCGCTCCAACTCCAGCCTCAGCCTCTACAGCAGCGCCTCGGCCCCCAGCAGCCCCCTGGCCAGGAAGGTACGGGCCGCCGAGCCCCCCCCCCCCCTGCAGTACCGAGCCCCCCAACCCTCCCGCCGGGGCCTCTGACCCTCACCCTCATCCTCATCCTCACCCTCATCCTCACCCTCATCCTCACCCTCATCCTCATCCTCACCCTCATCCTCACCCTCATCCTCATCCTCACCCTCATCCTCATCCTCATCCTCACCCTCACCCTCATCCTCACCCTCATCCTCATCCTCACCCTCATCCTCACCCTCATCCTCATCCTCACCCTCATCCTCATCCTCATCCTCACCCTCACCCTCATCCTCATCCTCATCCTCACCCTCATCCTCACCCTCATCCTCATCCTCACCCTCATCCTCATCCTCACCCTCACCCTCACCCTCATCCTCATCCTCACCCTCATCCTCATCCTCATCCTCACCCTCATCCTCATCCTCATCCTCACCCTCATCCTCACCCTCATCCTCACCCTCACCCTCATCCTCACCCTCATCCTCACCCTCCCCAGTCGGTGCTGCGGAGGACGCGCTCCGGGGACCGCTGCCCGCGCTCCCGGGGCTCGGGGCTGCCCGACGGAGCGGAGCTGCAGTTCAGCGCGGCTGAGGAGAGCCTGCCTGTGGCACCCCCAGGTGAGCGCCCTGGGGCTGGGGGGCACCGGGGAGCCGGGCTGGGGGGCACCCCGAGGCTGTGGGGCACTGGGGAGCCGGGCTGGGGGGCACCGGGGAGCCGGGCTGGGGGGCACTTCCAGACTGGGGGGCACCGGGGAGCCGGGCTGGGGGGCACCCCGAGGCTGTGGGGCACTGGGGAGCCGGGCTGGGGGGCACCGGAGAGCCGGGCTGGGGGACACTTCCAGACTGGGGGGCACCGGGGAGCCGGGCTGGGGGGCACCCCCAGGCTGGGGGGCACCGCGGAGCCGGGCTGGGGGGCACCCCGAGGCTGTGGGGCACCGGGGAGCCGGGCTCGGTGCGCGCTGTGCCGCAGGGCAGCGGGGCTGTGTCCCCCCGTCCCTCGCAGCGCTGGAGCCGGGGCCGGCAGAGCTCCGCGCTCCATCCATCCATGCCCTCCGTGCCCCCGCAGAGCCGCCCGAAGGGTCCCCTCCGGAGCGCTGCAGCCCCTGCCGCTGAGCCCCGCGCCCGCCCTGCGCCCAGCACCTCGGCCGGCCCCACTCAGGACCCTCCTTCCTCCACGGGGCCGCGCCCCCCGCGGGTCTCGGGCCCGGCGCTGCGGCCCCCCCGAGCGGGGCTGAGCTGGACGGCCCGCACCGATCGCGCCGCCGGGGCCCGTTCCAGAGGATATGCAAGCATCTCCCGACAGCCAGCGAGACCCGGGCTCCCGCCCCGCGGCTCCGCTCCCAGCGCCCGGGGCTGCGGGACCAGCCGGGCGCCCCCTGCCCTTCCCCCGTGCGGCCGGCTCGGTACCCCCCGGCACCGGGCCTCGCTCACCGGGGTCCCCGCGGTGCCTCCCACGCCCCGGCGGGAGGCGGCCGGGCTCGGTACCGGGCACCGGGCGGATGCCGAGCCCCGTTTCTGGTGCTAACCCTCACCCCTCGGCCTTGGGGGTGCTCCGGCCGCCCCCGGCCCCGGGGGTCCCGTCCCGCCGGCGGCACCGGGGGCAGCGCGACCCCCGCCCCGCCGCCGCATGCCCGCGCCACCCCCGCTAACCGGAGAGCAGTAGAGCTGAATGTAACCCCGGCCGGGCCCGCCCGCCGCCACAATAAACTGTAGTGAGGTTCCTTTTTCTACCGGCGCCCCGTCTGTCCGTCCGTCCGTCCGTCCGTCCGCGCGGGGAGGGGCTCCGCGCCGTGCCTCGGCCTGCTTGCCCCTCTGCAGAAGGAGGGGTCCGTCGGTCGGTCTGTCTGTCTGTCTGTCTGCTTGGGGAGGGAGGCTGCAGTCTGTCAGTCTTTCTGGACAAGGGGCTGCAGTCCGTCAGTCTGTCCACCTGCTCAGTACAAGGGGCTGAAGTCTGTCTGTCTGTGTGCTCAGGACAAGGGGCTGCAGTCCGTCAGTCTGTCCGTCTGACCAGGACAGGGGCTGCAGTCTGTCTGTCTGTCTGTCTGTCTGGACAAGGTGCTGCAGTCCGTCAGTCTGACCGTCTGCTCAGAACAGGGGCTGCAGTACATCTGTCTGTCTGCCTGTCTGTCTGGGCAAGGAGCTGCAGTCCATCAGTCCGTCAGTCTGTCAGTCTGTCAGGACAAGGGGCTGCAGTCTGTCAGTCTGTCTGTCTGGACAAGGAGCTGCAGTCCATCAGTCTGTCAGTCTGTCTGTCTGGACAAGGGGCTGCAGTCTGACAGTCTGTCTGCGCTCAGGACAAGGGTCTGCAGTCCATCAGTCTGTCCATCTGACCAGTACATGAGGCTGCAGTCTGTCCATCTGTCTATCTGACCAGGACAATGTGCTGCAGTTTGTCAGTCTGTCTGTGTACTCAGGGAAAGGGGCTGCAGTCCGTCAGTCTGTCAGTCTGTCCATCTGACCAGTACAATGTGCTGCAGTCTGTCAGTCTGTCCGTCTGACCAGGACAATGTGCTGCAGTCTGTCAGTCTGTCTGTGTACTCAGGGCAAGGGGCTGCAGTCCGTCAGTCTGTCAGTCTGTCTGTCTGGACAAGGTGCTGCAGTCCGTCAGTCTGTCCATCTGCTCAGTGTAAGGGGCTGAAGTCTGTCTGTCTGTATGCTCAGGGCAAGGGGCTGCAGTCTGTCTGTCTGTCCGTCTGCTTGAAACACGGGCTGCAGTACATCTGTCTGTCTGCCTGTCTGCCTGTCTGTCTGGACAAGGAGCTGCAGTCTGTCAGTCTGTCTGTGCTCAGGACAAGGGTCTGCAGTCCATCAGTCTGTCCATCTGACCAGGACAAGGAGCTGCAGTCTGTCAATCTGTCTGTGTACTCAGGGCAAGGGGCTGCAGTCTGTCAGTCTGTCAGTCTGTTAGTCTGTCTGTCAGGACAAGGGGCTGCAGTCCGTCAGTCTGTCAGTCTGTCTGTCAGGACAAGGGGCTGCAGTCCGTCAGTCTGTCAGTCTGTCAGTCTGTCAGTCTGTGTGCTCAGGACAAGGGGCTGCAGTCTGTCCATCTGTCTGTCAGGACAAGGGGCTGCAGTCCGTCAGTCTGTCCACCCCTCACTGCACTGTCTTGGTAGGGGGTGTCCCACCAGCACAGCAGGTGCCACCCGCGTGGTCGCACCCAGTGGCACCCGGTAGCCGGGCAGGGCCAGGCAGGGCCGGGCAGGGCTGGGTGTGTCCCAGCCGGGGGCACCGGAGCCCCGGGAGCTGCAGCGGTGCCAGCTGTGCCGCGGCCCCTCCTTTCCACAGAAGGCATTGCTGCCATTCCTGCTGTTGGCATTCCAGCTGGCACCAGGACCAACCGTGGGCAGCACGGAGCGAGGCCACAGCCCTGTCCTGGGTGTCCCCATCCAGCAGGGTCCTGGCAGCTGTGCATCCATCCCTGGGTGTCCCCATCCAGCAGGGTCCTGGCAGCTGTGTATCCATCCCCTGTGTGTCCCCATCCAGCAGGGTCCTGGCAGCTGTGTATCCATCGCTGTGTGTCCCCATCCAGCAGGGTCCTGGCAGCTGTGCATCCATCCCTGGGTGTCCATGTCCAGCAGGGTCCTGGCAGCTGTGCATCCATCCCTGGGTGTCCCCATCCAGCAGGGTCCTGGCAGCTGTGCATCCATCCCTGGGTGTCCCCATCCAGCAGGGTCCTGGCAGCTGTGCATCCATCCCCTGTGTGTCCATGTCCAGCAGGGTCCTGGCAGCTGTGCATCCATCCCTGTGTGTCCATGTCCAGCAGGGTCCTGGCAGCTGTGCATCCATCCCTGTATGTCCATGTCCAGCAGGGTCCTGGCAGCTGTGCATCCATCCCTGTGTGTCCATGTCCAGCAGGGTCATCTCACCCACACTTGTTTGCCCATGGAAATCTCAGCCACATTCATTTGCCCGTGGAAATCTCAGCCACATTCCTGTGCCCATGGAAATCTCAGCCACATTTTTGTGCCTATGGAACTCTCACCCACATTCGTGTGCCCATGGAAATGTCACCCACATTCATTTGCCCATGGAACTCTCACCCACATTTGTGTGCCCGTGGAAATGTCAGCCACATTTTGTGCCCGTGGACATGTCAGCCACATTCCTGTGCCCATGGAAATGTCACCCACATTCCTATGCCCATGGAAATCTCAGCCACATTTTGTGCCCGTGGAAATGTCAGCCACATTCGTTTGCCCATGGAAATATCACCCACATTCCTGTGCCCATGGAAATCTCAGCCACATTCCTGTCCCCTTGGAAATCTCAGCCACCACTCCCAGCTGGTGCAACGTGCCTGGCACCACTGGCACCACCGGCCCCACGGCTGGTGCCAGCCGCATCCCGAGCCCCAGGCAGCGGCGCTGGCTCGGCAAGCACAGGCAGCAGGCGCGGCACGGCGGGGCCCACACCAAACTGCTCGGTGTTTGTGCTGTGGTGCAGCCCCAGAGCTGCTGGCAGCTGGCAGCGAGGCTGGCAGGGATTCCACAGACAGGCGCACCCACACGGAGCACGGGAATGGGCACACGGGAGCTTCACCCGCTGGAAATGCACCCGCTCAGAAATTCAGTGTGCTCGGGGAGACGGGGTGGGGAGCGGGGATGTCCTGGCAGAGCCTCCGGGGCTCTTTGGGGTTGGTGCTGAGTTTGAGGGGTCGCACTGCCAGGGCAGCAGGTGAGCGGGTGGGGAGTGGGGCTCCAGGTGGGACCATCAGCCCCATGGTGGGGCCATCAGCCCCAGGTGGGACCATCAGCCCCAGGTGGGACCATCAGCTCCATGGTGGGGCCATCAGCCCCAGATAGAACCATCAGCCTCAGAGGTGGGACCATCAGCCCCATGGTGGGGCCATCAGCCCCAGGTGGGACCATCAGCCCCAGGTGGGACCATCAGCTCCATGGTGGGGCCATCAGCCCCAGATAGAACCATCAGCCTCAGAGGTGGGACCATCAGCCCCATGGTGGGGCCATCAGCCCCACACAAGACTATCCTGCCCTGTGTTGGGACCATCAGCCCTATGGAGGGACCATCAGCTGCATGATGGGACCATAAGCCCCATGGTGGGACCATCAGCCCCAGATAGAACCATCAGCCCCAGACAGGACCATCAGCCTCAGGTGGGACCATCCTGCCCCATGGAAACCCCATCCTGCCCCACAGAAACCAGCTCCTGCAACATGGAAACCCCATCCTGCCCGGCCCCATAGAAACCACCAACCTGCCCCACAGAAACCACCATCCTGCCCCACGGAAACCCCATCCTGCCCCATGGAAACCCCACCCTGCCTCTCAGAAATCACCATCAGCCCCATGGAAACCACCATCAGCCCCATGGAAACCCCATCCTGCCCCATAGAAACCCCATCCTGCCCCACAGAAACCCCATCCTGCCCCACAGAAATCACCATCAGCCCCATGGAAACCACCATCCTGCCCCACAGAAATCACTATCAGCCCCATGGAAACCACCATCCTGCCCCATGGAAACCCCATCCTGCTCCATGGAAACCCCATCCTGCCCCACAGAAACCCCATCCTGCCCCACAGCAGAAACTACCATCCTGCCCCATGCAAACCACCATCCAGCCCCATGGAAACCTCAATCCTGCCCCATGGAAACCTCAATCCTGCCCCCCATTCTCAATTCAGCCAAAGAAAGAACAGAGGTAATTTCTCCCATTGGAGAGAATAATTTCGAGTCAAAGAAAGAACGGAGATAATCTCTCCCATTGGATGGATTGGGCCGAGCCTGGGAATCTCAGAGAAGAAGCCTTCAAACAATTATTATCTCTCTTTCTGTGGCCATTGTTTACAGTTGTGGTTCTCCACAGTGTTTTATTCACAGTCAGTGTGAGATGCTCCTCCTTTGAGACCCATCGAGTCTCACCCCAGCGAGTCACATCATGAAAAGTCCCGCTACTCTCATTAAAAGCTTTTGCCTTCTGATCCACCTGGAGCCTTTCTCGGCATCCCTGACTCAGCAGCGTCAGCCCCGCGGGGTGGGGAGGGTGGGGAGGGTGGCTGCTCACAGCCGAGCTGGCCTGGCCCCCGCTGCTGCCACCAGAGCCCCCCAGGAATGGGGTCTGCTCACCCTGCTGCCTGCCCTGGGGCTGTCCGTGAGCCTGGACTGACAGCAGGGGGACAGACGGACACAGCACAGGGGGTGGCGGCGTTTGAGGACGAGGGGAGAGATGAGAACTTGACCCCGTGTTTCAGAAGGCTGATATATTATATTATATTATATTATATTATATTATATTATATTATATTATATTATATTATATTATATTATATTATATTATATTATATTATATATTATCATATTACATTATATCATATTACATTATATTATATTATCATATTACATTATATCATATTACATTATATTACATTACATTATATTATATTATTACACTACATTATATTATACATTATATTACATTATATTACATGACATATGCTATACTAAAACTATACTAAAGAGAGAAAAAAGGATTTCATCAGAAGCCTGGAAAAGAATGATAAAATCTCGTGGCAGACTTAGAGAGTCCAACATAGCTGGCTGTGATTGGCCATTAATTAAAAACAATTCTCATGAAACCAATCAAGGATGCACCTGTTGGTAAACCACCTCCACACCACATTCCACAGCCATCAGATTGCTATCGTTCACATTTCTTCCCTGAGCTTTCTCAGCTCCTCAGGAGAAAAATCCGAGTGAAAGGGTTTTTAA